TCTGATGCAACAATACCCTCTCAGAATCAGTTTATATCTAAATGTTATTGATGTTTATGTTCATGCTGACTGTGGCAAATGCATTTTTATTTGTCTGTAAGAGCCTTTATTGTTATATTTAATTGGCACACTTATTTACCTTAAAAATGACGTATAGTTCTATAAAATATGTCTAAAATTAATGAAACTGTTTTAATTTGTGTATACATCTCCTTGATAACAACTGTGGACGCACTGGAACTCAATTCTTGCACAAGAACGGGAATCCCTGTTGACCTGTTAAGCCTTTAAATAGAGAAGGCTGTGGTCTGTGCAAGAGAACAATCAGTTCAAGTCCTAAATTTATGGGTTGCTTAGTAAATTACAGAATTCAGACGTTCAAACTACAGACAACATTGCAGATATAGATAATCTATTTAGGGCGAACGAAAGAAGAAGAAGAAGAAGAGGAAACTAACCCTAACCTTCCTATACTATAGGACCTTGTGGGGAAACCCTTAGGAATTCCTAACAAAATCTAGCAGCCAGCATGATAGGGCGAAAAAGCTGAAAAAGTACCAAGATCTCTCCCGTAGAATGATAAGCAAAATTCTGCAAATAATCTTGTCATGGACCTGCAGTCCAGGTGTATGAATGTTTGACAGTAAAGGAGATTAGATATTAGTTTAAATTGACAAACTTTGTAAAAACCTAACATTGTTAATTATGGAGCCCAGATATTCGGAGCTTGTGACACTGCCATTTTTTTTATTGATGATTGCTATTAATTGTCGACATATACAGCACAAGGATATTATCATGAACTTTATTTTTTTTTTTTTATCAGACAAATGACCAGAGTCACATTTACTTATATTTGCTTTAGATCAGGTATTTCAGAAGATGAATCAATAGCAGAGAAAAAGAGGATGAGACAAGGAGGAGGGGAAAGAGCAGAAGCAGAAGAAGAAGAAGATAAGGAGAATGAGTAGAAGGAGGAGAAGAAGAAAAAGAAGAAAATAAGGAGAATAAGGAGGAAGAGGCGAGGAATAGTCAGCTAAAAGAAACTAGTCAGTAAGCAGAGTTTAACTTGTTCACACAAACAAGAGAGAAAAAAAAAATTCAATTAAATAAAAAAAAAAAAAACAAGAGAGTTTTATTTCCACCTACCAGTGCCTGGCGATGTTTGTAGATGAATTCTTCAGGAGTACTGGCCCAGGGCGGGAGTTTGACATCATTGACTTGTTCCTTGGTGATCTGTAGCTTGCCCAGATCAAACCCTGAGATGACATTGGTATGGCAATTTGCTAAGTAAAAGGCTATTTTCATGCTTGTGGTACAGCAGATATATGGTGTTACACCCATCTTTTTTTAACAAGACCAATCAGCACTCAATGAGTCATGTACAAGAAATCATGCAGGGCACTTTATTTTGAAAGTGAGTTTATGTGTACTAGTAATAATCCGTAATACTTACATTCTGCTTTAGTTAATAAACACACACACAATTTGTTCCAAATTTTTTTTTTTTAAAACAAACTATTCATTAAATAAAACAACAAGGACATTTCTGTGTTCATGAGGAGTTTGTACATCTATCGTTACAAATCTATTTAACATGCTCATTTAATGATACACTGACAACATATTCTGACCAAAACATATCTCCATACTTTATAATTCCATTGCTGCGGCATCTACTGTCCTCTTTTTAATCACATTTTGTTATGTTGGGGAGGAGGGAGTGGGGTGTAGGGGTCTTGCCATATATTCAAAATGTGGGGGGGGGGGGGGGGGGTCTTGTCATATACATAAAGGGGGGGGTGGGGGGGGACAGTAACTGCTAACACCAAGAATGGAATTCAGTGGACCCCTACAAAACAGCTTGATGATCTGGACTTCGCTGATGATATTTCTCTTCTGTCCCATTCACAGAATCAGATGCAAGATAAATTAAATATACTAGATGCGAGATCACAGCAGCTTGGTCTGAAAATCCATAAAGGAAAGACAAAGATAATGAGAATAAATTAGGCAAATAGTAATGTGGTTTCCCTTAATGGCACCCCACTCTAAGACATGGAGTCGTACACCTATTTGGGCAGTAATGTAGATAAAGATGGAGGAACTGAGATATAAAAATAAGAATACAAAAGGATAGAGGAGCTTGCATAGCACTAGGGAATTTGTGGAGGTCAAAACAAATTAAAAGAAATACTAAACTAAAAATTTTCAATTCTAATGTCAAATCAGTACTTTTGTATAAGGCGGAAACATGAAGAACAACTAAGGCAATTACTAATAAATTACAGACATTCATTAACTGGTGCCTGTGCAGAATAGAAGGAATTAAATGGTATGACAGAATAACTAATGTAGATTTTGGGAGATAACTAAACAGGCTCCAGTGGACCAAGAGGTGAGGAAAAGATGCTGGCGTTGGATAGGACACACACTGAGAAAACAGGAGAACAGCATAACTAGAATGTCTTTGCATTGGAACCCACAGGGGCATAGGAATAAAGGAAGGCCAAAAAACACACGGAGAAGAGAGCTGGAGAATGAAGTTAGAAAGATGGGGAGGACATGGAGAGAGCTCCATGCAATGGTGAAGGATGATAGAACAACTTGGAGTGAGTTGGTTGAGGGCCTATGCTCTATTGGGGGATAGAAAGGCAGAAGAGAGAAGAAAGTGGGGGGGGGGGGGGAAATGGGTCTTGCCATATACCAAAGGGGGTGTGGTGGTCTTACCATTTACTCAAGGGGGATGGGGGGGGGGCGGGGGGTGGTTTGGGGGTCTTATCTTATACTCAAAGGGGAGGGGTGTGGTGGTCTTGCCATTTACTCAAGGGGGATAGGGGGTGGTCTGGTGGAGGTGGGGGGGGGGGATCTTGTCATATACTCAAAGGGGAGGGGGGGGGTGGTGGTCTTGTCATATACTCAAACTGGATATAGGGGTCCTGCCATAAACTCAAGGGTGGTGTATGGGTCTTGCTATACATTCAAGGGGGGAGGGGACCTGAAAAAGGTTGGAAACCACTGACCTAGCCACTAGGAAACCACAGATCACTAGAAGAAAAGGGGAAGGTGACAAAAAAAAGTGAAGAAGGGAGAAACAAGCAGCAGCAGAGGAAAAAGAAAGATAGGAAGAAGGAGGTCCCAAAAAAAAAAGAAGATGATGAGGAGAACAAGAAGAAGCAGAGAAATTCACCATTAAAGTTGAAACTCACCATTAAAGTTGACCAGAAACTCTGGGAAGTAGAAAAATTCTGGAATGAGTTCTTTGACATCGTTGGGGTTGTCCATGAGTGAAGAGAAACTCCCAGGAATCGAGTGGAACTGACGATCTGCCACGTCGAACCTATTGATTTTGAATTACACACTAATTAAATCAGTGAGCATGCACTTTTCACATGTAACTAGATATGTGGGTGGGTAGGAAGGAAAGCAGGAACGCAGGTAGATTGGCAAGAAGATAGATAAGTATTATAAGGTATACAGACCCATGTTCACAGGTAGACAAGTAAGCCTGTAGGCTGGTAGACAGATATGTGTAGGCAGGTAGATAAGTAAGCATGTAGGCAGGCAGACAGATATGTGTAGGCAGGTAAGATGGGTAAGTAGGTAATTTGGATTAGTAGTATAAGGTATACAGATCCATGTAGTCAGGTGGGTAGATGAATATTTGGGCAGGTATGTGGATATGTAGGCATGGAGACAGGTAAGCAGGAAGACAGGTAGAAAGATACATGCAGGCAAGCATGCATATATATATATATATATATATATATATATATATATATATATATATATATATATATATATATATATATATATATATATATATATATATATATATATATATATATATATATATATATATATATATATATATATATATATATATATAGGATGGAAAGTAGACATGTCAGCAGGAGCTGGTAAGCTTTTCCTCATCTCTTAATTCACTGGAATTTGTTTCCCAAACCCCTGCATTAGTTAGTCTGTAATAAAATTTAATTCTCTCTATTCTACAAGAGAACCAGTTAGTGAAGGTTTATAATTTATTAGTAACTGATTTAGTTGTTTTCCCTGGCTCAGTTCTGTACAATTGTACTGATTTGCTCTTAGAGCAAAATAAGTTTAGTATGAGTTTCAACTTCTTCAGAGGAGCAGCTGGCTAAATGGTTAAGAATAAACGGTTAAGAGCACTGGGCTCTCATGCAGGAAAACCAGGTTCAAATCCTCAATAAAACTAAGGGTTTGTTCGTTAGGGGCAAAAATAAAGTTCTAACCTGCACTCCATCCGATGAAATACAAGTGCTCTGTGAAAGATGAGTGTTTGGAAGAGCTAAATGTAAGATGAGCCTGCATGCCCAATTTGTGACTCACACTCAACACTCAGAGGAAAGGTAATACTGAGATGGTACAGCAGGGAGTGACCAGGGTATCTGTTGGACACCCAACACTCAGAGGAAAGGCAAGACCACCAGGGATGGTACAGCAGGAAGTGGTTAGGGGATTTTGCTGACACTCAACATGCTGAGGAAAGGCAAGACCACCAGGGATGGGACAGCAGGGAGTGGTCAGGGGATCTGTTGGACACCCAACACTTAGAGGAAAGGCAAGACCACCAGGGATGGTACAGCAGGGAGTGGTTAGGGGATTTTGCTGACACTCAACGCAAAGGAGAAAAGGCAAGACCACCAGGGATGGTACAGCAGGGAGTGGTCAGGGGATCTGTTGGACACCCAACACTTAGAGGAAAGGCAAGACCACCAGGGATGGTACAGCAGGGAGTGACCAGGGTATCTGTTGGACACCCAAACCTCAGAGGAAAGGCAAGACACCTGCGATGGTACAGCAGGAAGTGGTAAGGGGATTTTGCTGACACTCAACGCAAAGGAGGAAAGGCAAGACCACCAGAGATGGGACAGCAGTGAGTGGTCAGGGGGTGTGGCTGACACAACATGCAGAGGAAAGGCAAGACACCTGGGATGATACAGAAAGAGTCAACTCACTTGCCGCTCTGTAATTGTATGTGCAGTGATGTGAATGGCTCTACTCGGACAAGGTAGTGCATCACACTGGCTGCGTTACTGTAATGTGTCCCATAGTGAAACTTTTCTATCACGCCAGAGGGGTCCTCAAATGTGTCGTATCTGATGAACAATATTAGGGCTTTAATACATTTATGCAGGCAAGCATGTGTCATTAAATTAACATGGCTTTCTTTATAAAAAGTAAAGGTCCCTTTACATGCCAGTGGCACATCATGCATATGAGGCTAGACTCGTATTTTTGCAGACTAGTCGACCCTCAATGGATAATGGGGTTTACATTACGCCGTCGCCTTTACTTCCTCAGGAATTTACCTTGTACCCATTTAGTGCTGAGCTGGCCTAGGAGTTGAGGTCATGTTTGAAAAAAATCAGGCTCCAGGCAGATCTGAAGGGGCGACTTTAGGATCCGCTACATCCCTAGCGACTCCGAGCTTCCTATACACGTCAAAACAATTAATCTCTTTGATTTTTAGAACAACTCTGCTAAGACCAGTCCCAGTCCTGGCTGTAAAAGGAGGAGGGTTTGGGTGAACCTGAGTGCTTCATGTGTCTCATCTGGAGAATCACCTGTTTGCCTTAAACTACAATTACAAGTTACCACTAAGAGAAAACCAGACGGATCTTAACGATGATGAACTGGCATGGCTTACGAACTAAGATTTATGAAATATGGAACTACGAGGCTTTAATGGAAAGGAATATGAGTTAGTAGGGGAGATGAGGAAAGCAAAATTAGGAATCTTGGTTCTGACTGAAACCAAGAAAAAAAGGCAGAGAATCACAGATCACGGTGGAAGTATGCTGCTCTACAGTGGTGTCCCTATGACAGAGAGAGTGAAATGAGGTGTTGGCTGTATTGTGGCCAGGAATCAAGTAAGTAACATCAGGGGATGGAAATTCATTTCGGAGCAAATTATGGTGTTAGATCTAAAAGAAGAAGATAAAATTGTCAATACTGTTCTTGTGTGCGGGCCAAATGAGGACGAGCAAGTAGATGTCAAAGAAGGATTCTTTCAACTGCTCCAAAGCACTACAGATGACTGTCATGATGAAATTGGTCACTCCTGAGTTTGCAATTATCCAGACTTGCAGCTTTTCCCAGCAGGATAATGCATCTGCACACATCACACCCACTAAGCAGCAATATCTACAGCAGCAGAAAAGTGTGATGATTGACTGGCCTGCTCTATCACCAGACATGTCCAACAATAAAACATCTGTGGGATAAGCCTGGACACAGTCTACAAGCAAGGGCCTGCAGATAATCTGTCCCACAGCTGGATGCTGCTCTCACATGTGAATGGGACTTGATTCCCTTTAATTTCCTTCAGAGACTTGTGCTTTACATGCACAGCTGCTTGTTTGCAAGCTCATGGTGGACAAAGCAGATACTGAGAATGGTGTGCATACATTGTTTTATTGGTTGCATTTTTGGTACTCCCCTTTTTTTTTTGGCCTGCAAATAATGCAATACATTTCATAATATAAAATGTACAAATTAATTACCGGCATGGATTCAATGTAAAATTAACAAAGATTCCAAATATGTAAACTTTCAAAAAGTTATATTTACATGTCACACCCTGTTCCTGGATTATACGAGCAGTGCGTTTTTAATGTGCTTCAGTACGTGCCCACATACGCACACACACACACACACATATATATATATAAATATATAGAGACATGAACACTGTCTTCGGAAAAGAGAAGGAAAATAGTCACGACAGAAATTAAATGTTTATGTACTGTGCTAGGTGAAACAAGGAAAGATCAACTTAGGAACGATATCAGGAGGAGAATCTGCACAGAACCAATACTGAACTTTAGAGGTAGACAACAAATCAAATAGTTTTGCCATGTAACAAGATTGGCATCAAAGCAATGTTATACAGATACAATGGTAACAGACCCAGAGGTCGACCATGTAGAAGATGGACTGCAGAAATATGAGACACTGAAAAGTACTTTATACGAAGCGAACAGAAGGGCTTGTTCCAGAGATCTCTTCCTGCCCTGATGCCACGAGGCATTCCAGGAGCAGAGAAAAGAAAGAAGAAGAGAGAGACTGGAAGAGGGGAAAGATATTACAGAGGTAAAAAATCAAAACGATGAATTGTTTTAAATCACTATAGTTTTAAATATCTAGGCTACACAGTGACCCCAGATGGTAGAGGTGATATAAAGAGAAGAGAAAACAATAACCATATGCAAAGATTATTAAACAAAAAAGTAACAGAAAACATCAAGATAACGGAAATATCAGGACAGGTACAAAAACCAAATTACTGAAAAACTAAAATAGAGGTTCACTTTTACACTACCCGCATATAGTTTCTTGAAACAAAGGCGTGTTATCACCATAAAATGAGCATAACAATGTGTCAATTGCAGCAGTGCTGCAATAAAATGTCTTAAAAAGGTGATGGTACTGAGCACTGTTGCGTACCACCAGGGGAAAAAAAAGACCTGCTGATCCCCATTTAGGGTTGGATCAATATAGAAGTCCAGACCAGTTATGAAAAATGTGTTTATTAATAAACTGTGTATACCTCGTTGTTCTGTATAGATACAAATTCTGAACAATGGTCGAAGAGAAGATGCAGAAAAAAAGGCAGTGCAATGTGGCTTTTGTGAAGAATGTTGAAAATATCATGGTCAATTATGAAAATCTGCCTTTGATGCAGATTTGAACCATATGAACCCTCTTCATTATTATGTTTATATTTTATTTATTCACTTACTTTTCTCGAACTTCTTTTTCATTCCTGGGGTTCACAACCCCGACTGGTTTGGACAAATCCCTGAAAACACTGGGGTTGTCCAGGTCCAGCTGCTTGGATGTGTAGTCCATCAGAATCCAGGGGAACTGCAAATAACATCCTAGACCTTAGTTAACTCTTTCAGTCCCAAGCACAAATCACACAAAATCGTTTATTTCTAAAGTATTTGTTGCTTATAATAGTTGTTAAGACCTAAAAGAGTTTCATTAGCTTCACTATGAGACATACTTTGTTAAGACATATCTGAGACAGCAGTGGTTTAGAAAAACATGTCATGTGAGGGGTAAACAGCTAGCACTTGGTGCATTGATTAGTACTTAATAAGTTAACCTTTTCAGTACCAGCCAGCAACAACTTTAACTACAGGGTGTCCTAAAAGTTTGCATAAGTGTTGTGAAAAAAAAATACACATATCATCATTACTGTTACAATGACAAGCATAACATCAGCTGTTGTGCTTGTATGTGTTCTTTAGCTGGAGGACACACACTAAAATCTGTTTTCAAAACAATGGTAGTCATGTAGAGCATATTAAATAAGTAAAAAAAAATTAGTTTACGTTAAAAAAATGTTTATTTTCCTATATACTGAAACTTCTGGGATAGTCTGTTATCCCAATAAATTCTAGTCTACAGCATAAAGTGTATGAGACCAAAGAAGATGAAAAAAAATTATGGACAGAAGAATTCCTCGAGGTTCGAAGTTGAAGTGTGAGGTCAACACTCCCACCTTTGTAAGATCTATTTTGTCATAGAAAAATATATTGAAGCCTTAAATTCAAATGGATCCACAAACACTCTGGGTCACCAACTGGACAGAGTAGGTCAATCACCGAGATGAATGCAGGCGAGTGATATTTGCAGGAATGAACCACAAGGACTCAGAATTCTAAAGAGGAAGAAGAAGGAGGAGGAGGAGAAGAAGGGATAAAACCAACCTTCAGGTCTTTTATCTTTCATAAAACTGTAAAGAAACATACAAAAATGGCAGACCACTCACCACATGATACTGGCTGAGATCATTGTATGTCCTGCCTGCGATCGTGTTCAGTTGCATCAAATACTCAAAGTTTGAAATCTCTCTATTGACCCACTTCTGTAATGAAGATGCAGACAAAGGTCACCAGGACAGAGTTCACCAGTGAGCTCTAGGTCTTCCACGGCAGTAATATGTTAGCAATGAAAATATCTAAACACCTGATGAGAAAATATAATCAACCTAGGCATAATCACAGTCAGTCTCTGCATGTACTGTGCTCAATCATGAACTAGTTGCATCCTAATATGCCACTGCAGAACATGTGAAGTTTCTTCTTCTTCTTCCTCTCAAATGTTGGCTGGCATATTGTGTTGGGGTTTAAAGCTGGGCTACAATATCCGCGCCTTTGGCTCATTACATCCAATTTCAACTAATCCTTTATTAGCTGCCTATGACGGCATGCTTGTTAAAGAGCAAAAAAATAGGGTCCGGAACCCATCTGGCGGCAGGTTCCCCCGCAATTTCTATATATGTTGAGATGAGTCATAACCTAGTTACATCTTAATTTGCATCTGGCCAGGTTTAAAAAAAATTTTTTTGGGGCTTGACACAATACAATCACTTTTTTCTTTAGGCCTCATGCTCTTCAGTGCATCTGTAACAGACACTTTGTGGCGAGTACCGTCACCTTTTTTCTTTAAAAAAACCCTGCTCTTCACAGACGTGAAGTCCCAGTAGCAACTTATACGAGGCATCAAAAGAAGGGCTGATACAAGACTGGCTACCTTATCAAGGAGACAAATTTAGCTGTCCAATGTATTCACATTATACATCTCAGAATCCCATCCTTGATGTCTTCAAACTCCTCACTTGTTCTTTCACATTCCAAGATATACATCATATAACCAAAGCAGCTATTGCGGTGAGTGCCAGGGCAACAGTGCAAGCTGTGGATATAATTTTTTTCTGTTGTGTCTGCTGGATATTGTTGATTGCACTAAAATGGCAGGTGGCCGATTGTTCTGTATGGTGTGTACCTCTGTGGGTGCAATGCCAACTTTCATGACTGACCATTTCCACGAATAGTGAGCTGTAATTCTGGTGTGAGACAATTAATGTTGGCACATCTGAGGGCTGCCTTATGCATTTTTACTCTGTGTGTGCATGCTTCCAGATTCTGCTAAGACTGACAAGTTTTTCATTAATTTCAAGGACAGAATGTAGGATTTTCACTGGCACAAAAATGGAGCAGCTATGGGGTAACCCATCTACAGTGCTGCTGGAACCCTGACATAACCAAGCATTTTATTCCATTTTTTCCTTGCATCCATTTTAGACGGGGTGAATCTGGGAGCTAAGTTCAATTAAATATCAATAATAATGGATTTGAACCTAAGACCTTTGGTACGGCAGGCAAGTCTCTACTGATTACAATGCTGCAGCTTTGATCCAAGGTATTATAGGATAGTTTCCGAGACATCAAAATATAGAGTCTTACCTGGATTAAGCCTGATGCACGCAGCAGGTCAGCAGGTGACCTTTGACCCTTGTAGCTCAAGTTCACTGGCCGCAGGCTCAAAATCCGACTGTATATTTTGTTTCTCATGCCCTAGATAATCCAATGCCAAACATGAGAAGATATCTGTGTTCTTCACTTCATAAATCATAGAATGCCTTATGCAATAAATCTCTTTTTTTTTTTTTCTTATTCTTAGTGTTCACCAGCTGCAAACTGAGGTGGGAAAGTTCTGGTTGTTCATCCACTTCTGAACTTAGGTTTTGCTCCAGAACTAGAGTTCTGTGTGAACATCTATTTTACAGATCTAGTTTATGTGTATATAGAGTGTTGGTTCCTTGCCTCTTAAGAAGATGTACTCTAATTTGGAAGGAAACACCTCTAAGTAATCACCTCCCATAACAAGCTTGTTTGGTGGGGGTTGGAGGGTGAGGGGAATGGGTCCATTCTTTATTTTCCAAAATGAAGCCCTCGAACCACACACAAGCAGAGCAAACATAACATTCAACAATTCACATTTTTTTGGGTAATATGTTGTTTACCTCTCTGGAAGCAGATATCTGTTCATGTATTTCACAATATTTATTACAGATAAAAGTATGCATTAACTCCTCTCTGTGACGCTTTACAGCATAAGACTAACGGCACTGTCCTGGCAAGATTTAGGGTTTAAAATCTACCCAAAGTATTTCAGGATCCTCGCTGGTACAGAGCTCATGCACTGAGCTGAGATTCTTTGGACTCAGGCTTGAGTCAGAAGTAGAGTGGAGCACTTATGGGTTCCTACCTTTGTGCCATGATGTTGATCCGTCGTCTAAACCTGTCTAAACAGCATAAGCAATAGGACAAAAAAAGAATGAAGAAACAAGCATGCATGCAAGTTCTCACCTTCTCTGGAAAGTTAATAAAGTAGTTGGTCTGGTCGACAAGAAATATCTCCAAGGCACTACGTCTCAGGTTGTATCTTCGGAAGTGGATCTCTCTCAAGCGAGACAAGGCCCACTTGAAATCCTCTCCGGCTGAAGAGCAAAAGCATCCATATGTTGTGATATAAAATAACAAGAACAGGTAGAGGTGATATGAGAATTGTCTTTTGCCGGAGACCAAGACTCGAATCCTTGGTAAGGTTGGGGATTTTTTCCTGTACAAGGGCCAAAAAAAAGCCCTAACCTGTGCAGTCTATGGTGACAGCACTAGCCATGTAGTCCTCAATCCTCAGGATCAAAGACACCCTCAGTCTACTTAAAACAAAACCTATCCTGATATACAGAAGGAATCAAGGACAGTTTAACAATTAGTAAAAAAAAACTTATTTGGAAGCTTGCGAAGAAGTTATTGTACAGACCAATTATAAGAATACCCTGACAGAAAACAAGACTAATAAAGATATCTTGAATAAATTGACTCACAGTCCATGTCAAAAAGAGACAATCTATGTTCACTGGTCATGACATAAGAAGGAGAAAACTAGAGGAAATTATGGCAGTGGCAAAGTTGAAGGAGAAAAAAGGCAATGGGAGTCTGAGAGAGAAGATGTAGTGCTATTTAACAACATGGCATGGAAGATCATTTGCGTCAGAATTAAGTGAAGGTACATTTCAGGGTCCAGTGCGGCTATGAGATGACAGTGTATCATGATGGGGAATAGTGAATTAGTACTTAGTTGACCGCATAGTGACTGTGTGTTCAACAGCCAACGGAGACCTTGACCAGACTAGTGAGACAGATGAATTAATCACCCCTGGGTCCACAAGGTTCTCACGGACAGGCAGTGAATTGTGGACCTGACAAAAGGGACATAAAAACAGGCTTTTGGGGAGTTCGTCAGTGAGATTGGGACAAGATGTGTGGCGTTTCTGACCTTTGGATGTTTCCCTATGTGACTTATCTTAGCGACATGTATTTAGTAATAGTGCAATAGCCTGACGGTAGGATAATCTATGTATTAGTCTGTGTTAGCGAGAGATAGGCTATTGTGTTTAGTTATAATGGTATTCTATGTTTTTAGCGAGGTGGCTGGCAAGAAGGGTTTGACTGATTAGATAACATGGTCTGTCCACTCACGCTATCCAGAGCCCTGCAGTAGCACAGCAGTCCCAGTGTAAGGTACCGAAGCGTAGGAAAGAGCTTAGATTGTGGGCTGTAGTCAAGTTTTTGAACCCTAAGGTCTGACAGAAGGTAGCTGATAGAAAATCTACTTCTTGTATTGGGTCATGTAGAAATAGTACTGGCATTATTCATTCTTTCTCTTAAATTTCTGATATCACTACTGAGATAGTTTCTTAAATATTGATAATGTTATTGAGGTTGTTCTCTTAATTACTGATAGTGCTTCTTAGATGCCATAGTGAGATTTAACCTGAATCATTGACAACACGATATTGCGGAAGGGTTTTGACAGTTATCTAGCAGAAAGTGGGTGTCTTTAGTCCGGTCGAACCAAAGTGTTTAGTAATTAGCATAGAGTTGTTCTGTCTGATGTAATTTAACGATACATGCTGTAAGGAGTAATTTGGGAATGCTGGTCTCAACAACTTTAGCTGTAAAATTTAACGATACATGCTGTAAGGAGTAATTTGGGAATGCTGGTCTCAACAACTTTAGCTGTAAAATTTAACGATACATGCTGTAAGGAGTAATTTGGGAATGCTGGTCTCAACAACTTTAGCTGTAAAATCTAACGGTGCATGCCATTTGAGGGTGACTTGGGATGATGAAGTCAATACCTTTAGCTCCAAATTTCAATCATGGAAGCCTTAAGAGGCTTGAAAAATACTGGTGTAGAAAACTTTGACTGCAGAATTTAACCATACATGCCATAAGGGGCAACTATGTAGAATTAGTATGAGTTTGATCACCACATCCTAAAGAAAATATTAGCTGTGAAATGCAGCCATTTACCAACAAGTCTAAAAAGGGCTTGGCATGAGTTTATTGAGAGTCTGTGGTGCACCAACAGGAGAAGAAAGGCAGAAGAAGGAGTATGACATTTAAAAAAAAAATAAGTATAATGATTCTCTGACTTATCATCCTTTGGAGAAAATTCTGCAAATTATTATTAATTAATTTTAATATCCATCGTGAAGCTGTCATGACACGGGTAAATTTAGTTCAGTAGTATGCTCAGGAGAAGATGGAGCACTTATGGATATGACCAAAGTGCAATAACGTCACAAATGATGACAGTCACAACAATGATGAAGATTATGATGATAATGATAATATACCTTCATCTCTGTGAGGGCTGCAGTCAAAGAAGTAGATATGTGTAGTGGTCACCTCCAGTCGACCTTTGATCTCGTTGACTATCGTAATCAACTCACAGTCAGCAGAGATCACCAGCTTCTCTGTACCCGTGTATTCTTCCAGATTTGAACTGAATTTTTAAAAAAATATAAAAGTAAAGGACCCTTTTCCACACCTTTAGGCATATTTGGTTTTTAGGACTAGACCTATATTTTATAGACCAATCGGCACTTGGTGGGGAATGTGGTCAGCACCACACCGGCTGCCTTTACTTCCCAGGATTACACCTGGTACCCACTTAAGGCTGGGTCGACCTGGGAGTCAAGGTCATTTCTGACAAAAGCCTGGCTCTGTCATGACGCGAACCCACAACCTTCCGATCCGCAGGTGGGCGTCTAGCCGCCAACGCTACGGCAACTCCCGAAAAAAAAAATATTTGTAAAACATACTCACACATTTATCATCAGTAAATAATGCAACAAATTTATCTTGACAAATAATACAAACACACCTCCAATAAAAATACGCTCCAATTTATCATTACAAAATTATACAAACAAAATGTATCCTCAGAGAATTCAGTAAAACCTCATTAGGACGAACTCATTTGAGAACACTCAATTAACATTAACAAAGTTTTGATCTCTGCATAGATTTATTTATTTTAGTCCCTGATTAGAATTTTTTTTTTTAAACATGAGCTCTTGATTCTGTCAGTCTCTTGTAATTCATGTTAATGAAGTTTTACTGCAGTGAGTACAAATTTATCTCATACAAACAGATGCACTAGATTTTGTGGATGCAGAGGTGGACACCTTACTGACTAGTATGAAAGTCTTACAAACGAATATGAGGGGGCTTCAAAAGTGCGACAGAAATTACAATAACCATGATACTGTCTTGTAACCCGCATTTATTTTTTTTTTAAGCATGGGACATCACAAAGCAAACACAGATAATGTTATGTTGCTCCTCTTTGATGCATGTCAAAAGTGGGGTTGCCATCTTTAAAGTGTCATTATGATGTCACTGTATCCATCTGCACCGTCATGTCATGCACTTAACTCTCTTGATATCCTTAACAATAATCCTGGCATGTTACAAGACAATGGCATGGTAGCTGAACTTTCTATCACACTTTTAAAGTCTTCATTTGAAGCCCCCGTATCTATCTATCTCTCTCTCTCTCTCTCTCTCTGCGTGTGTGCATGTATTAGTGTTTTTTTTTAACCTGGAAGCAGAGATAGCACTCCACTCCTCGTCTCCAAGTGTGTCATCAGCAATGTTCTCCTGGGAAACTAGAGCATCCTTGACCCCCTTCAGTTCCGTCAACCTCAGAGAATTATCAGTGTCGGTGACTCCTGAAACATTGAGGACAGATACATGTTTATGTCTATTACTCTTCATTTCTTCTTCTTCTTCTCCTTCATGTTCTGGTGGAAATTTCTAGTTGTTCATCCATTTCTGGACTTTGGGCTTGTTCCAGAACCTGAGTCTTGTGTGCACATCCATATACAGAACTGGCTTATTTGTATGCAGACTGTTATGTCATGACAACAGGATAGTCTGAGGCAAATTTTGAAGGAGATCAAGAAAGACGTTGGACAGACTGACAACATGGCAATGAGGGAGATCTGCTTCAAAAATAGTCAGCAGTATTTATTACAAAAGTAGTATCCAGTCATAATAAACAAGTATACACAGCATAGAATGTCTTCTTATTCTGTTAGCATTAACCAGCTGCAAACTCTGGTTGAAAATTCTGGTTTTTCATCCATTTCAGAACTTTAGTTGCATGCACATCCATTTTACTGATCTGGCTTATTTATATTTGTTATTACTATTCGTTCCTAGTCTCTTAGGCAGATGCACTCTGACTTCGAAGGAAATACCTATAATTAATCGCATTTCAGGACATGTATGTCAGGGGGTTGTGGGTCTATTTTGTTTTCCCCCAAAAAGGGGGGTGCTGGAACCCACGGGGTACACAGATTTTAAAAAGAAGAAGAATCAACCTCTGAATATTCTGCCCATGCTACACATCATAGAAACTTAGAAGGACAGTGAAAGAAGGCATGGTTCCTGGGAAAACAGGCATGGCTGAAACATACAAGTGGGCAGAGTATATTAAAGACACTCTGAGGATGAAACTGAATGACACATAATATTCTTTCACGCGGGCCATGCCAACAGCGATGTTCTAAAAAAAAAAAGGCCATTTAAGGTCAGTGTACAATTTTTGCAAATTTGTATGTAGTAATCAAGGCATGTATCTGAAAACTGGTGTGAACTTAAGTCCCTCTCTATGTATCCCATTACAGATACTATCACAATCTATAGTCATTCAATTTCTATTCAACTACCTTCTTCTTCTTCGTGTTCACCACCTGTAAACTCTGTAAACCCACACATTTAACTATCAAAAACCATCATCATCACTATCAAATGTCTTGCTGTGTTTGTGAACGATTCGATATTTCGGCAAAAGTTCTCTACAGAATAATGAAGCCACCCTCATGCCAGTACTTCTGTAAAAACATGGACCCTTGTCAAAAACATACATATAATGCCAGACATAACGTTACAGACCAATCAGCCGTCAATAAGTGATGTGATTAAAAGCAACCTGATAACTTGTCACTTGTAAGTCACCAATGAAGAACTAAGAACACTGGTAGGCACAGTAATGGTAACTAATTTTATACAGCACCAAAGAATCAAATGGTTTGATCATCTGGTCACAATGGGACAAAATCAGTCAGCAGATAGAGCAGGGCTATTCAAATGGCGGCCAGCGGTTCAAATCTGGCCCGCCAAGGCCTAGCAAGTGGCTCGCAGATCACTGCTAGTTGTATTGCATTTATGGTCTTTCTATGCTGGGGCTGGGGCTTCTGGCCCGTGTTGATCCATATTTTTTAATTTTATGGCCCCTGAGTCAACTTAGTTGAATAGCCCTGATCTAGAGCATACTACATGAGAAGAGTAGGCTAAAAGGGATGAGGCCAACCAAGAAAGCGATGGGTGAAAGCAGTAAATGAGACACTTGAGAAATGCAGTATGATATTAACACAAGCTATGCAACTAGCAGAAGACAGGGAACTACATCTAACTCCTCTATGCAAACTTTACAGCATAAGCAGCAGTACAAAAGAAGAAAATCACCTGTGCTTCCCTTTTCTTCTACAGATGTTAGCTGGGACAACCTGTTTTATGTGTAAAAATACCCTTGCTGCAGATCGGAACTAATAATCACCAGGCCAACAAGCAAGCATGCTGGTCATTGAGCTACAGTAGCTCCCCAACACTCATCAAGCATCCTCTTATGACATGCATGGTAGGTTACAATGTTACTATTCTTTTCTTCCCTTACAGGCCATTGGTAACATTGGTAGTTGCAGTTACAGACTCACCGACATTGTCCCTCAGTCGACTGGCATTGACGTGGTCTTCAAAGTTGTAGTTCTGGGTGAGTCTGACCTTCATGCGGGCAAAGTTTTCTTGGTTAGACAGCTTCCAGTGTACCCGATCATCACTGTATAATGAGAGAAAGATAACAGTTGTTGAGTCAGGGGTTGGAACAGATAAGATGTTAACATTGGTGGAAGCTAAACTTTACAGGTTGCTGAGTGAACTTAAAAAACAATGAAATTCAAACTAAAGACAACATTGCAGATATGCAGACTTTAATGGCTTCATTACTCGATAACAATTGTTACAACCGACCGGCCACACCAGCCTCACAAAAACGGGAATTCCCTTTTGAGCTGTACAGCCTTAGATCTGGAGCTGGCCGTGAACCAGACAACACAGGCAGCATAAAATGTTCAGAGAAGCACAGGCGATTACTTTCTTGTGTCCCCTTGGCAGCACAATTCCCCCCCCCCCCCCCCCCCCGCATCTCCCTGCCAATCCCCCCATGTACATCATGACAACAGAAAAGAGGCAGAGGAAGACCAAGTAAAATGTTGGAAAGTCTAGCTTCATGCCACAAAAACAAAACACCTATATATGAGTCAGAAGGCTGTGAACAGACAGGCTGACCATCCAACCAACCAATATCAAACTGACCTGTTTGTCCAGGCTCCTCTCTCCCCAGTAAAGAACCGTTTAGTGGCTCTCCAGTGCCGGAGGGTGAAAAGATGCTGGTTTTTCAGCTGTGTCAAGGTAGTCTGATATCGCCGATTCTCTTGCTCCACCCTCTTGTTGTAGACCTCCTCAATCTGCTTCTGTGTGGGATAGACATGATACATGCTTCATCATTCTAGGTAGCATTCTGTGGTGCCATTATATGTCACGGACTGGTTTGAAAACAAGGGTGACTGCAGTAAAACTAATAACAAGAAATGTATCCAATGAACAGTTACTATCCGCAGGGAAAAGTACTCACTTTCTTATTTCTGTGTAGTTCACGTCCAGAAAGGCTCCCATTGAAATGTCAATTTGTTTTGTTATGTGCATGTTTTCCCCCTTGCGTTAAGCTTTTAAGTCACTGTTCATAAGATTAATTTCTCATTACATGTCACATACGGTTCACAGTCAAGTCTTCCATTCCATTCTTCTTTTTCTTCTTCTTCTGTGTTCACCTGTTTAAAAAAAGTAAAGGACCTTTTTTTTCACACCTTACAGACGTATGATAGGGCTAGACCAATATTTGTTCAACACCAAACGGCACTTGGTGGGTGATGTGGTCAGAATCACGCCGGCCGTTTTACTTTCCAGGACTGTACCTGGTACCCACTAAAAGCTGGATCAACCTGGGAGCCAAGGTAATTTTTGAAACAAAATCTGGCCCTCATCAGGAAGTGAACCCACGGCCTTCCAATCCGCAGGTGAGTGCCTAGCCGCTGGACCAAGGCGGCTTCCTATGTTTACGGGTAAAAAAGCATATATTTTTTAAAATTATTTTTAAAATAGTTATTGCCCTCTAGAATTGTAGACTGTAGGATTACACATTTCAAGGACAAAAATCAGACAGGTACAAATCCTGGAAACCCTGTTCAATATAGCACAGTTATTTTGGGCTAGGCTATGATACCTGCACTTTTTTTGTTTAACAGGTCCAGTAAATCCTTACCTAGCCAACTTTCACTACATGTTTGTTAATGAGCAGTGGGTCTATTATTTTTCATTCCATCCTATCCTGTGCAATCCTTTCAATATCATGGATGGAATCCAATCCAGCGCCTTTGGCTTTTCTCATCAACATTCATCTTAGGGTTTCTCTTGGACATCCTTCCCTGATCCATTTGTTTCCTATTTCAGAGCCTGTTTAGTGTCACAGCATGCCTGAAAGTCTCCCCCCTCCCCCAATTCAGCCTTATATTCTTTCAGAGCCCATGTATCTTCAGTGTTTTGTATCCAACATTTTGGAGGGAGGTCTTCCTCTGCTTGATTTTCCACAAATTCGACCCTCCATCATCGTTGTTTCCAGGCCACCTAGACGCTTAATGTGGCCGAAATACCTCAGCTTTTGGGACAGGATACATGTATGAGACAATTTTCCTCAGTGCTCAGATCATGCAGGATGTCACTGTATTTTTTTGTGGGTGGGGGGGGGGGGTGGGGGGTGGGGGGGGGGGGCGGTGGGAGGCGTATATATTAAAAAAAAAAAAAAACTTTTTTGAGTGTAATCTCTGACTATGTACATGGTGTTGCTGTTTGTTTCCGACACACACTTCCTGTTTTTCACGAACACTTCCTCTTTCTCACAAACAGCTCCTCTTTCTCTAACACACTTTCTCCTTCTCACACACATTTCATCCTTCTCTTACACACTTATTCCTTCTCACAGACACTTCCTGTTTCTCACACACACTTCCATTCTTCTCCTACATACTTGCCTCCTTCTCACACACAATTCCATCCTTCTCCTACATACATACCTCCTTCTCACACACACTTCCATCCTTCTCCAACATACTTTGCTCTTTCTCACACACACTTCCATCCTTTCTAGACACACTCCCTCCCTCACCTTGTATCTGAGCTTACTCTCCCCAATCTCTCTGTTGAGCCTGTGATGGTTCATCATCATCTCCTCATGACAATCTGCCCAGAACACAGACAGGGACAGGGCTCCCTCTTCAAAGTTGCTCTCCATGAAATGGGTCATCTGGGGCCCCACCTAGGAAATATTCATGAATGAACAAATGAATAAGTCAGTTAGTAAAGAGACACCAAGGCAGAACTCCCCTTTTCAAAGTTGCCTTCCATGAAATTGGTTATCTGGGGCCCTACATAGGAAACTAATGAATAAATGAATGAATAAATGAGTCAGTTGAACAAACACAGATACAGAGCCCCTTCTTCAAAGTTATTTTCCTAGCTAGGAAACATAATGCATGAATGAGTAGACATATGTAGGGACAGCAGCAATTTCTTCAAAGTTTCTCTTCATTAAATGGGGCATAATCAATGAATTAGTAAGTAAATGAATGACTGGTGAATGATAAATGCATGAAAAAAGAATTAAACATAGTGTTGGGGCCCCTCTTCAAAATGGGTCAGCTGGAGATTTACCTAGGAATCATCAAGGAAGAACTGAAAAAATGATCACACACAGGGTAAAGGGTCCCTTCTTTAAAGTTGCTCTACATGAAGATATGCTGCATATGAAGCTATTCTTATTTATAAAGACTGATTCAGTGATAAAGTCATCACCATGCCAGCAACCTTTACTTCCCAGAACATTTCCTAGTACCAATTTTAGGCTGGCTCGACCTGAGAGCCAAGATCAAATTGTTTCCAAATCTATCCAGTACGAATTTGAACCCAAGACCTTAGGGCCAGAGGTTAGTGTTTAGCCAATGTGCTACCAAAACTCAACTTTACTCCTAATCCTAAGGGTAACAAAAGAGGCAGAGAAAAGGAGCCAACTTCAAAATATTTTACCCTAATGTCAAATAAGTACTGCAATATAAAGGTGAAACATGATGAACAACTAAAACAATTGCTAATTACTACTAATTTTCATTAACCTGGTCGCTCGATAAAACTAAAATAAACAGGTCAGGACTCTGTGGAAATTCCACCCCCCCCCCCCCCCCCCCCAAAAAAAACAATTTTAAAAAGGTCACTAATAATTTATTCTTAATATATCTATCTATGCTCTTTATTATAGTTTTTTCAAAATATTTAAAGATATATAAAGATATATAAAGGGAGTCATTTAAAAAAAAAAAAACCTAGTGAAGCCTTAAATGGAATATAATCCTCATGGCCTAACCAAAAAAAAAACAGTGTGTATATGGTGACTCATGCTGTGACCACCATGATCTCTATCAATGAGGCTTAACTCTTTGAGTCCCAGAGGGTTTAGCATCACAGGCCCAAGAGGTAGTCAAAAGAGACGTAAAATCGGCGCATCATGCGTTCATTGGGCTTCTAGGCAGTAACCTATGAACGTATGATGAACCCCTAAATACTATTTTTAGCTAGCATATTTATATCATGACCTCCTTAATATTTGCAGAGGTGCAAACTCAATCAATAGCCTTAACTATATGTCTCATAAACATGTCATTCTAGACCAGTCAGAAAAATGACATTTATGGGGAATCCGATCCTACCAGAAGTGTCAATTTTGCAGCTTCCCAGGCCACAGGGTTTACTGGTGTCTGTGCAGAATAAAGGCAATTAAATGTTATTACAGAATAACTAAAACAGGCTTTGGTAGAGAACTTATACAATGGATATTGCAACCCTTTGGCCTTGATTCTGTAATACGGTAAATCTAGGAGAAATGTGACTTCTCTGCCTACCCCCGGGCGTGAACCCGGACCACAAGGAGTTCGTCACCCGGTCGCCGCGCAGTCAGGTTTAATTAACTGAGCTAGTGAGCCAGGCAATCTAATGGTTAAACAGGGTTTCTGAAAGTTGTGCTCGGGTGATCCTCATCCAAAAGGTGGCACTTTGTGTCACTGTGTGTTGATTGTACGTTGAACAGCTTTGGTGGGGTTGAACGACACATACATGTGAGGAAAGTTGTTAGCACTGGATAGGACATAAGGTGGAGAAAATCTGGTAACAATATAACTAGAATGTCTCTGCACTGGAACTCAAAGGGTCAAAGGAATAACAGTAGACCCAAAAAAACTCATGGAAAAAAAAAAATAGTGAAGCTAAAATGATGGAGAGGATAAGAGGTGAACTGCATGCAACAGTGTAGCCCGGTTCGCTAGAGTAGTTGGTTAAACCTGACTTTGCTGTAATCAGGTGATGAACTCCTTGTGGTCCAGGTTCACGCCTAGGGGTAGGCAGAAAAGCCACATTTCTCCCAGATTTACATATCTATCATGGAATCAAGGCCGAGGGGTTGCGATATACATAGTACCAAGCCAAAGGGTTAACAACTCATGGTTTCTTGATACTTTGAAAAAAAAAATGCAACAGTAAAATATAGAATGAGTTGGTTGAGGGCCTATGCAAAGAAAAAATAAGAGGATAACATGCAAGATATAGCAACATTTGGCTCACATAGTTACTGATGAATGTCTGCCACTCTTCGCTATAAGCATATGTCTTGAAATCATCAAAGAAGGTGGAGCTCAATGATGTTTTTGGCAGATGAGGCAAGTGTGTGCTGATGGTCAAAAGCTCCTGACCCTTGTCGATCAAAGCTCTTAGTACAGGCATCAGGTAGGCATAGTTGTCTGTGTTAGCTAAAGAAACAAATTCATTACAGGTCATGGTAAACTATACTTTACTCAACAACATAAATATAGTGAAACACTGTGGACGAACTAAAATAATTATCCAACAACTACAAAAATCCATTGAATGGTTTCTGCACAGAAAGGAAGGAAACAATTGAACACCAATTACAGAATCCCTAATAGAACATTTTTTGGTGGACTAGATTATTTTATGTTCCCAGAATAATCTTTGTTGAATTTCACTGATCTTGGTTGGCGCCACTTTTCACAGAGAAATGTGTGGTTGTCTTCATTACAGTATGTTTTGCCTCCATTTTCACAGAAACATCTGTGGTAGTCTTCATCAGAATCTGTGTTGCCTTTACCTTCACAAAGAAATCTGCGATGGTCTTCGTTAGAGTCTGTGTTGCCTCCGCTTTCACATGGATATCTGTGGTGGTCTTCGTTAGAGTCTGTGTTGCCTCCGCTTTCACATGGATATCTATAGTGGTCTTCATTAGAGTCTGTGTTGCCTCCGCTTTCACATGGATATCTGTGGTGGTCTTCGTTAGAGTCTGTGTTGCCTCCGCTTTCACATGGATATCTGTGGTGGTCTTCGTTAGAGTCTGTGTTGCCTCCGCTTTCACATGGATATCTGTGATGGTCTTCGTTAGAGTCTGTGTTGCCTCCGCTTTCACATGGATATCTGTGGTGGTCTTCGTTAGAGTCTGTGTTGCCTCCGCTTTCACAGAGACATCTGTAGTCTTTGTTAGCGTCTATGTTGCCTTCACTTTCACAAAGAAATCTGTGGTGGTCTTCTTTAGAGTCTGTGCTGCCTTCATTTTCACAAACAAATCTGTGGTGGTCTTCTTTAGAGTCTGTGCTTCCTTCACTTTCAGATAAATCCGTGGTGGCCTTCGCTGTGGTGGAATTTCTTAGGATCTAGACTTCACCCCAAGATGTAACATTCAGTTACAGATCACTAATGCAAAAACTATCAAATGCAGACATAATCAGAAACAAAGAAGAGGAAAGTTCAGAAAAGCAAAAATTAAAAAATAATGTCAAATGTTAACTAAATAAATGCAATGAACTTTAGATTTTAACAAAATTCAAGTATAATTCAAGCTTTAAATAAAAATACAGCAACTTAATCCCAGCTATTAAACAAACAAAGTTAAAATACAAACAAAGATTAATTTAGACTAATACTTGTTCAAAACAATCAAACGCAGACTTTACTGAAATGCTACAAACAAGATTATATGGTACCTTTAAAAATGAAGACTATTTTATTTCAATTTCTACTTTTTTTTAAAATACAGAATTTGAATTGCATTGAAAAAAATTTATGAGATGAAACTATTACTTAACAAAGTTCCCAACTTTACACTGAAATAAAAAAAAAAAAAATTAAATAGACATAGACTGTAGAGAAAAACTATTTCAGAAATGAACACTGGTGGTTTTTCCTTCCTTTCAACATGTGTGCCTACAGGCAGCCTATGCTCTGATAGGTAGACAGCATTTGGAAGTCAGATTTTATCTCCCTTATCTGGATCTGCGCAAATCAGCATGTCAGAGTAAAAGGTAATGAATGAGCGGACCAGCTGGCAAGCATTGCACCACAGCATGCAGGAAGATAAATGGACAGAGCAGATAATATCAACAATATATGGACTAGGTTGGCAGATAGTAGTGAATCTCTGACGTTAACACAACAGCATGAGTGAAGTTTAGTGAAACATGTCGGAGGCATCATCTGTACTGTTTGGACAAAACAGCAACTCATTCTGACAACAACAACAACAAAACAGCTGCACTAATCTCTTAAAATGTAAGGTGAAGACAATGCCCATTACAAACAACAAACTGCTGTAAAATCTCCACTTGGAAAATGGGATGAAAGTTCATAAACTTTTGTGTGCTATGCATGGAAGTTGTGCAGTCAATAGGGGCAGTGTTGGCCCTGGTTTTGGAGAATTAAGGCTTCAGAAAAGTGGGGAGAGGGACCTGAGGGAGTTATTCCCGCTGCGAAGAAATGGGTAAATGAACAGGAAAACCCTCATTCAGGCACAGTATTAATGCCCTGGTTTTGCATTGGCATTGAGTCATAGAAATGGACGGACATCATGTAGACAACAATGTGTAAAAGACATAATGAGTTATAGTGTAAGTAAGTTTAATATATTTGCACAAACAGTTTGTGAGAAACAAAATGTAGGGCGTTACTTTCTGATGCCTCTTGTACAACCAAGGGAACCGCGTCGATAAGACAGAGGCTCGCTTTCAAATCCAGCTGCAACTCGCAGCAGCTCACGGTCGGTGTTCGAAACCGAGCGGTTCCCGGGGTTTACCCAGCCTCTAGGAAATGGGTACCAGAGTTGATACTCTGGGGTCAATGGAGCTACAGGGTTACGTGCCGAGGGCGACACAGGTGGAAAGTTTCTTATCAGCTGTCGGTACTGGTGGCAGAGCACTTATGGTTTATAACCATGTGCAATGATGCTGGTTCACATCTCCCGACTTTACCTTTACCTTAATCTCTTTTCCATGACTAGCACTTGTACTGGTTCATGGTCACTTATTCAATATTCACAGCTATCAATATTTAGAGACTATTCAGCCTCTGACTGCTCGAACTCAACCTCAGACAGTGGTAACAGGAATCTAGTTCCCTAATGACAACACCATCATAAGTGACTGGATCTCACCTTCTATAGCCTGGATGATCATGAAGTTGAGGGCACCCAGAATGTAGGAAGCTTCTGCGGAGCTACTGATGAGTTTGGTCTGGACCAGGGAATGAAGCTTGACTGTTGCCGCTGACACCAGCTGAAATCAACATGCATGCTGACTGATTATATCCAAGGACTAAATGCATCACACTAGGAAACTATCTACTGGTCATTATCATCATTTTGCAAGTCAGGTAGCCAACCAATTAACATGATGAACAGCAAATGCTAAGATGTATTTGCCCGATACATTAAGTGTAACATATATTGAGATATGCTTACCTCATACACTGAGAGCAACACAGGCTTAGATCTGCATACACTAAGAGTAAAATACTAATATTTACTTATGCCAGACACTCTGTGTAACTCATGCTAAGATGTACTTATCTCATACACAAAGTGTAGCTTATGTTAAGATGTACCTACCCCATTCACTGGGTCATCTGGGTAAAGATTCCACTTACAGCATTCAGGACAATCCCATATTAGTCTGTCTCCCTCCTCAACAGCCAAAGAAGAGGCTCCATATTGATGGTACTTGTCATCTGGTTAACTACTTGTCTTGCCTTTTCTCTGAGTCTCAAGTGGTGCTCAGAGAACATAAGACACTCCTAGCTGTATTATTCTCTCCAGGTAAAGGTTTTCAATATCTTCCATTTTACTTGTTACCTCGTCCTGCACGCCAGAGATCACCACCATCTCCTGGAATTATTGTACACTCACTTCACCCCCTCTTTCCCCAGTGGGGCCATTCCAGCAAATCTATCCGCCTGCTCATTCTCAAACTCCTCTGTATGGCCTGGGGAAACTATCCATGTGACTCTCACCTCCTGCGACCTCTAGATTGAGGCACCCTATTCTATTTAAAGAAAACCTTATTCCATCTCCTTCAGCAAGCTCTGCAAATCTGATACTATGACAACATGTGTCGCTGAGATTTTCTGCACCCATCAGAATGCTACAATTACTGCCTCAACCTCCATTCTCAAGATGGATGTTGTAATGTTGCATGCCAAGATCTCCTCAGTCATCTTTCTCCCCCATGATTTTGCAGTGAAGCCCCATCCTATCTTTCTGCCTCTGGCCAGTGACCCGTCAGCGTATATGATCATATCTCCTGGTTTACACTATAAACTGAGTATAACATACAAATATTAATTAACCAGTACACTGAGTACAACTTATACAAATAAGTACTTACCACATATAGTGAGTCTAACACACACAAAGAGATGATAAGCAACTATCACACAGAAAACTTACATTCAAGTCCAGCTGGTTAGAGAAAGCCAGTAACACAGAAAAGCCTCTGTGGACCATCTCTGACCAGGCCACTGTTGCGTCCGTGTCCCACACTCCCAGGACATCTAGCAGGGACATGACATCTTCTAGCAACTGGGAAAGTTAAGAAAACAATAATGACTTGCCTGCAACTCAAGACAAATTGACAGGGAATCAGTCTTTTTCATAACACCAGAATTTAATATTAGTGCTAACTGTGCAAGTAAGTAAAAATGTATTGATCAGAAGCAAACAAAAAGAAAGGACTAAAACAATTACTGATAAACTACAAACATTCATTATCTGGTGTCTGCAGAAAAGAAAAAGAAGAAAACTGTATAATAAGAACCATGAATGCAGAGCTTAGGAAGAGTAATAAGCAAATTCTAACAAACAAAGTGGAACATTCCAACAAACGAAGTGAAAAAGATTCTAATGCAGAACAGAAAACATAGTGGAACCACCTGATAATAGTAAAACTAAGAAGTCACTTCACTGAAACTCATATGGCAAAACAAATAGAAGTAAGCAGAAGTGTCTTTCCACACCTTGTTGGACATAAACTGCTAGCCCTACAATTAATTTTTAACCAACCAGTATTCAATGAGTGATGTGATCAACATCACTCCAATTGTCTTTACTTCTTAGTACAACTTTTAGAAAGCTTGCCACAGGCCCGAAGAGCTTGGGTTCAAAAGTGAGGCGGATTTCTTTCAAAACTGACTTTGGCTCCGAGGTCAGCCCAGTTGACCAGCCCTGTTTAATAATGAAAATATCCTTTTTGGTGCAAGTACAAACCTATGGGAACTGTACAGGTTGACAGGCATGCTAGGCACCATGCTACCTTGGCACCCGAAAGAAGCAGAGGAAGACCTAAGAACATGGGCAAAAGATTCTTATCTTTGATGACATGACATGTACTTACCCTAATAGAGAACCGCTCAGCCGGAGCATCAGGCTCTGTGACAAAACCCTGTACCAGACGAATCAGCTCTATGGCATTCTCTGACTGTGAGGCTACAGATGGACCAGCAGTGTTGCGGATGTCGGTGCTGCAACTGTGCAGCAGCATCTCCATCAGCCTGCGCTTTATCTCCTCTGGAGGCCGAATTAGAACATGCGAGTCTCCAAGTTCGTCAATCCAGGTAAACAACTGGCATCTCTCCTGCAACAAAGTTGTACTTTCATTCATTAACTCTTTCTGTACCAAGCAATTCACCATGTGCGCTCAGCTTATGTTTATATGTTGCAATGTAACACATGGTGTGTTATCATTTGATTTCATGTTTGGTCTAGGTATGCAAAAGAAATCTGGCCAAATATTTTTAATGCAGCATAGTACAGGCTGTATCTTTAAAAGTCATGCATTGATACCTATTTATTATTGTGTCAAATTGGGTTTCTACTTTAAAACAATCTGGGACTGAAAAAGTTAAGAAACCTCATGAGAGGTGCTGCCAGAGCAGTGTTTAGCACAAGGCCTCACTAAGGATGAAGCGGTTAATGCTGTTGTGGTAAAGAGAAAAATCTAATAAAAACTATGTTTTTGCCAGCTTTATGCTACCATGTCAAACATGTAGCTTTACTACAACTCACGAGTGAAACGTTAATAACAACAGAGATGAGATGTCTTAGAAGAGCTGACAGAGTAATAAGAAAAGATCAAATGAAAAATGCATTCCCTCCACACGTTCAACCCCTAAAGACACACACACACACATGCACACACACACACATACATACACACATACACACAAACAGACATAAAGACAGACATACAGACATAAAGACAGACATACAGACAGACATATAGACACACACACACATACATACACACACACTCAGAGACACACACATACACATACATCTCTTTGCAACAAACTTGCCATTTTGATCAATAGCTCAACTCATGGCGCGTACTGCATTTATAGGTTGCACTGTTTGTGTCGCACTTGTGATGACTGCCTTATACATTTAATGTGTGTGTGTATGCTATTGGATTTATGAGACTGCAGGAACTCAAGAAGCCACCATCATCATGAAGGATTACCATATACAGCTCGCAACAATAACCAACAGCTTTTATAAGCTGGTTGAAGACAATCACAATTTTATGTGTGTTTAAGCAGGCAACATACGCTTCTTCTTCTTATTCTTAGCTCTTTCAGTTCCAAGCAACGCACGATATGCGAATGAAAACAGCATTATAATCATCTAAGTAGCATGATGTGTTCTTTTTTCACCTGTGGTCAGAAAATACTGAAGAAATGATTCCTCCCCCAAATGGCCACTTCAACTGTGTATATTGCCACACTGAAAGTAATGCATTCACAATTTTGCATCATGATAATTACTCCCCATTGGTATTCCAGTAAAACCTTCTAGTAGTCAAAGAGTTAGTGTTCACCAGCTGTAAACTCCTGGGGGAGGAGGAGGTGGGTGGGGGGGGGGGGGGAGTTCTGATTGTGCATCCACTCCTGAACTTCATCTCCAGAGTTTAGAGTGCACATCATTTTAGAGATCTGGCTTAGTTGTGAGCAGACTGTTGGTTCCTCATATCTTAGGCAGATGAACTCTGACTTCTAAGGGAAAACCCCTAAATAGTCACCTTTTACAGCATTTTTTTTGGGGGGGGGGGGGGGGTGTGGTCATGGTCATATTCCTTCTGCCCACAATGAGTCCCAAGAATCCACATGCGGAGTCTTGTGTAGTATGTGGACAGTTCCTAAATCAATCAATCTGGTAATCAATCAGAATAAATCACTCAATCTATCAATCCATCAATAAATCAGTCCATCAAGCAATCATACAATGAATGAATCAATCTACCAAGTAACCAAATAATCAATCAATCATACGATGAATGAATCAACCAACCAAGTAACCAAATAATCAATCAGTCATATGATAAATGAATCAACCAAGTAACTAAATAATCAATCAATCATACAATGAATAAATCAATCAACCAAGTAACCAAAAAATCAATCAATCATACAATAAATTATTCAACCAAGTAACCAAATAACAAATCAATCATACAATGAATGAATCAATCAACCAAGTAACCAAATAACCAATCAATCATACAATGAATGAATCAATCAACCAAGTAACCAAATAATAAATCAATCATACAATGAATCAAATAAAGCAATCAATGTAACTGTAATATAATCAGTCAATCAAGCAGTTAATCAATACTCAAAAACTTGTTAGAGCAAAATGTAACCAACCTTCCAGGAATCAACGCCTGAACCTTCCACACCCTTCCACATAATGGAGTGAAGGATGATGAGCAAGTGCTGACAAAGCTCCTCTTTCTGCTCCAGAGAGTCATTGAGTTCCACTCCAATGTGGTCTAAGACCTGCACACAATATCAATCCAACTTCCAATGAATCAAGACATGAGGAAGAGACACTGGCCCTTTGGCCCAATACATATGATTTCAGATAGTCAACTTTCATGACGTACGTTAGTTAGTTAGTTAGTTAGTCATTACAGTTCTGGTATCACAGCAGATGAGCTTGGCCCATAATTGCTCAACAGCCTATGACATTGATTCCAGTCACAATCTGAGTCAGATATGCTGGATACTTCAAGTGAATGCTGAAGCCATTCAAAGTGTCCTCAGTCAGCAAAACACACAAGATCTGACCTGGCAAACCATAAAGTGCATGCCTCCTTAAACACACTGCGAGACCAGGCATCATCGCTGAAAATCAACTTCATTCAACAAATAGCTGGGCGATAAGTAAATTAAAACTATTACTGACCATTCTCAACATGTCTTCGGCCAAGTTGCAGCCATGGCCAACAAATATATAGCAGCTATTGCACATGCCTTGTCCCAGGAACACAATGAAGAAAAATACATCACCCAATCATTGCCATTATGTACGAATCTGGAACTCAGTCAATAACTGATAATCACAGCTCATAGTGCGCCCAGGAGCTCTAAACTCAGTAGTTCCGGCTGCAAACCGGACTCCCACAATCTTGCAACATCGAAACTGGAGAAGAAACGGCAACGAGAAAGGTTCTCAACCGTCATCCATTCTCTATCAATGTCAGAACCGCACATGTTTGTTAGGGAGACAGTGGGACTATCCCACAATAACGTCAACAAATGGGGCCCTGAACCCACAAAGCAAGTGCTAGAGCTCACAGCCTCAAGAAAATAAAGGTTGACCCAAACACTCAGAAGGAAGCTGGAAATGGGAATAAAAGGGGGGGGGGGGCTGGGGAATATATGGGGTGAGCTATACATAATAGCAAAAGACAAGGTGATTTTGCATGCATTAATTGGAGGCTTATGCTCCACTGGGTTATAAAGGGTAAAAGAGAAAGAAAGAAAGAAAAAAAGAAAGAAAGAAAGAAAGAAAGAAAGAAAGAAAGAAAGAAAGAAAGAAAGAAAGAAAGGAAGGAAGGAAGGAAGGAAGGAAGGAAGGAAGGAAGGAAGGAAGGAAGGAAGGAAGGAAGGAAGGAAGGAAGGAAGGAAGGAAGGAAGGAAGGAAGGAAGGAAGGAAGGAAGGAAGGAAGGAAGGAAGGAAGGAAGGAAGGAAGGAAGGAGATGAAGGAAGGAAGGAGATGAAGGAAGGAAGGAAGAAAGAAAGAAAGAAAGAAAGAAAGAAGAAAGAAAGAAAGAAAGAAAGAAGAAAGAAAGAAAGAAAGAAAAAGAAAGAAAGAAAGAAAGAAAGAAAGAAAGAAGAAAGAAAAGAAAAAGAAAGAAAGAAAGAAGAAAGAAGAAAGAAAGAAAGAAAGAAAGAAAGAAAGAAAGAAAGAAAGAAAGAAAGAAAGAAAGAAAGAAAGAAAGAAAGAAAGAAAGAAAGAAAGAAAGAAAGAAAGAAAGAAAGAAAGAAAGAAAGAGAAAAAAAGAGGAAAAAAAGAGAAGAAAGAAAAACAGCCAGGCAGGCAGGCAGGCAGGCAGGCAGGCAGGCAGGCAGGCAGACAGACAGACAGACAGACAGACAGACAGACAGACAGACAGACAGACAGACAGACAGACAGAAACAGTAATAAATTAATTAATTAAGACTTACTTCATATCTTTGATTTACTTCATGTCTATGATTTATTTCACATACATGATTTACTTCAGGTCTGTAATTTACTTCATGTCCATGATTTACTTTATGTCCATGATTTACTTTATGTCCAAAATTTACTTCATTATTACTTTATGTCGGTAATTTACTTTATGTCCATGATTTACCTAATGTTCAAGATTTACTTCATGATTTACTTTATGTCCATGTTTTACTTAATAATTTACTATGTCCATAATTTACTTCATGTCCAGACTTACTTCATGTCTATAAATTACTTCATGTCCTTGACTTACTTCATGTCTATGATTTACTTCATGTTCATGATTTGGTTTATGTTCATGACTTACTTCATGTCTATGATTTACTTCATGTCTAAGATTTACCTTATGTCTATGATTTACTTCATGTTTATGATTTACTTCATATCTATAATTTACCTAATGTTCATGTCTTACTTCATGTCCATGATTTACTTCATGTTCATGATTTACTTTATGTCTATGATTTACTTGATGCAAATGATTTACTTCATATCTATGATTTCCTCCATGATTTCCTCCATATATATAATTTACTTCATGTCTATGATTTACTTTATGTTAATGATTTATTTCACGTCCAAGATTTCTTTCAATTTTATGGTTTACTTCTATGTCTATGATTTACTTATTTATTTCCTTCAAGGCCATGATTTACATTATGTCCAAGATTTACTTCACGATTTACTTTATGTCCATCGTTTACTTTACGTCCATGATCTATTACAAGACTGACTTATGTCCATGATTTACTTCATGCTACATGCCAATAATTTACTTCATGTCCATGGTTTACTTTATATCCCTGATTGAATGTAACAGCAGACTGATACTCATGAAGGATAGCTAATGACGCATTACTGCTCCTTGGGACAGACAGACTGCCAAGTGACAACATACCTGTTTGTACCCATCTTCTCTCAGCACCACAGAAGTCCTCCGCCCATCATCCTCAGCTTCAAACACATTTTCCGGTGCTGACTGTTTCCTCATTTTGTCTAATCTACCTAAGTCTCTCAAGCTGCCTGATGGTGGCGCCATCTCCAGTGTGTCCACTGATATCTCAGAGTTCCCCAGGGCACTGTCCTCTTCAAAGATGGAAGAACAGAGGGAGATGTTGCTTGCACTTGTCGAGACAACCCCACTTTGGGAGTCAGTGAATGAAGCTGTGTCCTGTAGTAGATCCTCCATACTGGCCGTTGAGCTTCGGCTTCCTTGGAGAAACCCTAAGAAATGTAACACATAAAGGAATCAGTGAAAGGGTATTAATCAGAAATTGACTATATCTCGTTCAGGCGCTAGATTTTATATTCGTTCCCACGGGCTGTTCTCTGCTCTGGAGGTGTTATGAGATGACTTCCTTCCACATCTTTAAGATCTCACGATTAAGTAATGAGACTAATTCCATAAAAATTTTAATCATCAACAGTTGAAGATGTAACTTGTATTTTATTCAAAGTAAGCCCTTTGTGCATTGAAACAGCGAGTGGCACTATCTAAAAACACTGGAACGACCTCTGTAGTTCTTCTGTTGTTATGGCCCTTGAAGTCGATGTTACGGCCCTTTGGATATGTCATCAATATCTTCAAAGAAGCGTCCTTTCTATGTAACTTTAATTTTGGGAATAGAAAATAATCACAGGTAGACAAATCTGGGAAATAGGGTGCATGGTTTAGAACACACACTCTTTTTAGGGCCAAAAATTCTCGTACAGCTACCGCTCAGTAAGCCAGTGCATTGTCATGAAGAAGGTACAAACCAGCAAGAAACATTTTTCTTGGCCCAAATCTTGCACTTAAATTTTGCGAATGGTCTCTCTATTAACACCAAATTCATCTACCATCATCCTCAAAAAATGATTTTCTTGCACCCGTTCTCTGATTTTTACAATAACATCCTCATTACAAACAGAAATTGGGAGTCCAGGTCTAGTTGCATTAGTAATCACTTCCACATCACTTTTAAATTGTGAATACCACCTGAAAATCTATGCACAAGATGAACAATTATCCCCATAAACTTGTTGCATCAATTCAACTGTCTCAATGCTGAATAGGTAACAATGCACCTGTGACTAAGTCAACAAAACGGCAGCTTGTTTGCTGTCTGCTTATCAGGCGGCGATGACAAGTTGCCAGATCATAGATGAAGGTTGCCTCTATGAATTCCATGCTTTGCTTTATAGATTGCCTTTTTGTCTTGGCCATAATCAAATCAGTCTCATTGCTTAATTGTCAGACATTGTATATATGCCATGGTGAAAACTAGCTCATGTTCATTCAACATGAGCAACCATCTCTTCTGAAAATGACTGTTGTTTCTTGAAAATGTTGTTGTGAGTAGCTCAGGCGCTGCAATCTGTATTTCGGGCTGTATTTCTACACTCATTGGCAGTGGCTGTCATCAGTAGTGTATGTGCTTAAAATGTTAAGACAAGCAACATCTGACAACCCTAAGACATAGGACAGCTCATGGGAATGAATACAAAATCTCGCGCCCAAGCAAAATGGTGTGAATGTTGTGATTAGTACCAGTTAAAGTAATGAAAATATTAAATAACAATCCTATAATGAATACTAATTTTCATCACAGAACAAAAAGTTTTCAAGAAACTATTAACATTTTTTGACATATTGCCACCAAAGTCATGGCTGAATCCGTCACATTCGGATATATTAGCTCTTAAGGGGCTCCGGGCATAGACATTCTAATATTGTTCTGTTTGCTAAGAAAATGAATTTGTTTTGAAAAACTGGAATTAACGAAAGGAAGTAGTTTCATTTTCCAAGTGTGGTAGTAAGCTGAGAGATTTAATTTTCTATTTGTTTTCAATTAAAACGGTGTGATACAATTTATGTGTGATTTTTCAGACAAAGTGGTATAGGAAAAGGTCTTAAACCATTCCTACTGCTGTTGTAGTCGATGAATCTAAGCCAGACAGTGATAATATAATAGTCTTGACATTAAGAATAATAATGCAAGTGCAACACCTACTGCCAACAATATGGGCTGGGATGAAGGTGAAAAAAATATTTCAATATGATAATCCCTGTTTCAGTCAGCTGTATCTGGAATTTGGTTGTTGTGAAATTTGACGTAACACAAAAAATGGTCATAAAATCAAAAGTATTAAGATTCACTGTCTCAAAGACTAGTTGATGCATAATCGAATAAAGAAGACATGCAGACTCTTTGAAATGGATATTAGTGCCGCTGATCAAGTAAGAAAAAAAGGTATGGTAAGTACAAAACTTCACGTATAAAAAATCTTTATGCATTTCTAACATCCTTGAATGTGGTGTCATTTTAAAACTCTGTTGTTGCAATACTGTTCCTTAAATAGTTTAGATGTATTCTGTATTCATTTCTTTAATTTGATATATTACGTGTCTCTATACAGCCAATACTTTTTCTTCAGGAAGGTTTTAGCTTTGTCATGTTGCAGTAAAATAATTTCAGCTTGAAATTAATTATCTCCAAACCCCAGAAAAAAGTGCAGAGTTAATTAAAAATATAAGAGTCAGAAGAGGATTATCAGAAAGAGAGAGAGGGGGGGGGGGGGGGGAGACAAATAGGGAGATGAAAAATAAATTATGAGAACATTTTTAAAAAAAGACATGACAAATAGGTGGAAAGATCAATAGTCAGAATTACAAACAAAGAGGTGGGAGAGATATTAAGTTGGGCAAAATGAGAGACACATGCAGACACAAGAGAAAACTATGGCCTGCAAGAGAAGTAGAATATTAACTCTGGTGTAATACATATCCGAGTAAAATATGTTTAGTTATTTTATCATACTCGACCTCACTGCATTTACATACTATCTGAATTTATCATTCATCTAAACCTGTCTTTTCATTCTTAATTCTTACACTGAATGAATCAAGAACTGACATCACTGCGCTCTGGACATTTCCACATGTGCTCCGTCCCCTTCTTCAGTAACCAACCAATGAAGAGCAGACATGTTAATAGTACTAGCTGAAATCTGATTAAAAGTCTGCCTCTGTATCCCCCTCAATGCTGAATATCTTTCAGAACCTCCAACTCCCCCCCCCCCTCATCCCCTCCCCCCATTGCCAATTAGTCTTTCAATATATGGATTCCTTATCTGTTCTATTGAACTGTCCATTTGATACTATAGAGCCTTTACCACATCCATTTTATCCTGAAGTAGCTCACGGCCCAGAGGAGTGGCAACAGCAAATTAATCAGCCTGATCGTGATCGTTATCTCACACATGTGAATGTCCTGGACAAAAAAATTCATGATATGCTCCTGATCTGAGTCGAATCAAGTGATGCAAGCCTATCTGCCTGCAGGACGCTAGTTTCAATTTTCCGAAGCATACTTTCTGAGACCATTACAATTACAACGTGTTGGCCATCGGAAAGCTGCTGTTACTGCCTCCACCTCTATTCTCATACTGGATGTAGTGACACTGTACATGAGGCTCTCTGTTTTCAAAGTGTTCTCATGGATTTTGGACAATGGTATAAAAGAGATTGGAGCCTCTCTTTTCTGCAGAACAGCTTGCCATCTGCCGAGAGCACAGCATAAAGTAGGAACAAAATCTGGCATCAGCAACAATCCCAAGCTTGTGGCCTAAATAATGTAGTACAAAAACAAGCTCACAACCTTCATAACATGCGGCAAACAGCTTATCTACTTCACCACATAATAATCAGATATAAGAGCAACAAACAAACCGTTATCGTCATCCTCCGAAGTTCCCAGTTCATAGAAAGTTCTCTTTATATACAGAGGCGTAGCTGGAGTTGGCTCAGTGTCTAGAAGCTGGTCTAATGCTTCAATGCTTTCAATGTCGCAATTTGTGCAACGGCCGCCAGGAATGGAATGTAGGTTGAGCTCGTGAGGTCGCTGCTGTGCACCTGCAATTTGTCACGAATTTTCAACATCACCTAAAGTTCTAACACCCATCACACTGGGAATCAACATGGCAACATGATCACACACTATGACATCAATATCACAAGTTATATTTGTTACACCATATTATCAATACTTCTCACACTATGAGAACCACAAAGTATATTAACCCTCATCCCACTATGACATCAAAATAACATGTTAACACTTGTCCGACAATAGCATCAACATGGTATGTTAACATTTGTCACATCATGACACCAACATAAAATGTTAACACTAATCACACCAATGACATCCACATGACATATTAATAATACTTACACACCATGACACAACCAGACATGTTAACAATAATCAGACCATGACTTCTTTGACGCACCATGACATCAACATGACATGTTAACTCTTGCCTTGCCATGACATAAACTAAGAATGTGTTAACATTCACCCCACCATGACATCAACATGACATATTAGCTCTTGCCTTGCCATGACATAAAATAAAAATGCGTTAACATTTACCCCACCATGACATCATGACATGACATGTTAGCTCTTGCCTTGCCATGACATAAACTAAGAATGTGTTAACATTCACCCCACCATGACATCAACATGACATGTTAGCTCTTGCCTTGCCATGACATAAACTAAGAATGTGTTAGAATTCGCCCCACCATGACATCAACATGACATGTTAGCACTTGCCTTGCCATGACATAAACTAAGAATGTGTTAACATTCACCCCACCATGATATCAACAGAGAACATGTCAACACTCAACATACCTTGAAGCTCTTCTGGAATGACACAGGAGTTAACAGGTTCCCTGAAAGACAACGGAGCTGGGGTCAACCTGGAATGTGCATCTGGAATGTCTAAAATTAATGGCGGGGATGATGATGACAACAGTGCAGAAACACCACTAGATGACAAGTCCTCCTTGGTGGCAGTAGCTGTTGCTGATGATGTGGTCTCTATGGATGCAGCAGTCACTGTGTTTTGTTCAGGTTTGAGAGTGGGTTGTGATGATACAGATACCGAAGCTTCTGGAATAGAGGTAGAGGCAGCCAGAGTATCATCTTGCAGCTGCACTAATTGTGAGTCAGCTGACGACAATGGTGTGATCAAGCTATCCTTGCTTACAGTTATTTTGTTACTGCTGTCATTTGAATTGTTTGGGGTTGATGTTTGACTACATGATGAGAAATTTCTCCTCCGCTCTACGGTCAGAAGCCGAACAATGCTTTCCTGCCAACCCAACTGTTTAGCAAAGCCTCGAGCTGCTCCTGTTTTTGATACGATGACTGTCAGAAGCTGAGGAGATCATATAGAAATTATGAGTCATTGTAGATCATATAGAAATGACATGACATTGGAGATCATATTGAAATGATGAGTCATTAGAGATCATATAGAAACGATGAGTCATTAGAGATTATACAGAAATGATGAGCCACTGGAGAGAATACAGAAATGATAAGTCACCGAATATGATATAGAAATGATGACTCACTGGAAATAATATTAAAATGATGCAATTCTGGAGACTATACTGAAATGATGAGTTTCAGAGACGATATAGAAACGAGATTTTTTTTGGCAAAATCCAACTCATTTTATTTAGCATTATCAATGCAACAGGATTAAGAGCACCACTGCCGTTTACTTTTCCTACACACATGAAGGATATTCAGAGACCGACACAGCATGGTGACCAGTCAACACTGTCAGATACACACAGGTTGCGGAGATGCACAGAATTCATATCCTTTTTTTTATGTATGTTTCCTCTGTTTGTAATTCTGACTATTGATATATCCACCTATATGTCTGTCTTTTTATTTTTTTTTAATGTTCTCAAAATGTCTTTTTCATCTTCCTGTTTGTCTCCCCTCCCCTTCCTCACGCCTCTCTCTCTCTTTGGTGTTTTGGAAAATTCTACTGATGATATTCCTCCATGCCACTGTCTTAAGCCATCCACCATCATTTTTCTTGGTCTGCCTCTGCCTCTTCTACCAGTGATCTTTCTTGTCGTCACGACATTTTTCAGTACTTCCTTTTTCTTTCTACCTACACACCCATTAACATTTATATTTTCCTCCGTTGTTCCCTCTCTCTCACCCCACAGTTAGCAAACCCCTCTCCCCAACTCTTCATGCTGGCCAATCATACTTCACTAGGCACTTCCACATTCAGTCTATAACAGCATTTTACCAGTTTCATTTCTTTGCTTTAGAACATTCAGAAAGGTCCAGATAAGTATCGCATACTTTTTATAGTTCTGTCATTTACTGTTATTTTGTTTCATTTCTTTACATAAAATCTGAAAACCATAAGGCAGTATTTTAGAGTCAGTTAATAATTTGTGAGTGTGTTGTTTTGTTTCTCGTTGTTTTTCTGCTGATGAAGGCTAATTTCTGCAACCTCCTGTGTTTGTGTATTGTAACTGGCTCTGTAAAGCTGACTTTTAATTTATGTTTTTCTTCTTTTTCTATCCTATCTTTCCTTTTTTTTTCTCCTTTCTTCTTTGTTTTTTTTTTTTACAGACATTTTGTTACATATTAAGATACAAACATGTGACCAACAGCTATACCTGTAACATACCAGGACATTAAACCATTTGGTTTCTCCATGTGGGTTTTAGGGCAAACAAGAACAGACCCACTGCACACTTTCAAGCACACTGTAAAAGATGACTAATCATTGGTTTTCTGAAATGATGCATTCTTTTTTCTTCTTCTGTGTTCATCTGAGGATATATTTGTCGTGTCCATTTCAGCTAACATATCCGACTTCTTCAGACATTTGTCACCTGAGTTAGCTCATGTCATACTGGGTGACTAATTAGGGGAGTTTCCTCCAAAGTTAGAGTGCACCTGCCTGAGCTTGAGGAACCAACAGTCTGCATACAAATAAGCCAGATTTTTAAAATGGATGTGCATGCAAAACTTGAGTTCTTGAACAAGACCAGAGTCCAAGAACAGATCAACAATTAGAACTTTCTGCCGAAGTTTACAGAAGAAAAAGATACTGCAGCCTAGGTGCAAATCATTACACAACAAACAGCCTTTTCTAAGGACGAGTGCAAAAGAAGAAGAAAAAAAAATATCGGGAAATTTATTTAATGATTATTTTGAATAGAAGCAAAAAAAACCTTACTTGTTTGATGGCTACTGATTTCACATCTAATCCGCTATTGTGGACAATACCAAGTATGGCCAATATTGCACCATAAGTTTGTGGAGTTTCTGTAAAAAACAAAAAAAATTATTCAAAAATTGAAAGAGATGATAATGATGACAATACTGAACATATAATTCATTATGGGGATTCAGGTCTATCTAACATTCTGCCCTCACATTCTGACCCAAATCCTTTCATACATTAGTTCATTTATATATCTTATAACAGGGCTGATGACAATGTAACTATAATGTCTTTGCACTGGAATAAAGGCAGACCATAAAAAAACATGGAGAAGGAAATTCGAGAGTGAAGCCAAAAAAAGATGAGAAAAAATTGTTCCATTTTGCATGTGACAGCTAAGGATAGGATGACCTGCCGTGAGTTGGTTAATTAAGAGTCTCTATGTTCCTGAAAGAAGAAATGTTTTAACATCAGATATCAAACACCATCAACAACAAGTAGATTAATTACAAAATACTATGCAAGGTACCTGTGAAGGAGACTTGTTCCAGGAAGCGTTTGATCATCGGCGCTGAGATATCATATGATGTCATCATGTTTATTAGCCCCCAGTGTCCAATCTCAGTCAAGCGTAGCCGTGACTTGCTTTTCTCTGAGATTCTCTCTGACTTGAGCAGCAGGTAGAGTATCTGAAGAAGGAAAATTATGAGACTAATGATTCTGAAACTACAGCTGAAAATTGTGTCTCCCTTGCGGGAACACTCTGGAAAGAGAAAAATGAAATATATCTTGAAAGAAATGAACTCATGAAGAGAACTGAATACCTGTATCAGATAAGATGAGATAATCTACAATCTTTAACGCACTGATTACCATAATTGGCCGATGTTTAAACCTGGTTACCACAATCGCACCCACTGCAATTGTAACTTTAGACATTGCAACCTTTGAGATAAATGTAGTTGCAGCTGTCAGTTCATTCATTTCTTTGTTTCTTTAATGAAAGGTAGGGCCCAAAGTAAATTTTCCATGAATTGCCTAGGTGAGCTCCTAAGTCAATGAGGCATTAGATAGATGTTTTATAAATGGTGCTATTCATTATGGCCAGCATGGTGGAACAGTTGGGGGGGGGGGGGGGGGGGGGGGGGAGGGGGGGGGGGGGGGGGGGGGGGGGGGGGGGGGGGGGGGGGGGGGGGGGGGGGGTGGGGGGGGGGGTGGGGGGGGGTGCATTTCTGATGATGTGGAATACTGTCTCGTTTTCAATCAGAAAGTTAAGGTGGAGATCCTTCTCAACAGTGTGAAGACTATGACTTTGATCATTCTTGTGAACTGCCATCAAAAACATCATCAAAACTGGAAGATGACGTTTCACTTACAGCAGTGGTGTGGCAATCGGAGTTAGGTATGTCATCCTGCATTAGTTTGTGTAAACTGTTTTATGTATGTCCTTCAGGTGTGTGATGTTGGATGCCTCTGATAGTGTAGATTGTGTACATGATGGCTCTGGGGTTTAGAGTTTAGTGAAAATAATTTTACAATGCAATCCTCAGTGTTTACCAGGATGTGTTTTCCCCATTGTGCGTTTTGGAAAAAGATTGGTTTTTTGTGTGGCTTTTTGGGTTTGACAGTTCAGATACTGTATCAGAAGTTCTCAGTACAAAATAGCACAAAGCAACAAAATTTGCAGTTTTATTTCACAGTTAGGCAGAGCCTCTTCCCCCCCCCCCCTACCCACAAAAAATAATAGTTAAATTGGTGTCGAATCAAAACATTTTACGTTGCCTTATTTGCACCAATGTACAGCACTCGATGATGATGATGTACAAGATTACTTAATGTTTTATTCTTTAAATTTGTTCTCCATTTAATTTGGTGTTAAAATGCAAAATATTATGAATTTATGTTAAACAGCGGTGAAGCTATGGCATTTTTAGTACACACTAAGACTTGTGTTATCTAGGAAAATGCAAGGGTTAATGGGCGAGGTTGTCAGTGGGTTAATCACATCACAAGTACAGGGAAACTGGAGGACATCATAACAATGGCAAAGTTGCAGGAGAAGAAAGGCAGAAAGCATAAGGATAGAAGATGCTGGACACCCTGGCAACATGGCATGGAGGATCATCCCAGTCAGAAATTTCTAAAATTACAAGAGATAGAAGGCGGTAGGAAGACATGACTTCGATGTTTAGTACTGGTAGCATAGTGTTGGTATGAATATGTAAACTTATAACGCAATAAAATACATTCTAGAAATCAATGAACCAATCATATTGTCACAGAAAATGCCACAACAGCACCCCAAAAAAATATAATCCAAATGTTCTTCTTCCATCTTGCAACATCAAGAGGGAAACAAGAACAGGAATTCTTACCTTCACCACCTTCTCATAGAAAATGATAGGCTGGTTTGGGTAAGTGAGTAGCTGGTACAACATCTCTGCTTGTTCCGGCTCATACAACAAGACAATCAGCTGATGCTGCCTCCGACTGTGACTTTCTATTAGGGCAATCAGCAGATCCATGGCCTCAAGAAGCTGCAATCAGATGAATACATTGAAAAGCTGTCTTTTTAAAATGCAGTAGGCACATTGTGTTACGTTTACAGTAGGGCTTCTCAACTAAGTTTACTCAGAAGCCAAAATGTTGAAATGGGGATCATCATAGGGCAGATGCCTGGCAGTTGATTAGTCTGGTTTACAGCAGTTGAAATGTCTGGTTTACAGCAGTCAAATAGTCTTGTTTACAGCAGTTAAATAGTCTGGTTTACAGCAGTTGAATAGTCTGATTTACAGCAGATGAAATGTCTGGTTTACTGCAGTTAAATAGTCCTGGTTTACAGCAGTTAAAATTTCTGATTTACAGCAGTCATATAGTCTGGTTTACAGCAGTCAAATAGTCTGGTTTACAGCAGTTGAAGAGTCTGGTTTACAGCAGTTGAAGAGTCTGGTTTACAGCAGTTGAAGAGTCTGGTTTACAGCAGTTGAAAAGTCTGGTTTACAGCAGTTAAAGAGTCTGGTTTACAGCAGTGGAAGAGTCTGGTTTACAGCAGTTGAGTAGTCTGGTTTACAGCAGTTAAATAGTCTGGTTTACAACAGTCAAACAGTCTGGTTTACAGCAGTTAAAAAATCTGGTTTACAGCAGTTAAATAGTCTGGTTTACAACAGTCAAACAGTCTGGTTTACAGCAGTTAAATAGTCCTGGTTTACAGCAGTCAAATAGTCTGGTTTACAGCAGTTAAAAAATCTGGTTTACAGCAGTTAAATAGTCTGGTTTACAACAGTCAAACAGTCTGGTTTACAGCAGTTAAATAGTCTGGTTTACAACAGTCAAACAGTCTGGTTTACAGCAGTTAAATAGTCTGGTTTACAACAGTCAAACAGTCTGGTTTACAGCAGTTAAATAGTCTGGTTTACAACAGTCAAATTGTCTGGTTTATGGCAGTTAAATAGTCTGGTTTACAGCCAGACTGCATTTTGACTAACAACTTTTTTCAGAAACAAAAGTTATCTATTCAGCAATTTAACTGTTTATACAGTTCTTAAAAGTATACATTTCACTTTTTTTCCAATTAGCTGTTATGTTTTTGCCTGTGTTTCACTTATGTTAATCCTTAACTCTTTCAGGCCCATGAATTTTGACAGACTTGGCCCACATTAATTTCCTTTTACAAAGATGGCAGAGGGGTGGGTGTACAAGAAAGGCTGTAGAGATTGTAGTATACTTCTATTCCCTATAAAAGTATATATTTTTTAAAAGAGAAATGAATGTACTTTTTGAATTTGATGATAAGTATTTGTTTGATTTTGTTATAGTTAGTGGAAAAGAAGAATTCAGCAGGTGTTAATTTCACAAGGACAACATTTCACACAAAAATTCTTCACTTACCATGGTTTTGAGTAGTAAATATCCAAATTTGAGAACAAAACTTCAAAGTTTGTTCAATTTCCTAACATATTCTAAAGTTATGATAACTTTCTGGGTTAGTTTATCACTCAGAAGCTCTTAGTTCTTACCGACTGCTAAGCAAAATTTCAGGGGAAAAATGGCAGAAAAATGAGCCATTACACACACACTATTTACTATTTACTTTGTAGAGTTATTTACAGACTGTAGCTGCGATGATTTCAATGTAGCTTAGCCATAATATAGTATTGTCTCTTTGTTTAGAGCACTTTCCTTTTCTTACACCATAAATACGGTAGTATGGGATATTGTCTATGTAATAAACTCATCAGAATCGCTAGATTCCGAACAGCTGATCACTCAGCTTCACTGGCGAAAATTCACTGTCCGAATCACTTTCCAAAAAATCTAAATTTTTTTAAAATCATAATCACAATTAAAAACATCTGACAGAAACAATTTCAGAGCTTCAGCCGCAAAAAGACGCATTCTGCGACCTGTTCTTGTGGTTAGAACATTGGTATTCATGGCACTCAAAAACGAACTTAAAAAATAAACTGTTAAAAAAATGTCACTGTTTTTTTCTCTCAGATTATCCACGTGTGGTTAGTCCAGGAAATGAAACTAAAAGAATTTCGGCAGAGTGACTTTCCCTGAATAGTTAAATCGTACCTCCAAACATTAGAAACTAGTATGAACGCACGTGCGAAGCAAAATGTAAGGGACACACGATTGACGATGACACCGTTGTTTGGGCAGAAATGAACTTCTCAAACTACGCTCACACTGTTGTTTGGGCCTTAAAGAGTTAAACCTACATTTTCTTTTATTATACCTATATGTCCTGTAACATACCTATGCATACATATGTATGTAACACACATATGTATCCCTGTAACGCACCTGTGTGTCCCTGTAACACACCTATGTATCCCTGTAACACACCTATGTATTTATGTAATACACATACGTATCATCGTAACACATCTATGTATCCCTGTAACACACCTGTGTATCCTTGTGACACAGCTATGTATCCCTGTAACACATCTATGTAGCCCTGTAACACATCTATTTATCCTTGTTACACACCTATGTATCCCTTAAACACATCTATGTATTCCAGTGACACATTTATGTATCCCTGTGACACATCTATGTATCCCTGTAACACATCTATGTACCCCTGTAACACATCTATGTATCCCTGTAACACATCTATGTAGCCCTGTAACACATCTGTGTATCCCTGTAACACATCTATGTAGCCCTGTAACACATCTATGTATCCCTGTAACACATCTATGTATCCATGTGACACACGTCTGTTTTCCAGAATCACACCACCTACCAAGTTGGACTCCCTCACAGCCACGATGAAGCTCATGATGTGATTTAGCTCCTCGGCATGGATGCTGCTGGAAATGTAGTACTTAATGAGGTTTAACAGCGACACCCGGATCGTCTTGCTGTCCTCCTCATTGAGACGACTAGCATCTGTAGTGCTGTTAGTACAAAAGAATAAAGTAGTGTTAGTTCAAGAATATTCAGATTTCAACCATACGAAAGAATCCCTAATATGGTGCTTTGGAGGAGAAATAAACACATTCGAGTGAGCTGAGGGTGAAGTCTTTCTGTAGTTTCTACTTTATCTCAGAAATCTTTTACCAAGTCAGCCTTATAAGGTAGTTGCTGTCCAGAGAAGCAGTGAATCTATGTGCATGTCCCAATCAGATATCTGTATGCTTTTCACCCAAGTCCATTCAAAGAATGCAAGATACTCCAATCATAATATACAAGTGTTCGTTTTCTGAAGAATATTCTCTGATAATAGTCCCATTTCATTAGCACCTTTCCATCTTTCCAGATGATAGTGTTATATTGCGCTATGAGGAGGCATGAGACTCACAGCCCATGGCGATGGCGAGTGTGACTAGCAAGACCCGCCTGTGTCAAGAAAAGTCTTCCACAATGATAGCATAGGATTTCAGGACCTTTGTTGTCAACATTTGCGTTTCTTTTCAGATGCTCAGCTCTCATCCTTTCTGGAATCATTTCTTCCTTCACTCTCATTCCATTCCTGATATGCCCTTTCCACACAACACGGCCTATGGCATTTTGTTCCCATGAGTCCACCTCAATACCTGTATAATAAATAATAGTCCAATAGTCTCTTAAAAGTAAGCAGCAACAGGCCAGCAAGGGAGTTCATAGCAAAAGTAAATGGGTGTCGCTTAGTGCAAAAAAGCCTGGCATATGATATGAGGTGGAGACAGTCACTGCTGCCTTCTAATGGACTGAGAATCAGCTGTACAGACATGCCATAATTGTAAATGACTTACAGAATATGTTGAGAAAGGAGCAGATAGGCATGCTCCATGCAGAGTGGCAAGCCTCGCTTCAGAGTAGTTAGCATCCTTTGAGTATTTTCTCCAGGTCATGCTGGTGTCTTGGGAAACAAGCAGGCAGACAGACTGGCCGATTCTGCACCACTTGGTTTTGAACTGATGTATAACAAGCTAGATGCTGTGAGGGCCCTTTGGGAGCGAGTGAACAGTGCAGATGCTCAAATAGATCATGAAGGCCTGAGGAAAAAGGTGCTGCAGCAAGTTACCAGGGGATATGGCTTATGCTCAACACCCAAGGGAAAGGCCAGAAGGATGTACAATCAGACAGTTACTGGTACCATCGGGAATGGAATTCTTCACTTGCTGCTGAAGATGGGGACGGAGCACTTATGGGAGTGTCCCAAAAGCTATGATGTTGATTCTTAATTCAACATTCAGAAGCAGGCCAATGACTACCACTTACTTGACCGGCATGGGCAGGTTATCGTTCTATGCCTCAGGACAAGGCATAACAAACAACAAACATATGCACAGAAATCATTTGCTGTGTAGTTCCCTATAGTGTCCATGTGGGCTGTAGGTACAAACTGCAAAACATATCCTGCAAGATTGTCTTGTGTACCGCCCATTAAGAAGGGAATACTGGCCCTGTGAGTGAACACCATACTCAAAGTGGTAGAGAACTTAAGAAAAACTTTCAACATACAATTTTACCACAACTCGTCTGTCAGTGTAAATCATGGAAGCGATCACAAGAAGAATAAGAAATTTTATGACAGAATCAAATGAACATAACAAACGAGCCTCACATATAGTATGCCCGGATGACATCCAGTAGGAACTGTACTCCATACTTCTTGCGGAAGTACTTGCGGTCATCCTTAATGATAGTTGACACGTATTGAATGTGACCTGCAAGTAGAGATGTTTAGAACATGCATCTTTCCCCTGGCAATGTAACGATGTGAATCATGGGCCAATTTGTAATCATCACTGTGCAGCTCTGTGGCTCAGAGATCAGGGAAATGGTTTTTACAATGCAAACCTTGATGTTTACCAGGATCTGATTCCCACACCTGGTAGTTTAGAAAAAGACCATCCTTGTGACTTTCAGATAGTCCCACCGTGGAAGAGACTGAGGCCTTATTATGTAATATTTCCATAGTTATGAGCGGATTACAGCCAAACCCCGCTGTGGAGATGGCACAATTAAAATTATTTAATTAAAAATAAGACTATATTAGGACTTTTTAACACTAATGTTCAAGAAAAGTTATTTAAATACTTTGGACTAGCCTAGGAAGTAAAAGTGTCTAATTTTATGCTGGTCATGTTAAACATCTAGGTGGCTTTGAGAAAAAGGTGATGGAAAGTAGAGTTTCCGGAAAACGGACCTTGGCAAAAATGGATATAGGACAACGAAGATGCATTGGCTATGAAAGCACTTAGGGAAAGATAAACTTTGAGGCGTGCCATGATTAGAGCCGTGTTCTGTAAAAGACTTGCTGATTGATGAGGAGCACATCTGGCAAATGAGGCTTAACTCATGTGTCAACAGCCCAACTGGTATTTGGGTCAACATTTTACCAGCCGTTTTTACTTTCTATGACATTTCCTTGTACCTATTGTAAGCAGGGTCAACTTGAGAGCTTAGTAAATTTTTTAAAAATCCAAATAGATGTGCATTCAAACCCAAGAAAATTTCGGACAAGCAGGCAAGCAGCTAGCCACTATGCTACCGCGGCTGCCTCCTCCTTGAAGACTGATACCAAATTGACACTTCCAAGTTTCTCCAGTCTTTTTCTAAGAGGGCTCCTAGGCACAATCAACACAAACATGACCCATATTGTTGTATTTAAACTTGAGTAACCCCTGTCTTAATCTCAGTCATATAAACATACCAATTCTCACGGCAAACTGGGTTCGGTTCCACAGGGAGAAGTCAAACAGAATGTAGTGGTAGATGTGCTGCAGCAGGGTGGATTTGGTAGCCACAGAGTTGTCACGGTTATCACACTCCTCCACCAGGTACTGGATGGACATCAGCACATTGATGTCCATCATGTCTCCAGGCACCTGGACAACACACAATAACAAAAATTATGATAAAAACTTCTCCTTCTTCTTCTTCTTCTTCTTAGCATTCACTGCCTGTAAACACGGGCGGAAAGTTCTAGTTGTTCGTCTAAATCTGGACTTAAGTCTTGTTCCAGAAGCTGAGTTTTGCCTGCACATCCGTTTTACAGATGTGGCTTATTTGTATGCAGACTGTTGGTTCTTTGCACAATAGGTGGATGCGTTTTGATTCTGGAGACAACCTCCTAATAAGATGCATTTCATGACATGCCTGTTGGGAGGGGGGGGGGGGGGGGGTCAACACAACAAGTCTATTATTTTCTCTAAAATGAGACCCAGGAACCCACGTAGGGAAGGGATAACCGGTTTGTTGTGCAGCTCATACCAAACCATAAACAAGTTGTAAACAGGAACTTCCGTAAATTAATGTAACACTAAGTTTGCCCTGGAAAAGTAATCCTATCCTACAACAAGTACTGCAGTAAGGTTAAGGGAATGCCTTGGTAAATAATTACTGCAGTAGTGTGAATTGATGGTGCTAGACAGGATCACACTGAGAAAACCCAATAATTACATAACTAGAATGTCCTTGCACTGGAAGCCACACAGCAAAAGAAATGAAGGAAGGCCAAACATCACACTGAGAAAAGAATTAGAGAATAAGGCGAAATAAGATGGAGAGGACACAGGGTGAGCCTGCAAATTATGGCACAGGATAAGACTTGCTAGTTGGGAGAGGGCTTATGTTTTATTGGGAGATAAAAAAAAGCAGAAAATGAAGTGTGAACTTATTAGATTAAGAGATTTATTATGTCAAAGTATTTTGAAGTAAGACGCTCTAAAGGACAAATTACATATCTTTTCCTGATTCACAAATAAAGAAATTACTCCTTCCTATAATTTAAAAAAAACAGCCAGTTACGAACAGGTCCAAAGAGGCTTTAGACCTCGTGGTATGTTGGTCCAAAAAATAGAAGTGGAAAAGAGAAAGACGAGTGAAAAGAGGAAGAAGGAAGAGGATGGAAAGCAGAAGAAAAAAGAAGGAGAAGAAGAAGATCAAATGATGGTGGAGAAAAAGAAGGAGGAAAAAACAGATGAGGAAGAGAAAGAACAAGAAGAAGACAAAGATGGATAACATGATGATAACGACAATAATGGAGAAGAAGAGGGCGACAACGATGATGATGATGGAGAAAAGAGGAGGAGGAGGAGGAAGAAAAAGAAAAAGATAAGTAGAAGAAGAACTGAAGAAACTCTTCTGATAATTTTTTTAATTTTTTTTTCATTTCAAGGAAAAACAAGAAGATTACATACCTTCTGCATAAGCATGCCCAGCGTGGCTGCACAGTAGGTTCTGGCAAATGTATCTTTGTTGATGGGTTTCTCTTTGAGCATGTACCTGATCATCGTGAGAAAGGCTGCCAATGGGTTGTGATCCAGCTTCAGTTCTGGGGAAAGAGTTTCCTACATCTTTCAGGCAGTTTTCAGAAGGGAAACAAAGGATAAAAAGACGAAAGGAAACATACACTGGATGAATAATGTACAAAAAGTCAGTAGGAAAGAAAGAAGGAAAGATGCAAAGAAGGAAGTGAAGGTGAAAAAAAGGAAGGAAGGGGGAGTAAGGAAGAGAAAACTGAAGAAAGTGGGGTAAGAATGAAGGGACGAGTGAAAGAAGGAATGGATGAATCTGGCAGAAAGTTCTGGTTATTCCTCCACTTCTGGTCTTTAGCCTTGTTCCAGAACTTGAGTTTTGTGGGTAGATCTGTTTTACAGATCTGGCATATGTGTGTGCAGATTGCTGGTTCCTTGCCTCTCAGGAAGATGCACTCCAAATCCGAAATAAAAAGAAGAAAGTGAAAAAGGGGGGAGGGGTGTAGGGGGTAAATTAGGAAGAGGAAAAAAATGAATGAAGATAAAGAGGCAGGGAGGCAGGGAGGAAGGAAGGAAGGAAGGAAGGAAGGAAGGAAGGAAGGAAGGCAGGCAGGCAGGCAGGCAGGCAGGCAGGCAGGCAGGCAGGCAGGCAGGCAGGAAGGAAGGAAGGAAGGAAGGAAGGAAGGAAGGAAGGAAGGAAGGAAGGAAGGAAGGAAGGAAGGAAGGAAGGAAGGAAGGAAGGAAGGAAGGAGGAAGGAAGGAAGGAAGGAAGGAAGGAAGGAAGGAAGGAAGGAAGGAAGGAAGGAAGGAAGGAAGGAAGGAAGGAAGGAAGGAAGGAAGGAAGGAAGGAAGGAAGGAAGGAAGGAAGGAAGGAAGGAAGGAAGGAAGGAAGGAAGGAAGGAAGGAAGGAAGGAAGGAAGGAAGGAAGGAAGGACTTCACATACCTGATAAGGACAAACTGTTATTATTGACTATTGCCCAATCATCCAAGTCGAGGTCATCTGCCTCCAGCTTGCTTGGAGAACTCGGGCTCTCAAGATCTAACAGCTGACATGAGTGATCCAGGTTCTCCAGAATTGGGAACAGGACTTGTATTCCCCCAAGGCAGTTGATGACGTCCTGGGGGGTTGAAAGTTCACAAACAATAATAACAACAACAAACAATAATAACAACAACATAATGACAAGAACTATAAAAACAACAAGGCAGATGACAGCATACTGCAGGCTCAAAGTTCAAACAGAATGAAAAAAACAAGAACTATCACAACATGAACAAGTACAAAAGCAACTATTACAATAAGAACGAGTACAACAAGGCAGTGTTGACATCCTGGGAGATAAAAGTTCACATAGCATAACAACGACTATGATACAAGATGCTGATACACACCTAGCATTATGTAAACCATACCTAGATATAATATGCTGCAACAACAGACACCAGGGGGAGAAAAAAAAATGCACAGACAGTATTATGATTCAACTGACAGAAAGACACACAGATACAGTGTAAATTTTTCACACAAAAACCACACACAAACATTGTGTAATTATTCCACTGAAAAAATTACATTTGACAGTGCATAACAATTTGGCCAAAGTCATTAGCAGTGAGCAAAACAACAAGGAGAAGAAGAACTGTTTTGTGAATTCATTTTATTTTGCTTACCAGCTCTCTTCTATGTTCAATACTTTTGCACACACATGTCATCATTATCCTCATCATCGTAATCATCATTATCCTCATCATCACCCTCAACATAATCCTCATTATTACTATCATATTATAATCACAATAATCTCATCATAACTATCATCTGATCATCATAATAATCTCACTGTCATCTCATCACCACAATAATCTTATCATCCCTATCATCTCAACATCACAATAATCTCATCATGTCTATCATCTCATCATTACAATCTCTCATCATCACTAAAATCCTCATTACAATCACCTCCTCATCACTAACATCTCATTGACACTTTCATTATCAACATTATCTTCGCTATCATTTCATCATCACTATCATCATTACTATCATCATTACTATCATCTCATCATAACACTAACATCCTCCACATCACTTTTATCTCAATGTCACCATCATCTCATCATCACTATCCTCATCACAATCATCCTCATCACAATTTTCCTCCTCCAATGATTCCACTGAAAAAATATAACAATATGGCCACCAACGTCTTTTATCATGAGCGACACACACACACCACACAAAAGAAGAATTGTTTTGTGAATTAATTTTTTTGCTTATCAACACTATCATCCTCACCACCATCATCCTCATCACTAATATCATCAACAACAACATCACTATCATCCTTATTATCACTATCATCACCACCGACATCATCACTGTCATCCTCTCTATCACTATTGTCATCAACATTATCATCACTATCATCCTTCTCATCATTATCATCATCACTATCACCTTCCTAATTACTATCATCATCAACATCATTATCATCCTCCTCATTCACTATCATCATCATCACTATCATCATCATCACCCTACTAATCACTATCATTATCAACATCACTATCATCCCCCTCATTCACTATCATCATCATCACTATCAACCTCCTCATCAATATCATCATCATCACCCTCCTCATCACTATTATTCTCCTCATCATTATCACCTTTCTACCAATCTCTATCTCTCCTGATTACTGTCTCTCTGCGCATCACTATCACCCTTCTCATCACTATTGTCATCAACATCACTTTCCCACTCCTTATCACTATTATTCTCCTCATTTTAGAAATGTTACCTTTATATCCCAGTTAACACAGCAGTTCCCTGTGAATGTTCCATGGTTCTGGAATGGTGAAATATCTGTACAAACATGTTCCCTGCATGCCTGAAATGTATACTCGCCATTAGTACCTTGGAAATGGCAAAGAAAATTGTGTGTTCACTTTGAGAGAATTCACTGTAGTGATGCCATAGCATATGAGCCTTATATCAAAAACAAAAAAAAGGAGAGGAATGGCTGGCCATATGGTTAGAATACTGGGTTCTCATGCAGGAGACCTGGGTTTGAATCCTTCATGAGATGATGGAAGGTTTTTCTGTCCGGGACAAAGATAAACACCTTAGCCTGCACAGTTACTGGCTAATGTTTGATATACTTATTACTACTTTATATTGGAAAAATTAAAAACAAAAGTGAAGGAATATTTTCAAAATAATCATATGATGCCGGACACATTTGACAGATTAACAGGTCTTCAATAGGTGATGAGATCAACATAAAGTCGACCAGCTTTACTTCCCAAAAGAAATCCTCATATATATATATATATATACTTTAGGCCTGGCTGAGTTGAGAGCCAAGATCAGCTATTAAAAAATCCATACTGGACAGGATTCGAACCCAAGATCATTAGGTCAGCAGGCAAGTTTCCAGCCAATGCTTCAGAGTTTATGCACTGTGCTGAAATTCTCTGTGTGTGAATCTATGGGATAAGATAGATGAGCACCTATGGAGATATCTGTGTGAAATTAAAGCTGTTTGCTGTTGCAAGCCTTCTCTTTTTGTTGTTGTTGTTGTTGGCAGAAGGAGTTATTTTGTAAATATTTTCCATTTACATTTTTATAGCATTACAGCAGTTCAACCCATTTTATTAACTTATGTAGACAAAAATGTAGACACAGATTAAGAAACAAAAGAGATAAAACAGAGTCCACAAGGCAAGAAGAGTTTTCATATCACTAGAAAATCTGCGGGCGGAGGGCAAAAGAAATTGAACCTGGTACCAAAATAAAAATATTAAAGTCCTAACATCAAATCATGACTGCTGTATGGAGCAGAAACATGGAGAACAACTGCAACAATTACTAACAAACCATAAACATTTATCTCCTGCTGCCCCAACAGATTAGAAAGAAACAAAAATGTTATCTTCTTCTTTACTGCATTCACCAGCTGTTAACTCTGGCAGAAAGTTCTGGCTGTTCGTCCACTTCTGGACTCTGGTCTTGTTGCAGGACAGGAGTTGTCATCAATCATGCAGGTCCTCTATAGAATGTCATGCTCATCATGGGGCGCCTGGAAGTCTCTCCTTCCCTAGCCAATTCTCCAGCTTTATGTGCTTTCACAGCTAATGCATCTTCAGTGTCTTTTTTGCCTTTCCTCTGAGTGTTGAGAAGCGTCTGGCCGAACTGTTAGAATGCTGGGCTCTCAAGCGGGAGACCCAGGTTTGAATCCTCGGTAAGGCTGGGGATTTTTTCCTGACCTGCACAGTCGTGGTGACAGCACTAGCCATGCGGTCGTAAATCCTCAGAATCAAAGACCCCCCCTGCCTATACGGCAAAAGTGGTATAATAAAGGCAGTAATTGGCAGTTGGTTGTTTTTTTCCAATGGCTCTTGGGTGTTGAGTATCGGCCACATCCACTGGTCACTTTCCACTAATATCTTCAGACAGTGATGATTTATGTGTCCCTCTGCGTTGTTCTTGGTCCTAAATGGCCTTGATAAAATACAGCTTGTCGTGCATCCATTTACCACCAAGTGGTGCAGAACCAGCCAATCAATCTTCCTGTTCATTTCCCAACACACCTGCATCTCCTAGCAAAAATATTCAAAGTACACTAGCCAGCTGAAATCTCTGAAGTGATGCTTCCCTCTTTTTACAGAGCCTACATGTCTTCTTTTTCAGCATGCTTTGTGAGTCTGATATGTGTATGCAGCTGGTTCTCAAGCCAGCTGCTGTGACTGTCTCCACTCAAATTAGATGTTGGGCTATCATATTCTAGGCTTTGTTGTATTAAGGGTCCTTCATCAACCAATTAATTATCCAGCCAATCAACCAATCCATAAAGAGACCAATCAATAAACCAACTAATCAAATAAGTGATGTAGTGATCAAATCAAACCTACCTTGGCACTGTACCTAGCCACTAGCTTTCCTGGCAAGTCTGCAAGTACAGCATCTTCAGAAAAATGAAACAGAGAGTTCCAGCCTGCAGACACAGGAAAAAAAATAGCGCTGTCAGAATACTGGAATATTCATTAGACCAGGGGACATGTGGTGTGGCATTTCATCTAGAACTAATACTAGAATATTTACTGGACAAAAGATGATGTGCCATGACATTCACTTTAAAAATAAGACACACCATCTCTTTCACTTTCTATCTATCTCCATCTCTCTAATCTTCTCCCTGACTCTTTATCCCTCACTTCTACCTGTACCACCAGCTATAACCCTTTTTTTCTTTCTCTATCCCAATCTCAGTTTATTTCTCATTAGATCCCTTATGGATGTGAGTAAGGGACTCCTACTCAATCTTTGAAGAAAATAATCATAGCTTGTGAACCAAAATGCTACAGAAACAAATTAGTAGAATACCACAGACCAAAAAGGAAAAAAACATTGACACCCAACATAAGCTGAACATCAAGGAAAATTGGCTCATAAACACCATCCTGTCCCAAAAGCTGAAGTGAGGCAGAGGCCGACCTCCTTAAAGGTGGATACAAGACACTGAAGATGCATTAGCTTTGAAAGCAGACAGGGCTGGTGAATCGGCTAAAGAAACTTTCAGACACTTTCAGGCGTGAGCAATGTTTTGTAAAGGACCTGCTGAATAATGGTGAGATCCCTCCCCTTCCTCTTTAGACATCCCTTTCTACCAATCTCTCTCTTCTGATCACTGTCTCTCTGCTTCTCTCTATATGTCTCATCTTCCTCTTTCTAAATCCCTTTTCTCTTAAGTCGTTTATCTCTTTATCCCTGTTCCCTCCTCCCCACTATATATTCACTCTTTTTCTATCTATCCTCTCTCAAATATTGTGACTCCTAGAAAAAAAATGGCTTTTCCATTTGTTCTATTCATCACCCTCCTTATCCTTCTCTCAATCCTTCACGCACAATATTTCTTCCCCCCTCCTTTATCTCCCCTGTCCCCCTCTCATTACCTTCCTTTCTCCTCTTCTCTCCTTATTCCTTATTTCTCTCTCTCTCTCTCTCTACACGCACGAGCACACACACACACATACACACAACTTCCAGCTTTCTGCAACTTACACATCATGTACCAACCTATCTGACTCAGAGCTTTCACTTGCTCCGGCTGCAGCACATCATGAAACACACAAATCAACTCCAGCTGCCCATACAGACACACAGTTGGACCCCATATCTCCTCCTGGGTGTTGGGATCTAGTGTGAACACACCCGGTCCACAGCTGCTGGATTCAGTGCCTCGATTCTGAAGTGTACAAGAGAAAAAAATTATAACTAAAGGACCCAAATCAAGGATTTTTTTTACAGCAGTGGCTTATTTGATTTTTCTTCTTTGCTGACACTAGCTGTAAACTCTAGCAGAAAATTCTGGTTGTTCATCCACTACTGGGCTTATTCTAGAACCTGAATTTTGACTGCACATTCATTTTACAGATGTAGCCTTTTTCTATTAGTTCCTCACCTTCAGACAGAACACTGAACACATATTTTTCAAGACCAAGTGGCATCTGGCTGGTGATGTGGTCAAAATCACAAAAGCTGCTTTTACTTTCCATTACAAAACAATACCCCACTCTACCTTGTCCTACACTGTCCTAAAAGTGGTAAATACAGATGCAGGCAGTGAATGTGAAAGTGATTTAGAAAGAACAGTAATGGGAGGAGGGGGGGTGGGGAGGGGAATCTCTGTGGCAAAGTGGTCAAACCATCTGCCTCGCACTCTGAAGTCTGAGAGTTAATTTCACAGCTGCACTGTTCAGTTCAGGAGTGCAACTCTTATGGCGGTCCATGGGAATGTCGCCAGAGCTAAAGAGTTTGTGTTTTATATGTTGCTCTCGGCAGCCACTAACCGTTCTGCAGAGAGAGCCTGCACAATATGCGATAAAACCCAGTGCAATGAAGTAGATCCTTTTAACTTTTACCTTTTTTAACTTTATCTCTCACGAAGGCTTCCAAAAAAGACTCAAAATAACATGACTTAGGGAACACTCACAGCAAAGCCGAAGAAAGATTTTAGAGGGGATATCTTCCGTGACTCCGCATGTCCTTCCCCTGAGTTATCGCTGATGATGCTGGTGTAGGCCCTGGACCCAGGAGACCCCACTTTACAGCTGGTGACTGGCTGTGGAATATAAACACAGGTTAAAATAAAATTATGGTTAAAATAAAGATTGGGGGGGGGGGAGAGATGACAGCAACAACAAAAAACCGAATAAAAGAGAGAAAGGAATTCCAACACATTCAATAAACAGGATAGAAATATTCACACAAAGAAAAGAAGTGAAATATCCGTACACAGAATATGGAAAAGAGGAATACCCACACAAAGAATAAGGAAAAGTAAATTAACAAACAGAAATTTCTTCTTCTTTCTTTATTCCCCAACAGAGCATAGAAATCCTATCCTCTGCTATTACATGAAACTCACCATATTTTTTTTTTTTAATTCACTCTTTAGTTCCTTTCTCTGTTATTTTGTGGTCTGCTTGTATTGCTATGTCATCTGTGGGTGCCAGTGTAAAGCCCTTTTAGTTATATTGTTCTCAGATTTTCTTAATGTGTGTCCTATCCAATGCCAGCACCTTTTCTTCACCCCTTGATTTACTGAAATTTGTTTAGTTCTCATTAGTGATTCTATCACTATCACATATATAATACAAACAAAAGTTTCCATACATAAAATAAGTGGAAGAGAAATACAAAATGAATAAGAAAAGAAACATCCACACACAGAATAACATAGAGAAATATCCACACACAGAATAACATAGAGAAATATCTACACACAGAATAACATAGAGAAATATCCACACACAGAATAACATAGAGAAACATCCACACACAGAATAACAGAGAAATATCCACACACAGAATAACATAGAGAAATATCCACACACAGAATAACATAGGGAAATATCCACACACAGAATAATTTAGAGAAATATCCACACACAGAATAATTTAGAGAAATATCCACACACAGAATAATTTAGAGAAATATCCACACACAGAATAATTTAGAGAAATATCCACACACATAATAATTTAGAGAAATATCTACACACAGAATAATTTAGAGAAATATCCACACACAGAATAATTTAGAGAAATATCCACACACAGAATAATTTTGAGAAATATCCACACACAGAATAATTTTGAGAAATATCCACACACAGAATAACCTAGATAAATATCCACACACAGAATAACATAGAGAAATATCCACACACAGAATAACATAGAGAAATATCCACACACAGAATAACCTAGAGAAATATCCACACACAGAATAACCTAGAGAAATATCCACACACAGAATAACATAGAGAAATATCCACACACAGAATAACATAGAGAAATATCCACACACAGAATAACCTAGAGAAATATCCACACACAGAATAACCTAGAGAAACATAAACACACAGACTAACCTAGAGAAACATCAACACACAGAATAACAGAGAGAAACATCCACACACAGAATAACCTAGACAAATATCCACACACAGAATAACATAGAGAAACATCCACACACAGAATAACAGAGAGAAATATCCACACACAGAATAACATAGAGAAATGTCCACACACACAGAATAATCTATAGAAACATCCACACACAGAATAAGATGTTTCCACAATTTCTGCTTACCTCAGTAAGGCTGGGGAACTTCAAGGCAACACTGGACTTCAGTTTCCCATCAATGTATACATAGACATGGCCAGGACTGCTGGAAAACCTCCGACCTGCCACATGGACAACCCCAACTGAATGCTGAAATAAATGTCACCATCAGAACTAAACTGACATCAGCAGTAACAGTTTTATTCTTCTTCTTCTTCTTTTGCCTTTCTAACCCCCCCCCCCCCCCCCCCAGTGGAGCACAGGCCCCCAACCAACTCAAACCAAATTCATTCTATCCTTCGATTTCGCATGCAGCTCTCCCCCACATCCTCCCCATCTTTTTAACTTCACTCTCTAGCTCCCTTCACCATGTGTTTTTTTTGGTCTTCCTTTATTTCTTTGCCTCTGTGGGTTCCAGCACAAAGGACTTTCTAGTTATATTGTTCTAAAGTTTTCTCAACATGTGTCAAATCCAACACCAGCGTCTTTTCTTAACCTCGACTGGAACTTGTTTAATTCTCTCCCAAAGCTCTACATTAGTGATTATGTCTTACCATTTAATTCCCTCTATTCTGTGCACGCTCCAGTTAATGAATGTCTGTAATTTATTAGTAATTGCCTTAAATGTTCTCCTCTGCTCCATACAACAGTACTCACTTGACATCAGAAATAAAAATTTTTAGTTTAGTATTAGCCTTAATTTCTTTTGGCCTCCACAAATTTCCTAGTGCTATGAAAGCTCCCCTTGCTTTTTGTATTCCTATTTTAATATCTCTATCAGTTATCATCTTTATCTCCTTTTACTGCCTAAATAGGTGTACGGCTCCATGTCTTGGAAGGGGATACCATTATGAGAAACCATATTACTATTTGCCTGATTTATTCTCCCTGTCTTTGTCTTTCCCTTATAGATTTTTATACCTAGCTCACATCAGGTATATTTAATTTATCTTGCATCTGATTCTGTTAGTGGGACAGAAGAGAAATATCATCAGCGAAGTCCAGATCATCAAACTGTTTTGTAGGGGTCCACTGAATTCCATTCTTGGTGTTAGCAGTTGCTTTCTTTATAATTCAGTCTACTGCCATTAAAAATAGGAGAGGCGACAAAAGATACCCCTACTGCACATTTGGTTTTTTTTATTTTAATGTATCTATTAGCTTTCCGTCATGAAGAACTTGACATTTCATATCCTTATATGTTGCCTTTACTAAGTTTATAATTTTCTGTGGGATTCCATAGTGCCCCCATTAATTTCCAGAGAGATTCCCTATCAATGCCATCAAAAGCTTTTTCATAGTCTATAAATCCAATGTAAAGTAGTGAATCCAATTCAAAGCTTTGCTCTATTACTATTTGTTTCCCATTTTGGTGCCTGTTTCTATATTTTCTGTCTGCTTCTCCTCATGACTGTGCAATATAATGCCCTCATTTTATATAAATATAAGCAGCTCTTCTTCTTGTTAGCATTCACCGGCTGTAAACTTGACTAGAATGTCCTGTTAGTTCATCCTCTTCTGGACTTTTAGACTGGCTCCTGAACATGTTTTGCATACACATCCATTATATAAACCTAGCTTATTTGTATGCAGACTGTTGGCTCCTCACCTCTCAGGCAGATGCACTCCAACATCCAAGGAAGCACCCCTAATTAGTCGACTAACTGCTTATTTGTTAGGGGGTAGAGTGTACACGGGGCCCAAGAACCCATAAGGAGAACAAGCAACTACCCAGACAGTTTATGTAGGAACACAACACTGCAGATAACAACTTATTCCTAGCAAACAAGTAAAAGATTGACCTACCCAACATCCATCTTCCAAAGTGGTGTCAGGCACGGTGGTGGTGCTAAACTCCTTCTTGTTGAAGGTGGCCACGGCTAAGCTGTAGTCTGGGGTGATGAAAGCCTCGAACCCACACCCGTTGTTGCTGCTGAAGCTGTAATTTGGAACATGAGACCAGACTATAATGTGACGATTATAACACCATGATGTGAATCTGTATGAGCCACAGTAACTCAAGCCCTTGACTGAAGGCTGTAACATGAAGATTATAACACCATGATGTGAATGTGTGAGAGCCACAGTAACCCAGGCCCTTGACTGAAGGCTGTAACATGACGATTATAACACCATGATGTGAATGTGTGAGAGCCACAGTAACCCAGGTCCTTGACTGAAGGCTGTAACATGACGATTATAACACCATGATGTGAATGTGTGAGAGCCACAGTAACCCAGGTCCTTGACCGAGGGCTGTAACATGACGATTATAACACCATGATGTGAATGTGTGAGAGCCACAGTAACCCAGGCCCTTGACTGAAGGCTGTAACATGACGATTATAACACCATGATGTGAATGTGTGAGAGCCACAGTAACCCAGGTCCTTGACCGAGGGCTGTAACATGACGATTATAACACCATGATGTGATGTGTGAGAGCCACAGTAACCCAGGTCCTTGACTGAAGGCTGTAACATGACGATTATAACCCCATGATGTGAATGTGTGTGAGCCATAGTAACTCAGGCCCTTGACTGCTGGCCAGAAAGTCTTAGGTGAATTGTTTTTAACAAAAATGTCAACTTGGCTCCCAGAGTGACCAAGCCTAAAACATGTACCAGGAATGGTCCTGAGAAGTAAAGAAGGCTAGTTTGATGTTTAGCACATCCCCTGAAGAGTGCCAACTGATCTATTTTTAAAAAATTATGTGAGTCTAGCAACACATGACCATGAGAAACGGGTGTAAAAAAGGTTCTTTACTTATGGGCATGTGTATATCAGTTATAAAAGGATCACTTCTGTGTATGTGTGTAACATGAAGCAATGTCAGACGGTTATTACAACAACACTGAGTATGTGTATTATGAAGTACTTATAAATAACAATTATAATATTGCCAGAGTAATATAAGCCCTTGAGGCAGGGGGAGAGGACGTCATCGACATCCTCACTGAAACCTGTAACAAAATTTGGGAGACTGGTATCTCTTTGGATTAAATCACTCATCATCATCATGTAGCAGGTCGCTCTCATCACGGTCTGCCTGAAAGAAACTCGGTCTCTCGCCAGTTCTCCCGCCTCATGTACTTTCATACTCAAGGAGTCACTAATATCCTGTGCCCATCTTCGTGTCGGTCGGCCCCTGCCCCTCCTTCCTGGTACCATGCCTTCTGCTATAATTTTTTTCCAATCCGTTGTGGCGCTTGATGTTACGAAAATATTTCAGTTTCCGAGACAGGATGCTGTTTATGAGCCAATCTTCCTTGATGTTCAGATCTGTCACTCATCATTACCATCCTTAAAAAAAGGGCAAATTTACAACAATGTCAAAACTTCAGAACTATATATGTCTCATCAGTCATTCCAGTAAAGTCATGCTCAAGATACTCCTAAACAGATTAAAGCCACAAGCAGAAAAGATCATAGCAGAGGAACAGCAGGGTTTCCATGCTGGAAGAAGCACTGTTGAACAGATATTTAATCTATGCATATTATCTGAGAAATACCACCAGCACCAACATCATTGATTTCAAAAAGACCTTTGATAGAGTATGACATGCAGAGCTCTGGGACACTATGAAAAAGTACAATATAGATAAAACCTTCATACGTACTATATAGAACAGCTCTATACCAAGGCCACACTGAACGGACAAATAAGAAGCTGGTTCCGAACAACATTAGGAGTCCGGCCGGGCTGCCTCCTCTCTCCAACACTGTTAAACATCTTTCTAGAAATAATTATTACTGATGCCCTAGAACAAAATCATGGAACAGTGAGTATCGGAGGCCAAACTTTAACAAACTTAAGGTTTGCAGACATCGATGGGTCGGCTGGAGAAGAACAAGAGCTAGTCGAGCTTGTAAATCTACTCGATGAAACATCAACCAAGTATGGCATAGAAATAAATGCAGAAAAAACAAAAGTGATGACTAATAATCCAGCTGGCAGAATTTCACCAATCTACATTAAAGGCCACAAATTAGAAGAAGTGACTCATTTCAAATGTTTAGGAGCCATTTTAAGTGACTTAGGGTCAAGACTTGAAATCATGTCTAGGATTGCTCAGACAACATCAGTCCTTGCGAAGCAGCAAACATTATGGAGATCCAAAAACATTTCATGCAAAACTAAGATTCAATTGCTCAGAGCACTAGCTATTAGTACATTTACATATGGCCTTGAAACATGGACATTAACAGTTGAACTTGAAAGAAAGATACAAGCATTGGAAATGCAATGTTTCAGAAAAATTTTTGGCATATCATACAGAGACCACATTGCAAACGAAGAGGTTCGCTATAAAATTATACAGCGCATTGGCAATTATGAACCTCTTTTAACTACAGTGTAGTGTAGTGGCTACCTAGAGAGGATTGGTCTCTGCCAGAGTACAAGACATACCATGCTATTTGACGGTTCAAATTATTGACTGACTGACTGACTGACTGACTGACTGACTGACTGACTGACTGACTGACTCTGACTCTCTCTCTCTCTCTCTCTCTCTCTCTCTCTCTCTCTCTCTCTCTCTCTCTCTCTCTCTCTCTCGCACGCACGCACGCACGCACGCACGCACGCACGCACGCATGCACACACACACACACACACACACACACACAAACAAACAATAATAAATATGCATACCTGTATAACAGACGGCGGTATGATGATGATGTTAAATCAATATTAACATCATCCTCCATGTTAAACTCTGTGTCCAGGCATATCAGAGTGAAGAAGGAGAAAGCAGCACCTGGCCATTTACGGATGCCAGGAAGGTTGATCACCTTAAAAAAAATATAGTGACTTATAGAGAATATGATTCATACAAGATTTGATACATTTTCAAAATCAAGTGCCTGATAGAGTGGCATGAATAAGGATGCCTTTCATTTAATAAACAGTCAGTAAAGTATACTAAAATAAAGTTTGCAAAGTTCACCAAAGTATGCCAAAAAAGTATACTAAACTATACCCAAGTTAGTTAGTTAGTTAATTAGTTGGGTTATCCTCATTGCACTCCGGACATGTCCATAGGTGCTCAGATCCTCCCCTTAGTATGAACCCCAACGTCTGAGGGCTAATAGTACTAGTTCTATGTTGATTAACAAGTCTTCTGGCGTGTCTGCCATTCTGGCGAGTGATGTGGATTCACTGCCACCAAAGCCCTCTATTATAAAGTATAAGTGTACTTAAGCAAATTATACTAAAGAAAAGTGTACCCAAAGTAAAGTCTGCTAAAGTCAAGTAAACTAAAGTAAAGTATATTAGAGTATACTACAAAAAAGTAAACTTAAAGAAAGTAAACTTGAGCAAAGTATACTAGTCAAAGATCCCTTTTTACGTTACGATGTGCATTAGGTGTCTGTTGGCCCGATATTTTTATATGAATGAGAACTGAAATATTATACGTTCCATATCCCACCAGCCACCTTTACTTCCCACCACACCTAGTCTGTATGTTGCGTGCTGAAAAAATGATTTATATTCTTCTTCTTCTTAACCTTCACCAGCTGTAAACTCCAAGGGAAAGTTTTGGTTGTTCGTCCACTTCTGGATTTCAGCATTGTTCCAGAACTTGAATTCTGCCTAAATTCTGTTTTACAGATCTGGCTTATTCGTATGCAGACTGTTGGTTCCTCGTCTCTCAGGCAGATGTGCTCTGACTTGGGAGGGAAAATAATTAATTAGTCTACTCTTACAACTTGCGTTTTAGTGGGTCTATTCTTTTTTCCCCCAATAGGTTTCCATGACGAAGCGATCAAGCTGTCTGCCTTATACTCTGAAGGTTGTGGGTTCGTTTCACGGTGACGCCGTTCAGTTCATGAGTGCAATTTTTACAGAGATCCCTGGGGATTATTGCCGGAGCTACAGAGGTCGTGCTCTGTGCAACTGAGCTATATGGAACAAAAACCTAGTGCACTGAAGTTGACCCTCTCACCTTTACCTTTTTTACCTGTTTCCCCCAAAATGGGGCCCTGCAACCCACATGGGGATGATTGACACTCCTAAGCCCTCCAGCATCATACAGCGGGTTACTTCGAAACAGTAAGATGCCCTGACCTAACTGTTTAACTGATTGGTTGGTTGGTTTGTCCCCTCAGGGCTGCTATCTAAAGTTTACCAGACCATTCAGAGATTTAAACATCTCAATCTGGATGGCAGACCGACAAGGCAGAACCCAGATACCCCGTTCAGCCTCCAAAGAAGTTATAATTAGGGCACCGGTATTGGCTACACCAGCCAGCTGTAACCTGAGGTCCCGTGTGGGTAAGGACCTGAGGACTGTTTAACGAATTAATGGAGTACAACCCTACGTGGATCACACAAGCGATACACCCTGTGGTACAAAGTGCCACCATTCGGATGAGGATCAATGGAGTGCAAGTCCTAGAAACACTGTTCAGCTTTTAAGTTAGAGCTCCTGACAACCGCCAGAGTGGGGTTTTGAAAAAACGAAAAATTGAGTCCCATATTGGGGCAGCACTATTATGGAACATTTAACACATGACTGACTGACTGACTTTCTACCCCACTAGGACATCACACAAGCGATAAACACCTGATGACACAATGTGCCACCACGTAGGTGAGGATCACCAGAAACCGCATTCAGCCTTTAGGCCATATGTATGGATTGCGACACCAGGCTATAGCCAGAGTAGGGCTTCAAATAACGAAAAATTTCATCCTAAAAAGGACGAGAAGTACTTGATATTTTAATACATCTTGTTGCATTTATATAAGAATAAATAAACCACTCAGATTTACATTAGCCCAAAACATTAGCCATCTCTTTTTTTTCTCATGCATCCACGTGTGTATGCCTACTTGCACATGTACATTATCTTCATAAATAAATTACACAGATTATCAATTTCTCAAAAACTTTCTTTCTGGGACAAAAAATTTACAGTTTTCAAAAATTTTTTATAAGGGAATGTAATGTCCTGACATATTAACTTGGTTGTTTCCCTTAGATAATGTCTTTATGAAAGATTACACAAGACTCACAATGGAACAAAACATCACACAAAACTTACATCTGAAACTTGCTGAATGTCGAAGAAATGAAGAGGTCCACAGATCCCATCTCTTCTGGCCATGGTGGAAACAGCCCTCATCAGGCGAGTGGTATAAGGAAACTGGAAGAAGCAACCAGTTCACCAACATTTACCAGGCTTACTTTCACACCAATTCGCCAACATTACTTCACCATCAAATCACCAATATCACTTCACTATCAATTTTCCAACATTACTTTGCCATTAAGTCCTCAGGCTCACTTCACCAACATCACTTCACCATCAATTCACCAAAATCATTTCACCTTCCCTTAACCAACATCCCTTCAGTATCAATTCACCAACATCCCTTCACCATAAATTCCTCAACATTACTTCACCATCAATTCAAAAGTCTCACTTTACCAACATCGCTTCGCCGTCAATTCAGCAACATCACTTCACCACCAATTCACCAAAATTGTTTCACTATCCCTTAACCAATTTACTTCTAAACATTACTTCACCATCAATTCACCAGTCTCACTTCACCAGCATCGCTTCGCCGTCAATTCAGCCATTTCAGTTCACCAGGCTCATTTCACCATCAACTCACCAACATCTGGATACCAACATTCAGGTTCTCTATATTTCAAAGAACTTTTCGATCCTCCTTCTTCTCCTCCCTCAATTTATTCTTTTTCTCCTCTGCCTACTCCATTTACCTCTCCTCTGTCTCCTTCCTCCTAGTATTTTAAGCAAATGGTATATTTTCCCTATATGTATTACAATTACTATGCAATTAATTAATACAGAAGATATAATTACACCACATTCTACAGCATTTGTAAAGACCTAGTTGTTGTTGATGATGAGTATTATTACACACTAAAAGATGTATCTGTGCCCAATATGCCAAGGGTAGAATATCATACCTCCACAAACCAAATAAATGTCAAAGCCGAGCATACCTGCTTTCCTCCATGATCAGTTTTGAAGAGGCCGATCAACTGCTTTAGCTCAGCTGCAGTGATTGAGAAACTGCCGAGTCTTTCTAATAAGGAAATCATCTGACCTAAAAATAATTCAACAAACAATCATTAAAATGGTTTATTGTATCAATTTCCTGAACATCCCATAGCCATCCTTAAGGAGGTTTCTAAACTATTCTCTCTTTCTCAACAGTCCTGACCCTGAGGTAAAGCTGATATTTCTGTAACTGAGAACGAATGTTGCTCCTGTGTCCCATTATTCATTGTTTATATGTTTTTCATCAGCAGAGATTAAATTTCAACACTCTTTTATTTAATGCAAACAAATGTGTGCACATGTGGGTTGTTTTTTTCTCAACATCATATCAAATTTTATTTGCAGATGTGTTTAAATATGAACAGGCAGGAGATTTGCTGGTTCTGTACCACTTGATGGTAAAATGAAGCTAGATATGTTCAAGGTCTTTTGGTAGCAAGTGAATCATGCAGAAGCACAAACAGATCACAATGGTCTATAGAGATTGGTGGAGTACAGAATAGCCAGGGGATTTGGCCGGTACTCAACACTCAGAGGAAAGCACGATGGATATACGAGGGGAAATCAATAAGTAAGTCATAAATGATTGTTTACAAAAACTAAAGATGACAATAATTTGAAAAGCATTTATTTTTACACATACACTGTCCCTTTATTTTATACAATGTCACTTAATTTTTAAACATAATTTCCACCAACATTGATGCACTTGTCCCATCCTTTTGTCAGTCTCCTAAACCTGCTGCATAGAACTGCATGCTCTATTTTCTTAACCACATTTTCACTTCACATTCAACTTCTGCATCATTCGCGAAATGTCTCCCGCCAAGATGGGTTTTCAGTGGACCAAAAAGGTGAAATCGCTAGTGGCTAAGTCGGGGCTGTAAGGTGGATGTTACAGAAGTTCCCACACTAGATGGTTAATTTTCTCCTGATTTAACCGAGCCGTACATGGTTTGGCATTTTCATGAAGGAGCAGTTCTCCTCTAGTCAACAGGCCTGGACATTTTCTTCAGATTGCATCATGAAGCATTGATAGAACTTTACAGTATGAATCAGCATTCACATTGTCACTTTTTTTTTTTTTTTTTTTAAATTGGTTAAAAGCACTCCTTGACAATCCCAGAACACTGTCAGCATTACCTACCCTGCTGATGGCGTAACCTGGAAGTTTCTAACACAAGGCGAAGAAGTATGTTTCCATTGCAAAGAAGCACTCTTTGATTCAGGGGTGATGCACCCATTATGTTGTATGCTGAACCATGTGAGCACCCTATTGCAGCTGCTGTAGAGTCAACCATTACTCGCCTGTCACCTCTAATCATCTCCTCCACCCACTGCATGGATGCGTCTGTTGCAATCTCAACATTATGACCAGATCAGACTTCATCAACAATTTTAGAGCATCTGTGAGATAAAAGATTTTTACACAGCTATGCACTGCTTTTCTCATCACTCGTCTAGAAAACCACATTTCCGCAGCTCCCCAAAAAATTTGTCACTTATTTACCAACTGTCCATGATTCACTTCCATATATCAAGATAGGATTTACATAGCTTTTAAGAATTGTCTTTCTCGTCTCAACTGACAAAGAAAGATTGCATAAAATATTCTTCATTTTGTAAAATGCTGCCTTTGCTTGAGCTATTCTACATTTGGCCATTCTTAATTCATACCACGAAGCAAACTGGGTATATGGTGCTAGACCCATATTTTAAGGCAAATCTGTCCCATGCCTGTTTTATTTCACAGAACATTTCCTGGTACTCATCTTTTTAGGTTGGGTTAGCTTAAGCCAAGGTCAATTAAAAAAATTCCTGCACCATACAGACCGAAACAAATAACCATCAGGCTAGCCAGTAAGCATACTAGCCACTAGAGTTATCCCACCAATATGCTTGTTACATCCAACATAAACAATAGCAAGAAATGTATTACCTCTGCTGCCCTTTAAACCTGCAATGGTGCATAAACTCCCCACCCAATCCTACAAGTCTTCTTTTGTCATCCCCTGCTGCTCACACAAGGTCCTTCACACACACACACTTTTAAACTGAGGGCCGTCCAAAACATGGAATGCATTTACAATATTTATTTTGGAATTTTGGGCTAACAAATAGGGGTTGTGCTATACATCGAAAAATATGGTAATTAACCTCGGTCTCTAATTCTCTAACAGCAACAGTACAACATAAAATAACTGACCAACTGTTCTCAGCTGTAACTTGGAATGCTGTGACAACAAGTTCAAGAGAACGGACACCATGCCCCCTTTGCAACATGCCATACGATTGCCATAACTGTACGTGCATAGCTTCTTCATCTCGGTGCTTAACCAGATCTGGCAACAAGATATGACGAATTGGTTATTCATATCTAACAACAAGACAACTCAAATGAATGATTCATATCTGGCAATAAGACAAGACAAATTAACCATTCATATCTGCATAAATTATTTGGCAGCAACATAATAATTGCAAAGAAAGTAATCAAATTAATTATATATAGAAAGAAGACAACTAAATTAATGATATAAGAAAAAAGACAACAAAATTAATTATATGTGGGGGTGGGGGGGGACAACAAAATTAATTATATCTGCAATGAAAACAGCAACATTAATTATACATGGAAAGAATACAACAAAATTAAGATATATAGAAAGTGGAACAAAATTAGTGTACTAATTACAATTACAAGGTTTTTTTCTTCTCAGTTCCTGTCACAACAGATGCCCAAGGGACAAATAATATCTATTAAAAAATCAGGACTTACTTTAAAAGAGTTTGGCTCTACCATGCAAAATCAAATTATGTGTTGTCATCTGTATAAAGCCAATTAGGATTTACAAAAGTGAATCAAGGATAGTCAGTCAGATTTAAAAAAAAAAAAACAGGAATGCAGAGATGTCTTGACAAAATTTAAAAAAAAAACAGATCAGAAGCAAGCAATCTACACCCTTTGGTCACCTCATGAAAAGGAGAATACTGGAGTGTACTGTGACACAGGAAACAGCTGGAGGGGAAGAGATGCAGAGGAGACCAAGAGACAACGCAACGGACAGTTTGGCATCAGAGCACTGAGGATCATCTGTGTCCGAAATTATTGAAAATACATGAAATAGAACGATGTTGACAGATATGACTACCAATGCTATACAGCATAAATATAAGAAATAGTTCTCATATTTGTAATATTAAGTCATAACCTACCTAATAAATCTGGCTTCTTTGGTGACCGTTTCCATCGCATATTTTTCCCATGAGCATCGCTTCTAAACTTTCAGAAACAGACAGAATTTATACCATCTCTCGCTGCTAAACTTTCGGAGGCTGACAGAATGTATACAATCTCCCAATATATAATACCAATAAATCAGCAGCCATCCTTCCATGAAGGTTGGCTGCAAAGGGCTACATTATGGTTTTTTTAAAAAGTGTTGCATCTTTTTCTTTTAATGTTAGAGAAATATTTTACTTCTAATTTTATTTTCTACAGCAACTCTTTTCTTTCCCAGTCTCTCCAGATCCTCTGAATGAATCCACCCCCCCCCCCCCCCCCCAACATTATATATGACCTATAAAAAGTTTATATTACATGTATTATTCAAGAGAACTCACCTGTAAGTCAGGAGTTTCAATGGAACTGATCAACTTCATTAAAACAACAGCAGCAGGAGCATTTTTGATCACAGCATGTTTACCACTCTCATATTCAGCTTCTACAACCTGAAGAAATATTTGAGTGTTAAAAAAATATTAACTCAAGACACGAGCATGAGGGTAGTCCAAAATGTAACTGATTGAAAAACTTCTTTCATCTTCTTCCTCCTCGGTATTCACAGATGTAAACAATGGTGGAAAGTCCTGGTTGCCCACCCACGACTGGACTTTAGTTAGTCTTGTTCCAGAATTGTGCATGCATATCAGATTTATATTTCTGGCTTTTTTTTTATACTGACTGCTGGTTTCTCACCTCTCAAGCAGATAAGCTCTGACTGTGACGAAAATGTCGTTACTATCTACACTGGTCAAGCCCCGGACTGGAAAGCTTTTTTTAAGGATGACCACATAGAGATGTAGCTAAGTCCTGACCATACTGAATCCTGGTCCTGCACCTATGAATCCCCTTTTAAAAAAAACAATTTTTTGGGGGGCTTTATTTACAATTTAATGAGAACTGGCTCTTTTGAAACTGATAAGCAAATGTTCATAAGGAAAACAAAATTAAGTGTGATCAAATGAAACCCGCTCCAGTGACAATAGTGGATATTACAGAATTAAATAAAGCAATTGCTGGGTATAAAAACTTTTGTGAATAGTCTTAGGACGAATCTTTAGACCCATTAAACATGCAAACAGCGGAGAATGGAGAGTAAGAAGCAGCAAGGAAATTCATGGTGTTTAAATCACCACTTACTGCTGGCATCATGACGGCTAATAATAGATTGCAATAGTTTGGGGCCTACAGATAGAAAAGCAGACAAAATCTGCACACAAAAAAGACTGAATGGAAGTAGACTATGAGATAGACTAAGAAGATGGTGGAGAGATAATATGAAGGCAGAACTACAATTGGAGTCACCAACTGGAAAATGAAGGCCAATTACAGAGACGAAAGAAGGTGGGTGATATCTGCAGCAATGAAGCTCAAGAGTTTAGAATGCTGAAGAAAAAGAACAGGAAGAAGAATTGTTAGGATGCAAGCATGCACCAGGGGCCCTAAGAAGAAGACACTGCTATTTACACATGCATCTCACTTCTTGAAGAGATATCTATGCAAAAAAAAAAAAAGATTTTAGTAAATCACGGAGCTATTCTGTAAACGCTGTATGTGGCGTGAGAAATCATTAGCCCTTTAAAGCTTTTTAAAGGTTTAAACAAATGAAAGTAGCACAGCAGCAGACTGAAACTGTAGGGTTTTGTTTGTTTTAGTATCCAGAAGCCATGAGTTGTTAACCCTTGGGCTCGGTATTATGGATATTGCAACCTTTTGGCCTTGATTCCATTGTAAATACCGTAAATCTGGGTGAAATGTGGCTTTCCTGCCTACCCCCGGGATTGAAGCCGGACTACAAGGAGTTCGTCACCTGGTCTCCGCGCAATCCGGTTTAGCCAACTACGCTAGAGAGCCGGGCGAAACTGTAGGGTAGGTGTTGTGTCAGAACTTCTAAAAGACGTCATGACCCTGGTGACCAAATGAGGAACCAAAATTCAGCATGGACAGTATTCACTGCCTTCTCAAACAGTACGTTGCATGCCTGCATGCCTAAAGGAATACCTTCTGATGATTCAAGGTGCAGACATGCTTATTAAGAGACACTTAAATTCTGGAAATAATGATGCAGCAGGGAGTGAGCAGGCGATCTGGTCAGCAATCAACACTCACATGAAAGGCAAGACAGAAATACAACCAAAATACTACTGGTAAAAACAGATCTGGAATTCTGTGCGGGCTGCTGAAGATGATGGAGGACTGGTTTTACGAATGTCCCAAGTGCTATCATTGCAGATCTCAATTCAGCTGAACACTTCATTTCTACCACCCCTGTAGAATACCTTTCATACATTTGCAATAAATCTACTGGGATGGGTTTCATATGACTGCATCTCGTGCTGCTCAAAATTACTGACCCAGTCCAAAAGACTTTCCAGAAGCTCCTTCGTCGGTTGCCCACAGCCCTGCAAGATGGCCAGAAACTCTGTGTACCCCACACATTTCACAAACACGTCCTGCAGATATCAGACAAATAGAAGAAACATGGCTTTAGCAACAAGATAATGTGGTAGTATAGTTGTTAAAGAATTTGCTGCATATCCTTTACAGGACCACGCATCAAAGGAAAGGCAAGACGGACATACAATCAGACTGCTTATGCTATCATTGGAATTGGAATTCCGCACTGGCTGATGAAGAATGGGACGGGGCACATACAGGTCTTGTACAGGACACTGGCTGATTGCAGTTTTACTCACACACACAGACACATAATTAAACAGTTTCCCAATTATTCTAAGTGGTTTGCACTCATATCATTGTCAAAATAAATGTAAAGTTTTCTGCTCCAAAATCGCTTGCAGCTGACTATAGACCTGTTAGTCCGAATTATAAAACTGTGTTCACAACAACTAAGCCACAGACTAAGTCAAGTAGAGAAAACTTTTCATGCCAGTGGCCCATTGGGCATATGATGCTAGACTAATATTTCTATAGACAATTGGCCTCTTATGAGTGACGAAGTCAGCATAATGCCGGCCAAATTTACTTCTCAGGACTTTCACAGGTACTATGCCGTCATGACCTGGGAGTGAAAAATAATCTGACTCAATGTTTCAAACCCATACTATTCAGGCCTGAGGCGGAGCATACAGCATTTGCAGGCCAGTAATTAGACAGCATTACATTAAAATATTCAGAGATTACAGTTTTTGTTTATGCTTTGCACAGGTAGTCTGAGTGGCTGTCAGCAAGTCGTCTGCTTCACACTCTAACTGATGTGGGTTCACTTCATGGCAAATGAGGAAGAAGAATACAGAAAAATGTATGTGGAAAGCTAAGCAACAAATAACAGAATCATAATAAAACATTTACTTCATCAGAAATAATAAGTGATAAAAATGATTTGGGTTTTACAATTGCTACTATCCGCTTCAAAGGAAGGATAAGGAGGAAAAGTGGTTCACTGAAATTGGATGTGTTGGGTACAAAGGTGCAGATATCAAAGTCTGGCTGTAAACCACAATATAATATACAAAATTTCTTTTTTAAGGGTGAAAGCAAAAGAAGAAGAAGGGGCGGCAGAAGAAGACAAAGGAGAAGGAGGAGAAAAAGAAAATAAGAACAAGAGGAAAAACAAAAAGAGGAGGATGAACTAGAAGCAAAACACAGGAGGTTGTTGATGGTGAAGGAGAAAGAGGATAAAAAGGATGAATTGACACAAATACCTTCGAATGCCTGGAGCCATTGAGCAAAGCCTGTAGACATTTCACCACCACTTTGGTCAGGTTTTGGATTTGTGAGCCCCGCAACTAGGAACACATCAGAAACAACTATTCTACACTTCAGAAACATTTCTTACCTAAAACACATACTAAACAAAATGTCTAAACAAGAAAAAAACATATTTGAAACACTTTTAAACTAGATGCACATGCCACACACAAAAAAGCCTAAACTAGAAGCACACCAACAAAAAAAACATTTAGAAAACACTTTTTAGTGAGAAACGCATAATTTTTCATTCACATTCACTTGCTGAAAACTGGCGGAAAGTTCTGGTTATTGATCCATTTTGGTCTTATTCAAGAACTTAAATTTTACGTACACATCCGTTTTATAGATCTGGTATATGTTTTATGCAGACTGTTGGTTCCTCACCTCTCAGGCAGATGCACTCTGACTGTGAAGGAAACGGCCCTAATTAGTTGACGTTTACCACATGTTTCTTAGAGAAGCAGAGAGTCTATTATTCTCCCCCCCCCCCCCCCCCACCCAATGGGGGCTCCAAAACAAAAATGGAGAAGAAATGCATCAGAAACAACACATCACCAGGAATGTTTAAGGACACTTGACCTCAGACTGACTGAACTGAAGATAAATGCTAACTGTGGACAATGAGTAACATAACCAGAAACTTCAAGACCTCTTAGTTGTTGGCACCTTTCTGTCTTTCCCCAGGACAGTGCTATACTGTGCAAGGATTCATAGCCCACATCAACAGAGACCAGGATTTCAGGACTTTAGTTGCCATACAATGTATTCAGTGTGCATCTTCTCAGATGCTCAGTTTTTAACCTGCAGTAATTTCCATCTTTAGCTCTAGTCCCCTCCTGATCCCATTCCTCACCCCCTTTCCAAACACCCTCTTTTCCATGCAAAATGGTCCATGGTATCCTGTCCCCATGAGTCTGACTCAATACCTGTATCATTTATGTCCTGATTGCACACATTTTTATATTATAATAGAGGTTAACTTCAACATCTTCTATCCATTTGTAATTTACCTTAACAACTCTACCATCTCCCATCCTCTTTAGATTGACTAACATAATGGTGATGACCTGTTAAATATAAAGAAGGCACTTACAGAAGATCTCTTGATGACGGACACAAGTCCCTCCATGACAGCATCACAAGACAGCAGAGTCTGCATTGCCAGTCTGTCGTTGCATAAGGTCATCTTTGAAATTGTTTCTGTGTTAATTGAAGATAGGAGTGAACTAAATTAAAGATTATCTCCAACTGTGAAATCAGTTAAATGTAGAATAGTTCAAGCAAAGGCAGTTTTTTACAAAATGAAGAATGTTCTATCCAATCTTTCTTTATCAACTGAGATGAGAAAAAGAATTCTCAAAACCTATTTAAATCCTGTCCTGATTTAAGGAAGCGAATCATGGACTGTTGGCCGATTAGTGAAAATTATTTGAAAGCTGCATAGATGTGGTTTTATAGATAAATAATAAGAATACCCTGGACAGATAAAAAGAGCAAAGAAGATGTCTTCAAAGAAACTGACCCACAAAGAGAACTGACTGCCCAAATCAGAAGGAGACAATCTACATTATTTTGAGAAAACTGCAGAGCATTGTGACAGTGGGAAAGTTGGAGGGGAAGAGAGGCAGAGGGAGACCGAGAGAGAAGATGCTGAACAGTTTGACATCATGGCATGGAGGATCATGTGTCAAAAATGATTGAAAGTATATGAGACAGAAGGCTGTGGATAGACAGACTACTATTGCCATATGGAATGGATTATAAGTAGAAGAAGTGAAATAAGGACGATATTTATAATGGGTTAGAAAAGTTTGCTGCATATCCTTGTACAAGAATTTGTTGGATGTTTGTGGTTTGTTTGACTAGGCACTTCTTATGTTCATTAGTTTGCCTTTGTTTCTTATCAGTCAAGCTTATGCTTCTTATAGTCCATGCTAAATGGCACTGGTAGATATGTCTATCCACAACCTTCTTTCTCATATGACACTGGTAGACATGTCTAATCCACAACCTTCTATCTCATATGACACTGGTAGATATGTCTATCCACAACCTTCTATCTTATATGACACTGGTAGATATGTCTATCCACAACCTTCTATCTCATATGACACTGGTAGATATGTCTATCCACAACCTTCTATCTTATATGACACTGGTAGATATGTCTATCCACAACCTTCTATCTCATATGACACTGGTAGATATGTCTATCCACAACCTTCTATCTCATATGACACTGGTAGATATGTCTATCCACAACCTTCTATCTTATATGACACTGGTAGATATGTCTATCCACAACCTTCTATCTCATATGACACTGGTAGACATGTCTATCCACAACCTTCTATCTTATATGACACTGGTAGACATGTCTATCCACAACCTTCTATCTTATATGACACTGGTAGATATGTCTATCCACAACCTTCTATCTCATATGACACTGGTAGATATGTCTATCCACAACCTTCTATCTTATATGACACTGGTAGATATGTCTATCCACAACCTTCTATCTCATATGACACTGGTAGATATGTCTATCCACAACCTTCTATCTTATATGACACTGGTAGATATGTCTATCCACAACCTTCTATCTCATATGACACTGGTAGATATGTCTATCCACAACCTTCTATCTCATATGACACTGGTAGATATGTCTATCCACAACCTTCTATCTTATATGACACTGGTAGATATGTCTATCCACAACCTTCTATCTTATATGACACTGGTAGATATGTCTATCCACAACCTTCTATCTTATATGACACTGGTAGATATGTCTATCCACAACCTTCTATCTCATATGACACTGGTAGATATGTCTATCCACAACCTTCTATCTCATATGACACTGGTAGATATGTCTATCCACAACCTTCTATCTCATATGACACTGGTAGATATGTCTATCCACAACCTTCTATCTTATATGACACTGGTAGATATGTCTATCCACAACCTTCTATCTTATATGACACTGGTAGATATGTCTATCCACAACCTTCTATCTCATATGACACTGGTAGACATGTCTATCCACAACCTTCTATCTTATATGACACTGGTAGATATGTCTATCCACAACCTTCTATCTTATATGACACTGGTAGATATGTCTATCCACAACCTTCTATCTCATATGACACTGGTAGATATGTCTATCCACAACCTTCTATCTTATATGACACTGGTAGATATGTCTATCCACAACCTTCTATCTCATATGACACTGGTAGATATGTCTATCCACAACCTTCTATCTTATATGACACTGGTAGATATGTCTATCCACAACCTTCTATCTTATATGACACTGGTAGATATGTCTATCCACAACCTTCTATCTCATATGACACTGGTAGATATGTCTATCCACAACCTTCTATCTTATATGACACTGGTAGATATGTCTATCCACAACCTTCTATCTTATATGACACTGGTAGATATGTCTATCCACAACCTTCTATCTCATATGACACTGGTAGATATGTCTATCCACAACCTTCTATCTTATATGGCACTGGTAGACATGTCTATCCACAACCTTCTATCTTATATGACACTGGTAGATATGTCTATCCACAACCTTCTATCTCATATGACACTGGTAGATATGTCTATCCACAACCTTCTATCTTATATGACACTGGTAGATATGTCTATCCACAACCTTCTATCTCATATGGCACTGGTAGGCATGTCTATCCACAACCTTCTATCTTATATGACACTGGTAGATATGTCTATCCACAACCTTCTATCTTATATGACACTGGTAGATATGTCTATCCACAACCTTCTATCTCATATGACACTGGTAGATATGTCTATCCACAACCTTCTATCTTATATGACACTGGTAGATATGTCTATCCACAACCTTCTATCTTATATGACACTGGTAGATATGTCTATCCACAACCTTCTATCTTATATGACACTGGTAGATATGTCTATCCACAACCTTCTATCTCATATGACACTGGTAGATATGTCTATCCACAACCTTCTATCTCATATGACACTGGTAGATATGTCTATCCACAACCTTCTATCTCATATGACACTGGTAGACATGTCTATCCACAACCTTCTATCTCATATGGCACTGGTAGACATGTCTATCCACAACCTTCTATCTCATATGACACTGGTAGACATGTCTATCCACAACCTTCTATCTCATATGACACTGGTAGACATGTCTATCCACAACCTTCTATCTCATATGGCACTGGTAGGCATGTCTATCCACAACCTTCTATCTCATATGGCACTGGTAGATATGTCTATCCACAACCTTCTATCTCATATGGCACTGGTAGACATGTCTATCCACAACCTTCTATCTCATATGACACTGGTAGACATGTCTATCCACAACCTTCTATCTCATATGGCACTGGTAGACATGTCTATCCACAACCTTCTATCTCATATGGCACTGGTAGACATGTCTATCCACAACCTTCTATCTCATATGACACTGGTAGATATGTCTATCCACAACCTTCTATCTCACATACTTTTAATCAATTCCAACACAGATGATCTTCCATGCTATGATGTCAAACTGTCCAACATCTTCTCTTTCTTTCTCCCTCTGCCTCTCCAATTGTTGTAACTGGGATATTATATGGTGAGGCCCCAATCGCATACAACTCTCATACCACTGTCCAAAAGCCATGATGGAAGTCTTTTACTAAAAATGTCAAACCATAACCCACCAACTCACCTATAAGCTGTCAAATGATTCCCCCCCCCCCTATACAACTCACTAATCACTTGTCAAATCACCCCATACAACTTCCCAATCACTTGTGAAATCACATCCACACAACTCTCCAAACATCTGTCAAACCAACCCATACATTTCCCCAAACATTTGTCAAATCCCTTCATACAACTTCCCAATCAGTTGACAAATCATCCCATACAACTTACTATCAAAGAAATTAGCAATCTGTAGTTCTGTTTATCGTTCTTTAAAATCAAAGCACTTGCATGTAGCCCCATATGTCAAATCACATACTCTGCAAATCACCCCAAACAACTCATCAATCAAACGTTAAATCACCCTACACAACTCACCTATCATAGAAATGAGCAATTCGTAGTTATGTTCATCGCTCTTTAAACCTGAAAGCACTTGCATATAGCTGGACATGACATCTGACACCTCAACCTGTCGCTGTAAACATTAAGAGACATCTTAGTTTTCACTGACTTCACAAATATCATTGTCACTTATGAGAAAATACATAAAATGGGATGAATTCAAGAGGAGTGAAGAAATAAGAGAAATGTCTGGGCAACCGCGGTAACAACAGTTATAAAAGAGAGCAGACGGCACTATATCCACTGCATATTTGGCTCCCAATGTTAGTAATAGGCTCAGATAAATAAAAAGGCAAGGTTAGGTTTACTTTAATCTCCCCAAAAAGAGTAGGTCACTTTTTAATTCAAAAGTTTGTTGGGCTAGCTGTTCGACTTTCCTGAAGGTTACGGGTGTGTTCCAAAGGCAATTCTAGACACAGATAAACAGACAATAAGCAAACTGACATACATTAAATATGCTGACTGTCCATGATTCACTTCCATATACGAGGACTAGCTGGAAGGGCTGTAGGGTCTCATTAATAGCTGATGTACTAAACATCATTATTATTAATGAGAAAATGGAAAGTGTTCTAACAGCACATATATTACACACACAAAAAACAAGGACAAACTACAACAGCCATTATCATTAGAAACAAGTTTAACTAGACACACAACAGATTTTTACTTAAGTGCATTTTCAAGATTTATTTGTCCCTTTACAATATGCCAAAGGCATAAATGTGAATTCCTACTCCAAACAGGTCAAGATTAAGTACTACTTTTCATGCAATGTCTTCATATTATGTCAATGTTCAGATGTGATTTTCTCAAAACAAGTTATTTAGTGCTTAAGTGACTTTGGCATGGTTCCAGTGATATAATGTGAAATAAATTCATGAATTCCAGTACTGATGGAAACTGAAAGAGAGACTAACAATAAAGATAATGGACAGATGGAATCAGTGAGTTCCTAGGAACCCTAATTTATAAAGCACACAGACAGGCACTCTGGCATTGCTTAACCCTTTCACCCCAGTAACCAAGAAAAAAAACAATGCCAAAGACCCACCTTTTTGAAACTTCAAGTTTCAGTAAAAAAATATTCCTTTTAGGACTGCAGCTGTGAATGGTGTGGATCACCTCAAAAAACAGACTGCAAGAATGATGAGATGAGTCGTCAGATGAAATACTAAATGAGATTGGATGAAATAATAGATGAAATGAGATGAGATATGAGATGACATGCTATGAGATGGTAAGATATGAGAAGATGTGAGATGTTATGAGATAAAATGATATGACATTTGAATGTCATGAAATGAGATGAGGTGTTGACGTTACCTGCTCAGGGCTGCAATTATGAATGGTGTGGATCATCCCAACAATAGACTGCAGGATGATGTGTTGGATCTGTGACTTCTGTGCTGGGCTGGAGTTGCTGCAGCAGGCAGCCCTCCCGGACAACACACCCAGCAAAACATCCAGTGTAGCAGGAGTGACAGTAAACGTTGCATTTGTCTGAGAATATTAAGAAAAAAATATGAGAACTTCCTGGTCATAAGGCTTTTTTTTTTCCAATCACCTTTATAGAGCAGGCTGGCAAATTGTGTTGTGGCTTATAGGCTTAGCTGCAAGATCTGTGCCTTTCAGCCTAATACATCCAATCCAAGTTCAGCAAACACTTAACTAGTCACCTTTTATGACATGCTTGTTAACTCTTTCAGTCCCAGAGGGTTTAGCATCACAGGCTCAAGGGTTAGTCAAGAGAGATGAAAAATCAACCCATCTTGCATTCATTGGGCCTCTAGGTAGGAACCTATGAACGTATGATGCGTTTCTTGGGATTGAAAGAGTTCAGGGATTGTGGGTCTATTCTCCCCCATTCCCACCCCTAAAATGAGGCCCTGGAACCCACATTAGGAATCAGGTAGTAAATATCATAGGTAGGAAGACACTAACTTACTTAAAATTTGACCTGTCAACAGATAAGGGCAAAATGCTAGATGGGTCTTCATGACCAATTCTGAATCCTTTTGGGGGAAAAAGTTTGTTTATTCCTTTATTATCATAACTTAAACATATCAAAACTTAATACTAAACATAAATTTGATTTCATCAGCTAAAATAATATTACATAAAGTAAAATTTAAATTTACCAATGACCCGGACATGACTGCACCAAACATGTGAAGAAGACAGAGCTGGAGTTCTCCTGAAATACTCGGCTTTTGAAAACATTCTGAAATTCAACAGAATAATATTAATTACAGCAACGTCATAAATATTTGAAAACATTCTGAAATTCAACAGAATACTATAATTTACAGCAATGTCATAAATTTTTGAAAACATTCTGAAATTCAACAGAATAATATTAATTACAGCAACATCATAAATTTGTGAAAACATTTCCAAATTTATAACTTTGTATCTTTCTTACTAAATGTTTTGAAAGATGTTATCATATATAACACTTCTTTTTATATTCTAGTTTGTAAATGTACCATTGTCCATTCAAGGAGAAAGAGACGAAGAAGAAATATCAGACACATTTTTGTTTTATAAACAACACACACATAATTAATACTATACCATGAAAAAATGGAATGACTTCATTATGCACAAGGGCTGGCTTGGATAAAAGTTGTTCAACATCTACAGTCCACCTGGAGACAGGTTTAGACAAGTAAGTTAACTCTAGCAGTGAGCAGTGACTGATTGTATGTGTTAGGATACACAAATCTGACTAAATGGATATCTTCTTCTTCTTTGCGTTCACGGACTGTAAACTCCCACAGAAAGTTCTTGTTGTTCGTCCACTTGTGGACCGCAGCCCTTTTTCAGAACCTGAGTATTGCGTGTGCATCTGTTTGACAGATATGACTCGTGTGCAGACTGTTGGTTCTTTGCCTCTCAGGCAGATGCACTCCAACTTCGAAAGGAAGCTCCCAATTAGTTGACTCTTATGACATGCTTTTGTGTAGATAGTGGGTCTATTCTTTTTTTCCCTATAATAGGGCCCCGGAACTCACACTGGGATAAGTGGATATGATGCAGATATAAAGAGCATGTGATTAACAGAATGGGGGGGGGGGGGGATATAAAGATTTGTGATTAATGTGTTGTGAGACAGATACACAGCTCATTAATGGGATGTGAGATAGACAGGTAGTTTTGTGATTAATGGCATGCAAGACAGATATCTAGATACACAGTATATGATTAATGGGATTCAGAGAGATACATAGGTATGTGACTAATGGAATGGGAGACAGATATTTAGATATGAGATTAGTGGAATATGATATGTACATAGGTGTACTAAGTAATAGACATTGCACTGCAGGGAAGGCCTGGCCCCTAGCCTCAGCTGGCAGCTGGTTTAGGAGGAAAGCTCTGGCAGGCAGACAGAGCACCGTCATTCTGATTCGGGAGCTTCTGCAGCACGCTTTATATCAAATGTACTAGTGTTACCTTTCCTCTGGAGTAAACAAGGCAGACTGAGAGAGGGGCCATGGTGCATGGGCAACACAAGGTCTCTACAATACTTCGCAGGCTTTGTGCTATGGAGAGGAGGGACTTCCACAAACTACATGTGATGGCATCAACGGCTATGAAATCAAATGGGCTAACTATGGTAGGCTTTTCTTAATCTGGGCGGGTATTGCCAATCACACTCGCCATCACCATGGGTTGTGATTCCCATGCCTCATCATAGCACAACATAACACTATCGTCTGGGAAGCTGCAAAAAATTACTATGTATATATGTATATATATATATATATATATATATATATATATATATATATATATATATATATATATATATATATATATATATATATATATATATATATACGTGAGAGACTAATGGAATGTCTTCTTCTTCTTCATCCATGAAAGCTAAAACGGGAAGTCCTGGTTGTTCAACCATTTGAACTTAAGCTTTGTGCCAGGGCCTGAGATTTGCACGTACATCCGTTTTACTGGCTTATTGTACTGTGTACAGTTGGTTGTTCCTTGCCACTCAGGCAGATGCATTCCGACTTCGATGTAAGCTCCCAATTAATTGACTCGTATGCTTTTGTGTGTATGCAGTTGGTCTATTCTTGTTTTCCCCACAATGTTGAATGCTGAATCAACATCACAGCACTCAGGACACTTCCATAAGTGCTCTATCCCCATCTTCAGCAGCAAGCGAAAAGTTCCAATTGGGATGGTACCAGTAACTGTCTGATTGTATATCCATCTCACCATTCTCTTGAGTGCTGAGCATCAACCTGATCTCCTGGTAACTCCCCCGCAGCGCCATTCTCCTCAGACCGTAATGATCTAATTGTGCCTCCGCACTGTCCACTTACTCCCAAAGGGTCCTCACAACATCTAGCTTGTCAAAAATGAATTCACCATCAAGCGGTGCAGAACCGGCCAGTCTATCTGCCTGCTCATTTCTTGACATACCACCATGACCTGGAGAAAATATCTAAAGGACACTAACTACCCAGGACCTCTAAAGTGATGTTTGCATTTTCCCCCCACAATGGCGCCCCCAGTACCCATACAGGGATAATGGGATGTGAGGTAAATATACATTTGTGATTAACCCTTTTGCTGCTATGGAGGTATATCGCCGCATTCCCGGATACTGCTACGCACATCGTTGGACATTATCCAGTTTATTGGCCATCGCTGCGTAAAACACGTTTACGACTTCCCTTACAGACTTTCAAGGGCCATATTCTCGGGGGTCAAAGGGCAATAAACATTATGTTTGGTTGGTTGATAGCTAACTGTATGGTTAGTTTAAAGACCTCCCAAAGTCTCCAAAGATCATGGTCCTTGATGTTCTAAATTAATTCTATTGATGAAATTCTCCCATTCCACCATCACAGACCATTCACCATCATTTTTCTTGGTCTTCCTTTTCTACCACTGATCTTTCAAGTTATCACAATGTTCTCCACTGCCTCTCTTCCTATTATTTAACCAAGAAACAGTCATTGCCTATTTCTTATAGTTGAATATAATATTCTAGTTGCATTAGCCTCTTCCAGACATGCACTGCTCTTCTTCCTCTTATTTTTTTCTTCGTTCATCTGAAGATGAAAATGCATTGTGCCCATTTACAAACTGGCTGCGATATCTGCACTTTTTGGCTGACACATTTGATTTCTGCAGTCATTTGTTGCCCGGGTTAGCCTTTTCCGAGGAAAACACTGAAGAAAAAAAGGGCACACAAGTGATTCAAGCTCAATACACCGATCCTTACAAATACTTTCTCCAGACTAAGATGGATCGCATAAAGTAAAGTTAGTTGTTTATCCTACACAGAATTTCACAAACCAGTTCCAGCAATTGTGGGCTGTTTGTGGTTTTACTAGGCAATTTTACATTCCATTGTTTGCCATCCATCCATGTGTTGAGGGGATCCTCATGTTTGTGGTTTTACTAGGCAATTTTACATTCAGTTGTTTGCCATCCACCTATGTGTTAAGGGGATTCTCATGTTTGTGGTTTTACTAGGCAATTTTACATTCAGTTGTTTGCCATCCACCCACGTGTTGAGGGGATCCTCACAGAAAGCATACTAACAGTGCACTATATTAGTCAGGTGATAAGATGCAACTCTGTAAAAGTTAGGCTGGACTTGGGGTTGGCTATCTCATCCTATTTTACGCTATAACCACAATAATCAACCAACTACAAAAAAGAAAAAGTTGAAATTGCTTTCTTAACAGTTCAACAGTCATACTATTGTTAAAATCTAATACAAAGCAGTCAGCTGCCACATCATTACCAGCTAAATCAAACCCTGCATGTTGGAATTTTAAAACTGTATTTTTAACTTCTAAGCCATAGATGCAAAAATGATTGTAAGAAGAAAACTAAACCCAAATATGACCACAATACACCTACCCCTTCAACCGCTTTCTCCAGACTGAGTAAGGATCGTACAAACATTCCAGAAAGTGCATGACAAGCTTGACAAAAGAGATTACAGTGTTAGAATACACTGGATCAGGTGATGCTCCCGTCTGACTGCAGTGCTGTGCAAAGAAAAATATGAGGAAATCCCTTAAATTAGGCTGAGTAACAGTGCAATGCATGGACGGCATTGTATGGTAGAGGTGTGGACATGTTGTGACCAGTGGGGGAGAATGACATTCGTACAGGTCAAAAGGGGGAAAGGTGGAATGACATTTGTACAGGTCAAAAGGGTGAAGACATTCATACAGCTCAAAAAGGTGAAAGGGGGAATGACATTCATACATGTAAAAGGGTGAAAAGGGGAAGACATTCGTACATATCAAATGGGTGAAAAAGGGGGGGGGGGAGATTTGAACATGTCAGAGGGGTGAATGGGGTATAATGCTGTGACATATAAAAAATGTGGGAGAAATTGTCATTATGACATTGACAAATATGGGACAAGATGTCTGATATATTTAAAAAGTGGGGGAGAAGATGTCATTCTGATATGGGTATGACTCAAAATAACATTCTCACATGAAACCAAATGAGTGAGAAGGAGTCATTCCCACATGAAGTAAAAAGAGCGTGGGGAATAACATTCTGATGTGGTCAAAGATGGTAGAACTGATGACATTATTCTGATGTGGTCAAAGATGGTAGGACTGATGATGATATTCTGATGTGGTCAAAGATGGTAGGACTGATGATGATATTCTGAAGTGGTCAAAGATGGTAGGACTGATGATGATATTCTGATGTGGTCAAAGATGGTAGGACTGATGATGATATTCTGAAGTGGTCAAAGATGGTAGGACTGATGATGACATTCTGATGTGGTCAAAGATGGTAGGACTGATGATGACATTCTGATGTGGTCAAAGATGGTAGGACTGATGATGACATTCTGATGTGGTCAAAGATGGTAGGACTGATGATGACATTCTGATGTGGTCAAAGATGGTAGGACTGATGATGACATTCTGATGTGGTCAAAGATGGTAGGACTGATGATGACATTCTGATGTGGTCAAAGATGGTAGGACTGATGATGATATTCTGAAGTGGTCAAAGATGGTAGGACTGATGATGATATTCTGAAGTGGTCAAAGATGGTAGAACTGATGATGACATTCTGATGTGGTCAAAGATGGTAGGACTGATGATGACATTCTGATGTGGTCAAAGATGGTAGGACTGATGATGACATTCTGATGTGGTCAAAGATGGTAGGACTGATGATGATATTCTGATGTGGTCAAAGATGGTAGGACTGATGATGACATTCTGATGTGGTCAAAGATGGTAGGACTGATGATGACATTCTGATGTGGTCAAAGATGGTAGACTGATGATGACATTCTGATGTGGTCAAAGATGGTAGGACTGATGATGATATTCTGAAGTGGTCAAAGATGGTAGAACTGATGATGACATTTTGATGTGGTCAAAGATGGTAGGACTGATGATGACATTCTGATGTGGTCAAAGATGGTAGGACTGATGATGACATTCTGATGTGGTCAAAGATGGTAGGACTGATGATGACATTCTGATGTGGTCAAAGATGGTAGGACTGATGATGACATTCTGATGTGGTCAAAGATGGTAGGACTGATGACATTCTGATGTGGTCAAAGATGGTGGGACTGATGATGACATTCTGATGTGGTCAAAGATAGTAGGACTGATAATGACATTCTGATGTGGTCAAAGATAGTAGGACTGATGATGACATTCTGGTGTGGTCAAAAAATCGTACATGTGGTGAACACGGTTGCGGTGAGGATGACACTGTGACATTTGATAAAAAGGTTGAGGATGACGCTGACATTCGGTGAAAAGGAAAATTACCTTCGCATAAGTTACATAATGCCCACCCCGCTGACTTTATAAAAATGTTACTTTGCCTTCCCCCACACTTTCCCATTTCTTTTTCACCACAAGCTTTAGTTAAGAGTTTATGCTTCATTTAGCGATGAAATAAGAAGTTTTATATTTATGTGTTTGTTCTTTCCCATTAATTTTGTATTTTAAATTATTTTTTTTTAAACACTTACTTTTGTGATCACAGATTGAGCACATGTCACAGTGTGGTTGACAAAATGACCAGCAGCCACCAGGGACACATTATCATAGTTCCTGCAAATGTATGGTAACATGCAGCAAGTGGAAATGAAATGAATTCACATTAAACCCTCTCGTTGCATAAGAATCTTAACAAAATTATCTTTTATCACAATTTTTTTTTTCTATTTAAAAAAGCATCACTATAATTCGGTGAAACTCTACACTAAGAAAAGCACAAAACATTTGGAGTATATAGGCAGTTTTCAGAAGGTCAAAGTCCTAGACCATTGGCAGGTAGATAGGAAGGCCTCTACTTCTTTCATGCAATGCTTCAAAGTGCAACAAATTTTATTTTCACATTCGCTGCAAATATACTCATGGATCACAATACTGTGAAACGCATATGAACTGAGTTATAATTATTTAAATGACATTATGGCAGTACATGACCTATCCATTTGACTATTCAACATAAATGTGAATATATTACTTCCTAAGCATGTGAAATTTGATGTTTTCCACAGTTCGTGTCAATCCATTAACTGTATGCTTTGAATCAATGTTTTTTTTAAATATATATCTATATATATAAAAATCAATGTTTGTGTGTTTGTTTATGAGCTATAGACTCAGAAACTACTAAACCGATTTAGCTGAAATTTTCAGGATATGTTTGTTTTGATACCGGATGTTCACCCATCATGGTTTGAAATTCAACCTGTCATTATTAGAGACAGTGTGCGACAATTTTTGGGAAAATCTTCGAAACTAATATTTACATTTTTAGTGACAGTTAATTATAGCCAGGTTAGTAAATGCGCATGCGCCGTAGTCAGAACGCAAGACTTCCACCAGTCGCCGGCGAGATACGTACAACCAACGCCTTCTCTAATAAATAGAGTAGGCCGTGGTACAGCAAATAAGACTATCTATATATCTGTGCAGGCAATGATTGCCACAATAACCATATTAAACACGATTTCTATTTTCTGTTTTTTTTTTTTTTCAAACAACCTTCGATGGGTTGGAAAGTAGCCGATGGATTGGAAGGGAAAGGGGGGGGGGGGGCCATCAAGGCCTATCTCGACGTCGGCGCAGACATTGACTGCGACATTAACCATGTTAGACACGTGCGATTTCTATTGTTGTGCCATTTCAATAATATATCTGTGTAATGACCCTGCTTTGCATGGTCCTCACGATTACATAGTGGCAAGCAGAAAGTCCGTGCAACAAGGGACAGCACGAGATACTTGTGCCTAGTCGAGGAAGCGAGGGAAAGCCCGAGCTAGCCTCGTGGTCAGTTGATCATCAGAAGTCAGAGAAGACGGTAGCATTTTCTGGGTAGTTTGAATATTGCACGAGGTACTAGTGTTTGAACATGTTGCGTGCGAGAGAAGTATAATTAGTTGTGGAAACATGTGGAACAAATGTGACCGAATAAACTGACAGTATGCACCAAGAAGCTGAGCGGCATTTGTGTTGTCAACCCTAGACGTTAAAGCAGTGAAAGTTTTGTAGCAGTAAACATCCAGAGAGTGAGCCGTGATGAAAGCCAATAGTAGTAAGCCAAAGCGCAGTCCAAGTCAAGCCAAGGTCTATTACAATCTGGATTATCTGTCTATGAGAAAACAATTGCCTGCTGTTTTCAGTTGTATTATAATCGGGACACTGTAATAGGGACATACATCTCAAATAGTTTTGTTCTCTTTTCGTTTCTCTGATGAAGTCGCTGCTTGGTCGAATGGTTAGATCACTGGGCTCCTGTCCGGGAGACCAGGGTTCGAATCCGCAGTAGTGTTTTTTTTTATCCAGGGCTAAAATAAAATCCTCACCTGCACTGTTGTGGCAACAGCACTAGCCATGTGGCCCTTAATACTTAAAAAAAAAAAGGACAGGTATGTGGGTAAATCAGTTGATAATTAAATTTGACCATTTCGCATTCTTATGATTTCATTTTTAAACTTTACAATTGCATGGTTAGGCTGAAATTTCATAGCTTTCCATTTATTTTCATTTAGATTTAATTATTTCATCTTAGTTGGAATTTTAAGCTGTGCTGTTTGCCATAGCGTTCATTTCCTAATTATGGTGTATTTTTCCTGTTTTCATTTGCTTTTCAATTTGTTTTTTTTTTCTCCCAACTACTTCAATGAGGGAAAGAGAAGTCGGTGAATTTGGAGGGGGGGGGAGGTGCAAACTGTTCACTGAGAGAGCTTTAAGTCACAGTAACTGCTTTACCCACTCAAAGGAGCAGCAGCAGTAGTAGTTGTGGTTGGGCTGTTAGACCGTAGTGCTCTCACGTGAAGACCGCCGGTAAGGTTATGGCATTCTTCTGTCGGGAAGCGAAATTATACATCCTAACCTGACCTGTCGGTGGCGACAGCACTAGCTATGCGGCACCAAATTTTCTGGCTCACGACTCCCTGTCTACTCCGATGGTAAAACAGATTGCTGTTACATTTTTTTAGCTACTGTGGTGGTGGTCGTGGTAGTAGTTGTAATGGTACTTGAAGGATGATGTGGTAAATATTACACTAGCCCCATTTACTACCTATTACAATTCCTGCTCCCCATTTTAGTCCGGATGGACAGGGATGTCAATGTCAGTTACAACAACAAAAAAATATCGCCAGGTGATGATTTTCAAATCCTTCGAAGAGGGAGAGAGCAGTAGTCGGTGGAAGAGGGGAGGGGAGGTGTGTAATGACCTAAATTTAAGAGAACTTAAAGAGCTTTACACGTGATTTTCAAGTTCTCATTACTTAATTTGTTTATATTTTACTAACGCCACCTCCGCTATTCAAATTTTTTACGACTGACTTTGTTATTTACAAGTACAGCTGTAGCTTTACTTCGGTCTCCTATAAAAATACAAATGTTTTAGCATGTGATAACCAAATAACCATTTTTGTTACTGTGCTAATAACACCATTTAAACGAGCACTAATATAAAGACACAATTATATGGTGCGTTTTCTAAAGTTTTAAAAAACAGACTATCTCTATATCTGTGCAGAGAATGATTGCGACATTAACTATATTAGACACGAGCGATTTCCATTGTCTTTCTTTTCCAAAAACCTTTGATGAGGGAGAGAGTAGTAGGTGGATTTAGTTGTGGTTGGGGGGGGGGGGGGGAATCAAAGACTATTTCTATATCTGAGCAGACAATGATTGTATTAGACACGTGCGACTTCTATTTTCTTTCATTTCCATTTAGCCAAACTATGCCACTGCAACGCGTGGCCGGGTACAGCTAGGATACAATAAAAACTAGCTCTTTGTTTATAATTGTTTTTCTACAAGGACATGATTATTAACAGGTTGCATGCCAAATTTCAACGATTTACACCAAAAAGTTACTGTTACTGATTTTTAAAGTTTGGCAAAAAACAATTTTACGCGCTATTGTCATATCTGCTCTTCAGATCTAACAGCTTCTGCAGCATGCTTTGTCTCAAGCATATTAGTATTACATTTCTTTTGTAGTAAACATAGTTAACAAAGTATGCCAAGCGAGGGATCATGCTGTATGAGCAACACATGGATTTTACCACACTGCCCAGGCATTTTGCAATGGAAAGGACCAACTTCCTCCCCGACCTAAATTGGTATCACCATGTATTGTGATTCACATGCGTCTACATGACATAATGGAACATATTTGTCTGGAAAACTGAAAGGTGTCAACAAAATAAGTAAATGCATTTATCTGTTACCATCCACGAGATATTCTGTGCAAAACAACACAATTTATCATCATCTTTTTTGCACTGTTTTACATCACCTAGGTATCATAGTTGACTTCCCTGTCTGATTCCATTCTGTGACATCTTGTCAACATCCTGTATGGAGTCTAGTTCTGCTTCTGCAGCCTCCTCATCAACTTTTATGGGAGGGTTTCTCTTTGAAGTCCTTGCTTCCTCAGACCATTTGTTTAACATTACAGAGCCTGCTTTGTTATTCAGTGTTCAAAATGCACCTAATATATTTCAACCTCTTTTTCTTGTAATAGTTGATACTAGCTGTCTAGGCATTTCTCTAATTTCAAAACCTTTCTTGGATTCATTCCATTTAGTATTTATTAGAATCCTTAAGAATATGTTTCTGAATGTGTTAAATTTGCGTTCAATAAAGTACATTATATGCTTTGAGCAAAAAAGGTACATAAAGATCATGCACTGAAACAACAAATTCATATACTTATATGCTTATTTTGTCTGTGAATAGGTTTACTGTTTTTATTTGTGGCAAGTTTTTGTTTCTGACAAAAGATAGCCTTTGCATTTTCCTCCACAAGCAGAACGAAAGGATATAGTTCCATAACTCAGTTGAGAACTTGTGGTGCCTTATGCTATTAATTGTTTGCGCAACTACTGAGCTGTTATAACTGCTACTTCCATCCGTGATATTTCTAGTGTCAAACTGTAATTTTCTTGCTTTTTTTTTTTTAACTGTCTATGATAACAGCCATATCTGGAAGCTAAAAAAACTAACCATAGGAACTTACCCTTCACTTAATGTTTGGAAGTCTGGATCAAAGTACTGACTATACACTTCAGCAAACCCTTTTGTGAACTTCAGCAGCAAGTCTGTGTTATTCTTTAAATGACAAAAATCACCCAAGTAAGTGAGAAGTAATACACACAACACAAATTATGACTATGAAGTTCAAAAGAGGGAAATACAAAGGCAGAAGGAAAGGCATTTGTTGATATTATAAAGACATCGGCAATCAATAAGTAATGTGATCAACATTACGCCAGCCACTTTTACTTCCCCTGACATTTTATGGGATCCATTTTCAGCTTGTTGAAGATTCTACGGAATTCCATTCGAAATTATTGATCAACTTTGTCGACTTCCAAAAAGCCTTCGACAGTATCCATCGTCCAACACTCTGGAAATTGCTTAACATCTATGGTTTCCCCATCAAATATATCAACATCATAAAATCTTTTTATAATGAAACACGATGCTGTGTAAGAACTGATTCCGGCAATTCTGACTGGTTCCCGGTGAAAACAGGAGTGAAGCAAGGCTGTGTCCTATCGCCGATGCTTTTTGGTATAGCAATCGACTGGGTCATGCGCAAGTGCATAAATAACGCAAATTTAGGCATTACATGGGTTGACAAAATTCTGGAAGACCTAGACTTCGCCGACGACATAGCACTCCTGAGTTCAGAACACACAGACGCCCAAGAAAAAATCAATCGACTCCAGAATTTCTCAGAACAAATTGGACTCCAAATTAACACCGCAAAAACAAAATTCTAGACCTTACCAACAGTTCAGTTGATATCACGCTGAACAACAACAGCCTTGAAAAAGTCAAAAGTTTCACTTATCTAGGGAGCAAGATGTCATCTACAGGAGATACCGCACCAGAAATACCATTTAGAATAGCACTGGCATCTAGTGCCTTCAATAAACTGTCCAACATCTGGAAATCAAAGACACTTAGCAAACACACAAAACTCAAGATCTTCAATTCTTGTGTGATTCCAGTACTAACCTATGGATGCGAGAGCTGGAAATCAACGAAAACTCTAGACACAAAATTAGAGTTTTGAAAATAAATGCCTTAGAAGAATACTAAATTTCAAATGGTCAGATTTCTGAACCAATACACAAATAAGGCAAGAATCCAGGCAAGAGTATGTGTCTAATTTTATACGAAAACGCCACTGGAACTATGTCGGCCACGCCCTTAGAATGGATAAATCAAGACTTCCTTACCAAGCCCTCATTTGGACACCACATGGGAAAAGATCTCGTGGAAGACCAAGGGAAACCCTACGTAGAACTATCATCAGAGAAGGCTCGCTCATGGGCCACTCAAACATTCAAGACCTACAACAGATTGCAACAACCGCTATGCATGGAGAGTCATGACCTCTGCCCTATGTGCCGCACTCGACACAAAAGGAAAGACTAACTAACTAACTAATTTTCAGCTGGGTCAACCTGGGAACCCTAGATCAAGTTTAAAAAATATGCACTGTGCAGATTCAACACTTTGGATGGGTCTCTCTGCAGAACAGCTAGACACCTGCACACAGCACCAACTCTAGCAATGATCCTGAGAGGCCTCTGTATAAATTGCATTCATTAATTGAAAAACCTCTGTGTTAAACAAAAACAAGACCTTCACAGAGAGAAGCAAATGGCTTATTCCACGTCATCCCAGAGTCACCACTTCAGCCTTTTGTCAGGGAGGCAACTTTCAGACATTGCGCTCCCATGGCTTTCTGGTACTGAAAGAATGCAGCTAAAAGAGTGAAAATCAGACACATCAACTAAGCCAGTAATTACTTTCTTTCGCAGTAAGGAGCTCTAATGTCAAATCAGTACTGTTGTATGGACAGGAAACATGAAGAACATCTAAGGCAATTACTAATAAACTACAAACATTCATTAAATGATACCTGCATAGAATAAAGGGGATTCAATGGTATGATACATAATTTTTTGGGTTTTATAGAAGTAGAATACAGGAGTAAAGATGGAGTTATAACTACTGTGAGTATCAGCAAATATTTATGGATTTATGTCGCAATGGCCTCAAGGGGTCCCTACTGTGTTTAGTCGTGTCTGTGGATTATGGGTTATGTAAAGCAGATTCGGAATTCCACAACACGATTTTGCTGTAGACAATTTATAAGTGGATTAATTGATCATTTTTAGAACAGTATGAGCGTTAAACCAATCAAAAAAAAGCAAATTTGTCATCATGTAACAGGAGATTTGCAGAACAGCATTCTCATCGCAGCATGCCAGAAAGCCATTTGTTCCAATACCAACTTTCCACCTTGTGAACTATGATACTTAGGGTATTCTTTATATTCTATGTACACAGTCATTCTGCTAGACTCCTGTCCCATGAACCATCCCTTCCATTGCTGTTCAATTAAAAATTTAAAAGGATACTTAACTCTTTGAGTCCCAAGGAACGCATCATACGTTCATGGCTTCCTACCTAGAAGCCTAATGAACGCATGATGCGCCGATTGTATGACTTTATTTACTACCCCCTGGGCCTGTGATGCTAAACCCCCTGGCACTCAAAGAGTTAAAGATGTGAGAAGTTCCAGTGAATCAAAAGGCGAAGAAGAAACATTGGAAAGAACACATGCTGAGAAAACCTGAGAACAATATAACTAAAATGTCTTTGCACTAGAAACAACTGGGCAGACCAAAAAGAGACAGACCTTCCCTCCCCCCCCCCCCACAACCCAAACCCCCCCCCCCCTCCCAAATTAAGAAGGGATCTAGAGGGTGAAGTTAAATGGTAGGGAGGAAATGGGGTGAATGTCATGCAATAGCAAAGGATAGGAGGATTTGGCAGGAGTTGGTCGAGGACTCATGCTATGTTAAGGGATCAAAAGCTAAAGAAGAAGAAACAGGTGTGAGAATCTACTTCATTGTACATGTTTTCTATATTTTTATATATTGCCCAGTCTCTGTCCACAAAGTGGCTGTGTACAAAGTCCAGAGCTCCTGCACCGACCCACCAGAGTCATCAAAACATACTGGCAATATTACTGCACATATAGTTTCCTTAAAGTAATGAGACTAGCACAGTTCCTTCTCTTCAAACTCCCAATAGAGCATAGGCCCTCAGCCTACTCATGCCATGTCGTTCTATCCTTTACTGTCACATGCAGCTGTCTCCATGTCCTTCCCATCTTTTTAACTGTACTCTCTAGTTTCCTTCTTTATGTGTTTCTTTGTCTTCCTTTATTTCTATGCCCCTGTGGGTTCCAGTGCACAAACATTCTAGTTATATTGTTCTCAGACTTTCTCAGCATGTTAGTTAGTTAGTTAGTTAGTTGGGTTATCATCACTGCACTCCGGACATGTCCATAGGTGCTCAGATCCTCCCCTCAGTATGAACCCCAACGTCCGATGGCTAATAGTACCAGTTCTATGTTGATTAACAAGTCTTCTGGCGTGTCTGGTGTGCGTGTGTCAGCATGTGTTCTTTCCAATGCCAGTGTCTTTTCTTCACCTCTTAGTCCACTGAAACGTGTTTGGTTCTCTTCCAAAGCTCTACATTAGTTTTACATTTTAACAAAATCTCAGTCAGAATAGTAATAGTAGACCAACAGGTCAAACCTCAGATACCGCATTCAACCTCCAATGAAGTTATAATGATGACATCCGTGCCAGTCTAGTATAACCTGTGCGGGTAAGGAAGTATTCTGAATTTGTATAAAGCAGCAGACTTAATTAAATTATAGTTGTAGAGACTGACGGCTGTGAAAATAGTACTAGAGAGTACGTAGCAAAGCTAGCAGTAGCAGTCAACTTCCTTCAGTTCCTAAATAAACTATATAAAAAGACGTGAAAAGACTATTTCTTTAATCAAATGCACAATAGTTCAAGAATTTCATATACGTACTGATTCTAGAAAAAGATTCCATTTTGCAGACAAATCTTGTCGCCTGACGTCTTCGTTCATGCTGTGAAAAACAAGACCATTAACCACTAACAACAAATGAACAACATATCTCCTCTGACTTCATCTTAACACACCGGAAGAACACAGAGACTTCCGGTCAAGTCATCAGAAGGGGGCGGGTCTTTGGGAAATACCCTTGTTTAGTTTCCGCCTTTCTTTCTTTCTTCACCTTTTTTTTAACGTTATAATTATGTAAAATAGATACAAAGAAGATACGGAAGCTGAAGTATTTTGATCATATCAAGCGCCACAACGGATTGGAATCAATTATAGCAGAAGGCATGGTACCAGGAAGGAGGGGCAGGGGCCGACCGACGCTAAGATGGGCACAGGAAATAAGCGACTCCTTGAGTGTGAAAGTACATGAGGCGGGAGAACTGGCAAGAGACCGAGTTTCTTTCAGGCAGGCTGTGACGAGAGCGACGTTCTGCAAATGACCTGCTACATGATGATGATAAGATACAAACAGCCAGTTTTTACACTTAGCTGTGAATCCCGGACAATTAAGTCAGGCCAAACAATAGCTTGAGGCCTCAGAAGCGGGATTTTACAGAAGAATTCTCAGATTTCCTTGGACTAAAAAAAAAAAAAAAAAGATTTTCTCAAAGAGACGAGGGTTCGATGACGATTTATCACAAACATCAGAAAGAGACAGTCATTATTTTGTTTGTGGTCATATTATGAAGAAAAAATAATTTGAACAGGTTGTGATCGCTGGAAAGATCTGGGTGGAGGGAACCGATAAATACTGTTGAACATCGCAATTTGTGGAGAGGCACGATCGTCTACGCCAGGTCAACTGATGATGATGAGACTAGTCGTTCTTTATGTTGCTTTTATCGTGATACGTATGAAAGAATAAATCTTCCATCTCGTTTCTAACAAATGTTTCACCGGTTTTGTGGCCAAACTTACATTTAGATTTCCTTGTAGATTTGTTACAAACTGACCATTATCATAGACATGTAACAGTGTTCGCGTAATTAATTACTAGGAGCCGTGATCGTGTAGCAAAATAAAAATCATAACCTGCAAAGTTCGCGACAGATACATTAACTAGTCATGTGACCAAAAATTCTCAGGTGGGTTGAGTTTATAACTGATCTCACAGAACTGATGGCATTACCGCAGTATAGACGTCCCAATCTTCAGCAGCCAGCACAAAGTTCCATTAATAATTGCGCCAGTAGGTGTTTGATTGGTTGTCTGTCCTCTGAGTGGTGAATATTCACGAGATCCCCTGGTACTGCGGGATACACCATTGTCTCCAGATGATCTATCCACTCATTCGCATTGTCAGCTTGCTCGCAACTGTTATTGATATCTTTCTTCCGCCTTCCAGCTCCCAAATGGGGCATATGCCCTCAATAAACTCACGCCAGGTTGCTCTACCCTTCACTGTTGCATGCAGTTCACCCCACGTCCTCTCTGTCTTAACGTCACTCTCTAGCTCCCTTCACCATGTATTATTGGCCTCTCTTTATTTCTATGCCCCTGTTGGTTCAAGTGCAAAGACATTCTAGTTATACTGTTGTCCGGTTGTCTCAATGTGTGTCCCATCAAACACCAACGTCTCCGCTCCCCTCCCCCCCCCCCCTTTCTTGCTCCAATTGAATTGTTTTAGTTATCCGCCAAAGTTCAACATTAGTGATTTTATCATATACTGTAAAAAAAAAAGAAAGAAACGCATAGTTATCCGATCGCGCGTTTTTGATAGTGTGTAAATAAAGTACTTCACTCGGGTATGTGAGAAGCAGACGCAAATGTTATTTAGTGTCCAGTGGACATGTGGGTGTGACTGGCGTGGGTTTTTGTAATCGTTACAATGCAGTCGTCAACTGAGTTTAAGACCATATTTGTGAGCATAGCTCACGATGTGCCCAAGAGAAAGCAACACTATTCACTGCCTACGCAATTGAAACCTTTAAAAAGGACCAATGGCGCCTCTATCGATAAATTTAAGAAATGTTGCTGTTGGCGGATTCCAGGCAGGAGAAAGTCAAAGTCAGGTTGCCAAGTATCTAAACGTGCATCAGAGTACCATTAGTCTCTTTGGCACCTGTTCCAAGCCACTGGTTTAGTTGAAGACCGACATCGCAGTGGACGACCCAGAGTGACCCAGCAGCGGAGAATCGCTTTATTCGGCTTCGTCGCCTCAGAGACAGGTTTACAACAGCTTCCTTAACGGCACAGGCATTGCCTCCAGGACGTCATGTGTCTGATCAAACTGTTCAGAACAGACTGCATGATGTTGGACTTTGGGTTCGACGACCACACCGAAGACCTGTCCTTACACGTCTCGCCGCCAAAATCGACTTCTTTGGCCAACCAACATCGTCCCTGGGCAAGTGACAATCAGTGGAGACGTGTCTGGTTTAGTGACGAATCTTTCTTTTTGTTGCAGCATCATGGCAGACGGCATAGGGTCTATCGTAGACAAATTTGATTGATTGATTTGATTCAAGAGCCGACATCACAGCACTCGGGGCATTCCCATAAGCGCTCCGTACCCATCTTCAGCAGCCAGCCAAGAGTTCCGATACTAATGGTGCCGGTAGTATTCTGATTAAACGTCCGTCTTGCCTTTCCTCTGAGCCTCGAGCATCTGCCAGAACCTCTCGTCACTCGCCGATGTATCAATCTCTCCAGACTGTGGTGATCCATCTGCTCCTCCAAACTGTAACGCTCTCCCACAAGGCACTAACCACGTCTGCCTTATCATGTATCAGTATTCCACCAAGTTGTGCAGAGCCAGCCAGTCTGTTCACCTGTTCATTTCCCAACACACCGGCATTCCCCGGTGGAAAAAAGCCATACAATACTCTACACCCGTGTCCTCCGCAGCGAAGCATGCCACTCTGCACGAAGCATACCTGTTCTGATCTTCCTCAGCATGCTTTCTGAATCAGTTAAAATCACAATGTGTGTCTGTGTGTCGTGTTCTCTAGCCAGCGGAAAGCCGCAGTGACCGCCTCCACCTCCGTTCTTAAGCTGGATGTTGTGGTATCATATGCTAGGCTCTCCTGCACCAAACGTCGACCATTAACTTTTGCTAAGAAGCCCCAAGCACTTCTTTTGCCTCTTGACACTGAACCGCTTGTGTAAATTATCAAATCCTCTGATCGAGCATTATCATGAATTAACTGCTGGATTTCCACCTCTGTGGCACCTGCTGGCTTGTCTCTATATTCCCGGCTCAGCATGATTATGGCTCTACACAAGTCTGGCTGTTCAGGTGGCACTTTGACCCACTCTTCTCCTCACCTAATGTTCTCAAGGACACAAACCTGTCAGATTATGTCTTCTGCCTGAGCCATCCATGACCTCCCTCTTATCAGCCGCTGACCCTTAACTGCACCCAGAGCTTCATGCAGAGGGTGGTCTGCGTCTGCAGCTACCCTGAGATATGACTTCGCCTGCAGCACCTTGTGCCTACCTGCAACCGTCGGCAAACCAAGGATGAATTTTCAGTCTATATAAATACAAAGTCAGCCAGTAAAGTATGGACTATAAATATTTACTGTGCGGCAAAGACATGCTTCACTTCAAATACTGAAACTACCTGAAGCTGGCCGCCCACCGACTGAGTCTGGCCCGCAGAGGCCTAGAAAGTTTTCCGCGGATCATTGCCAACTGTATTGTAATACTGATATTCCTATGATAAGGCTCAAGCTTCTGGCCCGCGCCTAGCACAATTTTCAAGATTTTGGTCCCTGAGCAAACTTAGCTGAAAAATCTTGCGTTATGTTTTAAGCCCAGTAACACTGTATGGCAGGCAGACACTAAATATTCCAACTCTACTGACTGTCCTGTAACTGTTGCGATAAAACGTTGGAAAACTCCCACCAAACTGTCATCTGCAACTCTGGGACCTTTCTTCCATCGACCAGATGACACTTTTTCTCAAGAGCCCATCTGATCATGTCACTTGTTAGAAACTTCATAGGATATCCAGAAGAAGGCTAATAAACTGCCAGGTAATATTATACCTCAACCTTCAAGCAAACGTTCACTTCAAAATACCACTTTTGTATGATACTTTTTCAATCAAGTTACCACTGAGAGAAAATGCTTTACCACAAATATCACAAATAAATAGCTTCTCCTCAATATGGTTGTTTTTATGTTGCTTCAGAGCACCTTTACTTGAAAAAGCTTTATCACACATCACATTTGTAACGTTTCTCCTTGGCATGTATCAGTATATGAACTTCGTGGTGGCCGTGATGAGAAAATGTCTTACCACAAACATCACATTTGTAACGTTTCTCCTTGGCATGTATCAGTATATGAACTTCGTGGTGGCCGTGATGAGAAAATGTCTTACCACAAACATCACATTTGTAACGTTTCTCCTTGGCATGTATCAGTATATGAACTTCGTGGTGGCCGTGATGAGAAAATGTCTTACCACAAACATCACATTTGTAACGTTTCTCCTTGGCATGTATCAGTATATGAACTTCGTGGTGGCCGTGATGGGAAAATGTCTTACCACAAACATCACATTTGTAACGTTTCTCCTTGGCATGTATCAGTATATGAACTTCGTGGTGGCCGTGATGGGAAAATTTCTTACCACAAACATCACATTTGTAACGTTTCTCCTTGGCATGTATCAGTATATGAACTTCGTGGTGGCCGTGATGGGAAAATGTCTTACCACAAACATCACATTTGTAACGTTTCTCCTTGGCATGTATCAGTATATAAACTTCGTGGTGGCCGTGATGGGAAAATTTCTTACCACAAACATCACATTTGTAACGTTTCTCCTTGGCATGTATCAGTATATGAACATCGTGGTGGCCGTGATGAGAAAATGCCTTACCACAAACATCACATTTGTAACGTTTCTCCTTGGCATGTATCAGTATATGAACTTCGTGGTGGCCGTGATGAGAAAATGTCTTACCACAAACATCACATTTGTAACGTTTCTCCTTGGCATGTATCAGTATATAAACTTCGTGGTGGCCGTGATGGGAAAATGTCTTACCACAAACATCACATTTGTAACGTTTCTCCTTGGCATGTATCAGTATATGAACTTCGTGGTGGCCGTGATGAGAAAATGTCTTACCACAAACATCACATTTGTAACGTTTCTCCTTGGCATGTATCAGTATATAAACTTCGTGGTGGCCGTGATGGGAAAATGTCTTACCACAAACATCACATTTGTAACGTTTCTCCTTGGCATGTATCAGTATATGAACTTCGTGGTGGCCGTGATGAGAAAATGTCTTACCACAAACATCACATTTGTAACGTTTCTCCTTGGCATGTATCAGTATATGAACTTCGTGGTGGCCGTGATGGGAAAATTTCTTACCACAAACATCACATTTGTAAGGTTTGTCTCTCGAGTGCATCAGACTAAGCTGTTTCAGGGTGTTTGTGTGAGAGAATGCTGCATCACAAACATCACATTTGTAAGGTTTCTCACCGGTGTGGATTCTTTTGTGCACCATCAGGTTACTGTGGTTAAAAAAAATGATGCCTCACAAATATCACAGTTGAAACGTTTCTGCCCTTCATGGATGAGCTTGTGCTGTTTGAGGGTGCCTGAGCGAGAAAATGTAGCACTGCACACATCACATAATAAATGGTCTGTCTCCGCTGTGGATGATCTTATGTTGCTGGAATATACTGAGGTGAGAAAATTCCATGTCACAAATATCACATTTGTAAGGTTTCTCCACTGAGTGAATTTTTGTGTGTGATTTTAACTTCCACTTGTGAGAAAATTCTTTGCTACAAATATCGCAAATGTAAGGTTTCTCCCCAGAATGCACTCTTTTGTGCTCTTTCAAGTAACTACTTTGGGAAAATGCTGCATCACAGAGATCACATTTGTAAGGTTTCTCTCCTGTGTGGATAATTTTATGGTTTCCTAATGTTCTTATATGAGAAAATGCTGCGTCACAAACATCACATTTGTAAGGTTTCTCTCCGGTGTGAATTCTTGTGTGCACTCTAAGACAACTATTTTGAGTACCGTAGACAAAATAAAGGTATAGCCTAAAATTGTGTTGATGAAGTTCTGTTGCACGGTGGTGGAGGTGTAATGGTATGGGGAATTATCAGTTACAACGGAAGGAGTCAGTTGGTGCACATTGAAGGAAGCTTGAATGCGCAACGATACATCCATAAAATTCTTCGACCACATGTCCTTCCATTTTGGGATGCCAACAGATATCTTTTTTTTTTTCAACAGGAAAACGCCAGACCCCCTTCTGCACAGTTGACCACGCAGTTCCTGGCTGCCAATAACATTCAAACCCTCTCCTAGTCATCCCTGTCTGCAGACATGAGTTCGATTGAGCACCTGTGGGATGAGCTGCAAAGACGTGTTTGTCGCCCAAACGTTGCTCCAGCCAATGGTCGTTGTCTGTTCCAGGCACTCCAGGAAGAGTGGGCAGCCATCCCACAAGCCCACATCAGACATCTGATCACATCCATGCCATGGAGATGCCAGTCACTGATCCACGCAAGAGGAGACCACACACCATACTAACGGGAAAGACCTACGCTTAAAAACTATCGTGACCCAGATGCCAAAAATAATGTGACATGCATAAACAAATACTTGAAAAGATAATTTATATATGATTAACATAAGGGGCACATTTTAGCCTCATTACAAAATTATTAGGTGGGAGAAGCTTGCCCCCCTCCCACCCCCAAGTATTCGTTGTTGTGGGGAAGGTTTGGTTTGGATTATAGTATCGGATCGACATCATGGTACAAGGGTAGTAACCCCATAAGCGCTCCGTTCTGCTTCCAACTCGAGCCTGAGTCCCCCCCCCCCCCCCCAAATCTGGGCGCAGTGCACAAACTCCGTTTCACCGAAGAGGATGCTGAAGTGCTTTGGGTAGAGTTTTAACTCAAATGTGCCCGGGCAGCGTGCGTTAGGCTACTATTTTCGATTTCGAAAGGCCAAGGGATTTTTTATATGACGTGCTTAACAATGCACACGGTTGTCAGATCTCACTGCCCCAAAAAAAAAAAGGGGGGGGGGGGGAGCTCAATCACCTCATGTCTTTTCTCATATTATTGCCTGGGTGGTAAGGAGGGAGTGGCTGGGTGGGGTCTGAACTACTTCCCCTCCTCCCCCCCAAATTCCCCCCCCCCCCATGAAAATGTGTAAGTTGGAGATACTAAGCCCTGCCCCTCTCCCATTGTGTTCTTCGTAGCGGCACCACCTGACTTGGGGGTTACAAACTTGAGAGAGAAAGGCAAACACATAGCATAGATAAACGGAGGCAAGTTATATATTCAGCTATGTACCTTAAGGGTTCGGAATGCCCAAGAAAAAGGGAGGAAGGAGAAGGAGTTGCAGTAGAAATAGTAGTAGTAGCAGCAGCAGCAGCGGTAGTAGGAGGAAGAGGGGAAGGTCTTTAAGGCGTCTGTAGAAACCAGGAGGAAGTGATGCGACCAAACGTCAGCAGGAATGGTTTCAGTGAGTAGCCTGCCCTTATAATTCTCAAAATTGTGTCCAAAATGGCGACGCGATAGAGTTTATTCAAGGAAGAAGAAGTTAACAGTTGATATGTGCTAATCGTATTTCACGGATAACTATAATATTATACATGGCGATGTCACCCTGCTTAGTTTATTGAGTTATGGCTGCGGATTCGTGCAAGCCTGCTGGACGTGTTGACATGAGAGAAGGTCGGGTCAACATTTTGTTTTGAGGATTTCATTTGTTTGTTAATAGCTGCAGTGATGATAGTCTGTTTAGTATTGCGCTGAGTGATCTAGCATCATAGCAGTATATTACAAATCCTTGCCTCCCCAGTAGAGAATATTTTCTTTATTTTTTGGGTTTTATTTTCTGCCCCCCCCCCCCCCCCTCCCACCCCCAGAAATCTTGATCATTCGATCGTTCTTACGTCCGTTCTCCCGTTGTGTTGTAATTTTTAGTAAAAACTAAGTTGCGAATAATAAAATGCATCATTATCCGGCTACTCCATAATATTTGGAATGTTTAGTAACAACCTCCAAATAATATGCATTTGGGATGCATACCACAATATTAATAAATAATAAAGCACCAACAGTAGTACAAGTACAAGAGCATATTAACAGACTCCACTATCTCTATTATATGAAGATCAACATAGACCCAAAAAAATAATTATATTCTCTAGAAAAGGAAGAACCACCAACGTCCAATGCCAGAATTAGAGTTCATGAACATCATTTTAAGCAGGTTACGGACTTTACATAGCTGGGGAGCATTCTTTCAGAAGATGGATGAATTAATGCAGAAATCAAACAAAGATACAGTAAAGTCAGCCAAATAGCACCAATTTTGTAATGCAAGTACGTGAATATTAACACTAAAACTTTTAGTGTTAATATTGTTAATATTTAGTAAAAGAGCACTCACTGTTCAATACAATATTCTTACTTTAGCTATGATGTCAATGTCAAAATTGGACACTGTCTTCACAAGGCAGATGGAAAATAATCACGGCATAAATGAAATGTTTATACTATGCTAGGTGTAACAAGGAAATATCGACTTAGGAGTGGTGATATCAGGAGGAGAGTCAGCACAGAACCAATACTGAACTTTATCGGTAGACAACAGGTCAACTAGAGGTTGACCATGTACATGATGGACCACAAAATATCAAAGTCACTGAAGATATCCCCCTGCCCTGATGCTGTTAGACATTCTAGGAGTAGAGAAAAGAAAGAGAAGAATAAATAATATATACATTTTCCTTTGTGATGTATACATAAATTGTGGGTTACATAGTTAAAAAAATTTGTATCTGCAACTTTCAAAATTATTGATATCAAATATTATGCCACTTTCTTGTAACACCATGATGACTATATGTGTGTGTGTATATATATATATATATATATATATACATATATATATATATATATATATATATATATATATATATATATATATATATATATATATATATATATATATATATATATATATATATATATATATATATATATATATATATATATGAACGCAGGGATCAAATTAATTGGCTTTTAATTATATGGCTGGAGCACAATTTAAAAAGATAAAGCCCTGTTATACATTTTTTTTCAGAACAGTCTTACAAGCAGAGCTTAATTTTCCTGGTAGTATGCAGGGTTACATAGTACCGCCACTTTATCATTTTTTTAAGCGCTACTGAAATATATCCTTTTTAATGAATACTGGCACCTTGTAGAAACTTTATGGTGATTACTGGCACCTTTTTTTCCTTAATATATTTTTTTGAAATAGACAAACTGCTACTTACGATGAATCTTTTTACAGGACACATCAGTGATGTAAACAGCCTAGAAGGGAGAGAGAGAAGCAACAAATAAATTCGTAATCTGTGGTAACAGATATAGAGAAGAAGAAATTCACCTGCTAGTGGCATAGTTTAACTCTCTGCATAGTTTTTATAAAATGATTGAGACTCACACGTAGTACTGAATATAATTACAACATCAGTCAATCAATTAGGTGCCGTCTTAACAATGAAGACATGCAGCAACATATTTAACACTCTGATTATGATTGTACACTTCTTCTTCTTAATCTTCTCCAGTCCTGTTCTGCCTCTCAGCGTCAGGATTTGAAGAGGCATTAGGTGCAAGCCTTTAAATGTGATATGTATATGCTTGTAATTATGGCCTCAGAGATTACATCCATCGATCCATCGCTTGCGTGGTCGGGCTCTAGATCTGCTTCCATTATTTCTAAGTGACAGGGCTCTCTGTGGTGCACTATCTGGTGGTATTCTTGAACACATGTCCTAATGATTCGATCTATTGTCTTCTGATATAGTGGTTGTTCACTAGTTGTCACATAACATTGTGTGTCTTTGGGTCACCAAGTTACTGTTGCTGTTCAGTTTGGTCTTTCCATTTCTGGGGATCAGATGCATGGGCTTGAAGTTCTAGTATTTGAGGCCCTTCCAATCTGCAAGATGGTGGATCCCGGACCAATCCCTGTAGTATGGTTTTGGAAAGGCTGCTAGGTTTTATTAATGTTCTGACTCCTCGTTAAACATAACATTCCCCCTGCGGGTTCTGGGGCCCCGTTGTTGGGAAAACAAGAACAGACCCACTGCTTCACTGACAAGCAGGTTGTAGGAGTTGACACCCTTCGAAATCAGAGTGCATCTGCCGGAGAGGCAAGCAACCAACAGTCTACGTAACAAATAAGCAAGATTTGTAAAGCAGATGTTCACCTAACAGTCAGGTTCTGGAACAGGACTAAAGTCCAGAGGTGGACGAATAACAAGAAATTTCCACCGGAGTCTACAGCCAGTGAAGAAGAAGAACTTAACACTTTTTATTTATTCTTTATGCCATGGTATATTTTGTGTGTGGATGGGTGTGAGCAAAATTGTCTAATTATTTGTTGAATGTTTGTACTTTAGGAAAAGATGGAACCAGAATAAGCAGACTGAAGAAACTCAGGAGGAGAATCTCAGCCAGCTTTGGCAGATTATGTATGTAATATTGTACATTTGTATAATTATTCTTTTATTTATACTTTTATCATCCTTGTCAGCAGTCTTCTTTTTTTTTTTTTCTTATCTTCCTGTATTTTATTTCATTGAAATGTTGGAAAAAGATGTAATATGTTATTATGCCTTATCAACATAATTCCATTGTTGTCGTAATCAACATCATCAATGTACTGTATCTAATTATTCCTGTTGCTTTGTTCACTGACAAAGACTTTGGTTGAAATGTTAGCTTGGATATGTGTGTTTCTCTCTTTTTCTCTTTGTCTGTAGTTAATATGTAGACACCGCAGTGTTGATTCTGTCTGTAGTAAACATGCAGACACCACAGTGTTGATTCTGTCTATAGAAACATGCAGACACTGCAGTGTTGGTTCTGTCTGTAGTAAACATGCAGACACTGCAGTGTTGATTCTGTCTGTAGTAAACATGCAGACACTGCAGTGTTGATTCTGTCTGTAGTAAACATGCAGACACTGCAGTGTTGATTCTGTCTGTAGTAAACATGCAGACACTGCAGTGTTGATTCTGTCTGTGGTAAACATGCAGACACTGCAGTGTTGATTCTATCTGTAGTAAACATGCAGACACCGCAGTGTTGATTCTGTCTGTAGTAAACATGCAGACACCGCAGTGTTATTCTGTCTTTAGTAAACATGCAGACACCGCAGTGTTGATTCTGTCTGTAGTAAACATGCAGACACCGCAGTGTTGATTCTGTCTGTAGTAAACATGTAGACACTCTAGTGTTGATTCTGTCTGCAGTAGACATGTAGGCACTCTAGTGTTGATTCTGTCTGTAGTAAACATGCAGACACTCTAGTGTTGATTCTGTCTGTAGTAAACATGCAGACACTGCAGTGTTGATTCTGTCTGTAGTAAACATGTAGACACTCTAGTGTTGATTCTGTCTGTAGTAAACATGTAGGCACTCCAGTGTTGATTCTGTCTGTAGTAGACATGTAGATACTCCAATGTTGATTCTGTCTGTAGTAAACATGTAGGCACTCCAGTGTTGATTCTGTCTGTAGTAGACATGTAGATACTCCAATGTTGATTCTGTCTGTAGTAAACATGTAGGCACTCCAGTGTTGATTCTGTTTGTAGTAAACATGTAGGCACTCCAGTGTTGATTCTGTTTGTAGTAAACATGTAGGCACTCCAGTGTTGATTCTGTTTGTAGTAAACATGCAGACACTGCAGTGTTGATTCTGTCTGTAGTAAACATGCAGGCACTCTAGTGTTGATTCTGTTTGTAGTAAACATGTAGGCACTCCAGTGTTGATTCTGTCTGTAGTAGACATGTAGATACTCCGATGTTGATTCTGTCTGTAGTAGACATGTAGATACTCCAATGTTGATTCTGTCTGTAGTAAACATGTAGACACTCTAGTGTTAATTCTGTCTGTAGTAAACATGTAGGCACTCCAGTGTTGATTCTGTCTGTAGTAGACATGTAGATACTCCAGTGTTGATTCTGTCTGTAGTAGACATGTAGATACTCCAATGTTGATTCTGTCTGTAGTAAACATGTAGGCACTCCAGTGTTGATTCTGTCTGTAGTAAACATGTAGGCACTCCAGTGTTGATTCTGTTTGTAGTAAACATGTAGGCACTCTAGTGTTGATTCTGTCTGTAGTAGACATGTAGATACTCCAGTGTTGATTCTGTCTGTAGTAGACATGTAGATACTCCAATGTTGATGTACTACTGTTTATTTCAGCAATCAGCAAGGAAGAAACCATCCAGGAAAGTGACAATGAGATAGATAACAGTGTCTTTCTGGTAAGTATAGTCATTGTCCTCCTTGCTGCTGCTGTTCTACTTCTTTTCTCTTTCTTCTTTTCTACTTCTTCTTCTTAATTTTTCTGTGTCTTTTTCTACTCCGCCTCCTCCTTTCTCTAGAAGTGTAGAATATAGGCGGGCCTACGTGCCCAACTTTAAACTCTCTGAAAATACAGTTCCTTGGTTTTTTTTTGGGGGGGGGTGGGTTCTACTCCTCATCCTTTTCCCCCTCTTCCTCCTCATCTTCCTTCTCGTTGTCTTTTTTTCTACTCCTGGTTACACCTCCTCTCCCCCAATCCCCCTTTTTTCTTCTTATAAAATTATGTTTAAAAAAATTCATAGCAATGAAACGACACAGAACCTTGCCTGCAGTCAGAGAATTCACTGTATGAGGATGGCATTGAGATGTGATATTACTAAACTGTTTCACCAGCAATAAACATTGCTGCCAGAAGAAACTGGTGGAGAGGACATGTCTTGTGATTTAATCAGTTGAGCCTGTATCTGCTACCACTGGTAGTTGAAGATGTATTCATAAAAGTTCTTAAATTTAATCGTTGAATTTTCTGTTTCTTTTCATGTAGACATCCGCCCTCTGTTTATATGGTCATTTAGACATAGACCTTCTGTTTATCTTATCTTGTGAGCATAGATCTTCTGTTTATCTTGTCATGTAGACAGATCTTCTGTTTATCTTTTCACGTAGAAGCCTGTCCTTTAGAGATCATGTGGAGGCTATTGTGGTGAAATGTCAAAAATGGTTCAATGGTACAGAGAATGTTGTTCACAATGTTCCAGCATGTGATCCTGTCGGTGATAGATTATGGTCTTTGAATGCTTACCATATCATAGAGTCAGCTGATGAAATTAAATGCACACAGAGTGAAGCTATGTAGGTAATTCTGGGACGTACAAGAGATACCCCGGTAGTATGTGTGTGGTATATACTTGCACCGCCTACTATTGCAGATAGGCTCAAAGTTCTGCAAGCAAAGTCATATCTCAGAGTAGCTGCAGACAAGAAGCACCTTCTGTATGAAGCCCTGGGTAGAGCTAAGGGTCACAGACTGAAAAGAGGAATGTTTTGGATGGCCCAAGCTGAAGACACAATTAGACATTTGTGCAGGCTTGATAAATTTGGGCAAGGAGAGAAGTGGATCAGAGTGTCGGAGCAAGTTTAAGATTTGTACAAGTTGCTTTTTGCTTTAGTTTGTGAGTGCAGGGATTGGCTAGCTGGTGCTGCTGAATCTGAATTCAACAAATGATTCATGACAATTCTCGTCCAGGTGATGTGATTGTATATACGGATGGCTCTATATTGAGGGGCAGGTGAGGTGCATGGGAGTTCATAGCAGAAGCAAATGGACGTCACTTAGTGCAAAAAAAGTCTGGCATATGATATCACAATGTCTAGTTTGAAAACAGAGGTGAAGGCAGTTACTGCTGCTTTCCACTGGCTTGAGAACAGTTGCACACTCATGCCGTCACAGAGCATGTTAAGAAAGGTAGAGACAGGCATGCTCTGTGCAGAATGGCAAGTATCACTTCAGAGGTCCTGGGTAGTTAGCATCTTCTTCTTCTTCTGCCTTTCTATCCCCCAATGGAGCATAGGCCCTCAACCAACTCATGCCAAGTCGTTCTATCCTTCGCCATTGCATGGAGCTCTCCCCATGTCCTCCCCATCTTTTTAACTTCATTCTCCAGCTCTTGCTACTTCCATTGTTCTCCCTATCTCATAGAGAGTTCTAACATTCCAGGTGCCAATTCTGGAGGTTTTCCTAGCTGAGAGGAAGTACATCAACGATCCGGACTCCTTACTGCTTTCTGCACACCATGTCATACTTTTTTTTATTTGAAGAGCCTTCCCTCATCTTGGTTGGCTGGGTTTTACTTGCTTCTCTTTTTGACTTATCCATGGTTGGTTGGTTTTTGTGGCTATGGTTTTTACAGGATGAGGTAGCCAACCTCAAGCCAAACCCTACCCTTAGTCGCCTCTTACGACATGCCTGGTAGGGTGCAGTGTCACTATTCTTTGCTTCCCGTGAGGGCCCCGGTGACACATGGGCGTGGGTGGTTAACATCCTTTGGATATTATCTCCAGGTCATGCCGGTGTGTTGGGAAATGAGCAGGCAAATAGACTGGGCAGAGTGCTTGTGGGTGTGTCCCGAGTGCTGTGATATTGATTCTTAATTCAACATTCAGCACTTAGACATCGGCCTTTGGTTTATCTTGTCATGTACACATAGACCTTCTGTTTATATTCTTATGTAGAGAAAGACCTGCTTATCTTTTCATATGGACATATAATTTCTATTTAATTTGCCATGTAGACATATACCTTCTGCTTATCTTGTCATGGAGACATAAAGCTTCTGCTTGTCTTGTCATAGAGGGACAGAACTGCTGCTCATCTTGTCATGGAGACCAAGAATTTCTGCTCATCTTGCCATGTGGATATGGACTTTCTGTTTATCTTGTCACATAGAAATCAGCTTTCTGTTTATTTTGCCATGTAGACATAGACCTGTTTATCTTGTCATGCAGTCTGAAAAATTTCATCAGTTACCTTCTTAATTATGACATAAATAAAGAGTGACTGCAGTTAAGCTAATGACAAGAAGTGGTAAATACTGAAGACTTTTGAAGGTGATTCGTTTTTTGTGTGTGCATCTTTTCCATTCCCTCCATCAAGTTTTCTGGTCACATTTTATGTTGTACTTAGCTCATCAGTTGCCTTGCCATGTAGATCGATGTGGATGTGTTTGTCCTGTTTATAGGCTGACATAGGACATAGGAATGGATATTATCCACAGAAGACACGGTCTGCCCCAGATACACCTCCAGTCAGCAGTGACAACCGGGTTGTCAACGGTCATCACAGCAGGGAAGAACACATTGCTGGATCCCGCCAGGTTGTGATTCCTCGAAATCCAGGTGAGGTTTTATGTTTTCGTGACGGTTTCCATTTCTAGTGATTTACAAATGAAAATTTGTGAGTGTGAAATTAGTCTGTGTTGGATGTTGACAGGGATGAAACAGGAAAAGTAGTAGCAAGAGAAAGATATACATTTGTGACATATCTCTGAAATGTGAGAGACAAAAAAAGACTTGATAATATTAGATTATATGTGAAATATTGTCATCATCTTGTTGTGCCATTTGTAAGACACACAGTGCTCACAGTCAGTTTCTTCATTCCGTTCCATTGTATCCTGTGCAGTAGTTTTGATAACATGGATGGAATCCAGTCTCTCATTTCTGGTTTTTCTTATAAACATCTATCATAGAGTTACCATTTGAAGTCCTCACTTCCCCGGTCAGTCATAGCATGGGATTTCAGAACCATTGCTACTTCACATATATTGAACAGGCTTCTTCTTAAACACTCCACTTTAACCTGCCTGCAATCACTTTCTCTTTTATACCTATCCCCTTTCCATGCAACCCAATCCCTGGCATGTTCCAGTGCATCCACCTTAATGCCTGCATCATACGTGTCCCGCTTGCACAGATTTTTATATTGTAGAAGAGGGCGACCTCGAAACTTTCCGTTATCTGTAACTCACCATAGAGGATTTTCTTATGGACTCTACCATCCTCCATCCTCTAGGTGTGTCTTAGACATCTGAAACTTTCAAGACTGAGTATTAAGAAAACTGTTGTCAAACCTGCTCTTTCTGATACTTTAATGTTTGTGATCAGCATCACCCATGTATCACCGTGGCCCTCACAGAAAGCAAAGAATTGTAACACTGCACCCTGCCAGGCATGTTGAGAGAGGTGGCTAAGGGTAGGTTTGGGCTTGAGGTTGGCTACCTTCTCCTGGAAAAACAATAACCACAAAAACCAACTAGCCATGGAGAAGGGAGCTAGAAAGTGAATTTAAAAAGATGGGGAGGACATGGGAAGAGCTGCGTGTGATAGCGAAGGATAGAACGACTTGGTTTGAGTTGATTGTGGGCATATGCTTCCTTGGGGGTTAGAAAGGCAGAAGATGAAATGTTTGTGATCAACACTGCTAGAAATATGATGGGTAATTTTTATTTTTAAATTTTGTGTGTGTGTGTGTGCATGTGTGTAGACTGAGGTCGATGGTTTATTTCAGAGGGACGGCATACCCCAGTCAAGCGTCACCACTCAGCTGGGGATATGTTAGGTGGTGCCCCGTTTCCTCCAGTAACAAAATCCGTCTTGACAGAGAAACAGCCACGTCCAAAATCTGAGGGCCATGTCTACAGCAGGCACTCAATATACAAGAGAGCTGTCAGTTTTGGGGTATGTGGTGTTTGTTCATTTGAAAAAAAAAAAATATTTTGATAGTTGTTTTAGGTCTTCCTGCCCATGTCTGAAACAGTTTTACAGAATGAACTCTAAAGATGGAGGGAATTTCCATGTTCTGCTCCTGGCTACCTTTGAGGGCTGACCCTTCTGCAGGGGCTGGCCTTGTCAGGTCCTCTGTAGACAAAACCTGTGGATCAGGGGATGAACTATGGTTTTATGATGTCCCTCAGTATCCCACAAAACTAACCGGAAATGTTAGCCTGGAAAACAAATACTTGATGAAGTCTTATTTGTCGGCCAAACAGCACAAATATTTCAGCAGTGCTGTATCAGGCATTTACATCATATGGACAAATGATAAAGAAGAAAAAAAAGACCAAATTATTGTTTTGTGTGGGGGGGGGGGGGGGGGTGAAATCTTCATTCCCAACCGTGGCAATTATTTTGAATCAAAATCAGCTGGAATATTCTTATATAGGTTTAGAGTTTTTATGTTTAACGTTTTTTTAATCTATATCTTCTTCTTTTTTTTGTTCGCCCTTAAAAAATGATGGTTGGCATTCTGTGTGGTAGTTTACGGGTAGGCTGTGATATCTGCGCTTTTTGGCCTAACACATCCAGCTTCATCAAACCCTTGATTGATCACCACTTATGACATGCTTATTGGGGAGCTGGGGGTCTCATCTTTTTTCCTTTCAAAATGAGGCACCAGAAAACACAAATTGTTCTGTATTCTAGTATTGGTTTACATTTCTTGTGTGGAACATTTCTGATGTTCTAATATAGGTTAACAGCTCATATGCTGAGCATTTCTGACATTTAAATATAGTCTCCAAGAGCAGGATAATAACAAGATAGTCTTCTTCTTTTCTGAACTCCTGGAATGCCTCACAGCATTAGGGAAGGAAGCTGTCTTTGGAACGTGATCTTCTGTTTGCTTCATTGTACTATATCAGAGACACTTGATATTTGCGTGGTCCATATTCTGCATGGTCGACCTCTGGCTCTGTATCCGTATATGTGTATGACATTGCTGTCTGTGGTGCCTTCTTTGTTGCCAATCTTGTTACTTGGCCTGACCATCTAATATGTTGTCTACTGATAAATTTCAGTTTTGGTTCTATACTGTCTCTTCTCCTGATATCATCGTTCCTTAGTCGATCTTTCCTTGTTAAACCTATCATGGTACGTAAACATTTCATTTCTGTCGTGACTGTTTTTCTTCTTTCTTCTGAAGACAGTGATGGTTGACAATTTTCTTTCAACAGGGTCCTTCTCCTTTCGGCAGAGCAGATTCCTACAGCAAACTGGAGCAGCTGGGGGAAGGTTCATATGCCACCGTTTTCAAGGGCTTTAGCAGTCTGACTAATCAGGTTGTTGCCCTTAAAGAAATCAGGCTACAGGAAGAAGAAGGAGCACCATTTACTGCCATCAGAGAAGGTGTGCTTTTTTGTTTGTCACATTAATTTTTTTCATAGGACAGAAAGGTGGCAAACAATTAGGTTATCTGTTTCTCAGTCATAAGTGATTGGTTGTGCTAGTTACCAGGAAGAAGCAAATGTCTAAGGAAATTGGTGATGTTAAATGGGATAAATTAAAAAAAAAAAAAGGCGAAAATTAAAAAAAAAAATGTCTACGCTACTGGTATCAGTGGTTATAAGAGAAAAAGAGGGTGAATTATTGGGCACATTCTGAGATGAAGCAGATAACGAATTACAAAACAGGCAGTGAAATGGAAATGAAATGGACTTAGAAGGTGAGTATGTCCAAAAAAAAGTTATGGCACATGCTGATGAGCAAGCAAGATGTGCTAGACTGGAATCCATAGAATATATTGATCAGAGTGCTCAGTATAGAACTGAATGGAGGAATTGAATGGAAGTCACATGTGTCGTTTCTGTGTACAGGTCAGCAGTTTTATTTTAGCAGAACAAGTGTCCGCCACATTACTGTGGATTTGAGCTGGGGTATCCTACATGAGAGCTCTCAACACTCTAACCATTCAGTCAGCTTCTGCTCAGTGAATTGCCAGTAAGGCAGTAAATTAGTGTTGAGGGGGGCACTACAAATCTTTGCTTGTGCCCTGTATGGCCACCACCTCTAGGGACAGCAGCCTCCAATAGACAGCCTTATAAATTCCTCGCAGGAACACCATTGAGATTAACCATCGGTGACCGGTTTGCATATTGGCTCTTCGGTAGATGACTTTATTGTGGTCAGGACAGTATTTGGATCATATTATTAATGATCATTCTGTATTTTTGTTAACTGGGTCTGGTTTTCTAAATCAATGAGGATTTTGTATTTCTCAACATCCAGTTTATCAAATCAATGAGGATTGTTGTGTAATTCACAACTGCGTCTAGTTTATCAAATTGATGATTCTGTAGTTTTCAACATCTTGTTTTTCAAATCAGTGACGATCATTCTCTATCCATCAACATTCTCTAGTTTATCAAACTGGGGATGAAAATATTTTGATTCCCCAACATCATCTACCATTTTAATGTGAAAGCGAGAGGGCACCCAAGAATATGATTATGACATTAATAACTTTATACATACACAAGGAATGACAATGGCCAGTGAACCGTGGACTTCAAACTGCTCCTCTCCAAGACGTACAACAACAAAAGTGCAAGTTGATGATGATGATAAATGAGTGAATGAATCAAGAAAGAATTCTTCTTCTTCTCGTTCACCAGTTGTGATCTCCGGCAGACAATTCTGGCCATTCGTCCATTCTTGAATCTATTGATAATCTGTCTTGTTCCGGAACCTGAGTGTTGCATGCACATCTGTTTTACAGATCTGATGTGTTTGTAGACAGGCTGGTGGTTCCCTGCCTCTCAGGCAGATGCACTCCAACTTCGAACAAAGCACCAGTTAGTTAATTCTTATATGATTTTTTGAGTGACAGTGGGTCTGTTCTTGTTTTCTCCACAACAGGGTCCCGGAACCCACACGGGAAGAATCAAGAATTAGCATCACTGCATTAGGGCATTCCCACACACGTTCTGCCCCCTTCCTCAGCAGCCAGCGAAGAGTTCCCATACTGATGGTGCCTGATAATGTTAAATGATAATAAATGATAATTCTCATTGCATTGTCTCGTTTTATGATGATGATGTGTGTTATTTTGTCATTTCCTTAACAGCGTCCCTGCTCAAAGGCTTGAGACATGCCAATATTGTTACACTGCATGATATTATCCACACAAGGGAGACGTTGACCTTCGTCTTTGAATATGTGGTTTGTATCAGTTTCACTTCAGTTGTTGTGTATATGAATTTCTTTATAAATTGAATTTGCAAATTTGTAGTATACCTGCTGGCATAGATGAGGTTAGGTTTGATTTGGGGAGGAGGAAGGAGCGGTTGCAAGAAGTCTTTCATATTTGGGGGAGAAAGATGAAGTGGCAAGAGGTATTTGCTAAAAGATGGAAACAAATTATTGTCTTTAAATCCACAAATGATATTTATCCTGTGCAATTTATTATACATTATCCATTAGGTGATGATTGGCCTATAAAGCTGTGTGTCTAGTTTGATATGACCATTGCACCTTTTGTTGAAAACGTCATTTACTTTTTTCTTTTACTGACAGTTATAATGTATCCTGTAAATGAGAATTATGATGTTAGAACTATGCACACCTGGGTATTTTATGCCTAAACTTTCCTCAACAAAAACTATGCACACCTGGGTATTTTAAGCCTAAACTTTCCTCAACAAAAACTATGCACACCTGGGTATTTTAAGCCTAAACTTTCCTCAACAAAAACTATGCACACCTGGGTATTTTCTGCCTGCTCTTGTTGTTCACCTATGTATTTTCTGCCTGCCTTTTCCTCATCTAGAACTATGCACACCTGGGTATTTTCTGCCTAAAATTTTCTCAGCTAGAACTATGCACACCTGGATATTTTAACCTAACCTTTCCTCAACTAGAACTATGCACACCTGGGTATTTTCTGCCTGCTCTTGTTGCTCACCTATGTATTTTATGCCTGCCTTTTCCTCAGCTAAAACTATGCTCACCTGGGTATTTTATGCCTAAACTTTCCTCAGCTGGAACTGTGCACACCTGGGTATTTTATGCCTAAACTTTCCTCAGCTGGAACTGTGCACACCGGGGTATTTTATGCCTAAAATTGTCTCAGCTAGAACTATGCACACCTGGGTATTTTCTTCTCAACCACAGCTGTGTACACCTTGATATTTTCTGCCTGCCCTTAATAAACTGTATTTAAGTCCAACCCAGAACTATTAGTCTCTTCCTGAGCTAAGGAAGAAGGTACAAGTTCTTAGGTGGAACAGCTACATCGTGTCTTTTCATGTGTAAAATAATTGTCTGGGTCTCAATGTTGAGTGGTAGGACACAAACAAGTTGCTAGGAACAATTCTTCATAAAATTTGTCTTTCACTTTTATCTTATCTATTTTTCTGTCACCAACGAGCTCCAAAGTGTCCAATTTATCATCTAGAGTATCTCGTCAAGTGTGAAATGATAGACTGAGACTAAATTGGCAACTTTTTTGCAAATATTATTTTGGCCAAACGGGTAAGGCATAAATTCTGGAAAAATGTCACTTTTGGTAATTTTTATGTTATCTCAATTGTTGCCCCCCAGATTGTACCAAAATGCCAAATCAGACATTCAGTTTACCTACTCTGCATCTAGCGTGTCTATTCATGTGTAAAATAATTGTCTGGGTCTCAATGTTTAGTGGTAGGACACAAACAAGTTGTTAGGAACAATCATTCCTAGAATTTGTTTTTCACTTTTATCTTATCTATTTTTCTGTCACCTGTGAGCTCCAAAGTGTCCAATTTCTCATCTAGAGTATCTCGTCGAGTGTGAAATGATAGACTGAGACTAAATTGGCACATTTTTGGAAAATATGATTTTGGCTAAACGCGTAAGGCATAAATTCTGCAAAATTGTCTTAGGTTTTCCTCCTCAGAACTTTTACATTTTTCTGCAGCATAGTCTACGTCCACCTGAGAACTTGTATCCTCTTCTTTAACTGGTCATTCCACCTCAGAACATTTACCTTCTTCCTCAGCTGCAGCTATGCCACATAACTTTTATCCTCTTCCTCAACTTTGTTTGTGTTCACCTTAGAACTTTTACCCTTCTTCCTCAGCTGCAGCTATGCCACATAACTTTTATCCTCTTCCTCAACTTTGTTTGTGTTCACCTTAGAACTTTTACCCTTCTTCCTCAGCTGCAGCTATGCCACATAACTTTTATCCTCTTCCTCAACTTTGTTTGTGTTCACCTTAGAACTTTTACCCTTCTTCCTCAGCTGCAGCTATGCCACATAACTTTTATCCTCTTCCTCAACTTTGTTTGTGTTCACCTTAGAACTTTTACCCTTCTTCCTCAGCTGCAGCTATGCCACATAACTTTTATCCTCTTCCTCAACTTTGTTTGTGTTCACCTTAGAACTTTTACCCTTCTTCCTCAGCTGCAGCTATGCCACATAACTTTTATCCTCTTCCTCAACTTTGTTTGTGTTCACCTTAGAACTTTTACCCTTCTTCCTCAGCTGCAGCTATGCCACATAACTTTTATCCTCTTCCTCAACTTTGTTTGTGTTCACCTTAGAACTTTTACCCTTCTTCCTCAGCTGCAGCTATGCCACATCAAAACTTGTATCCTCTTCTGCAACTTTGTCCGTGACCGAACCGTTCACTTTTTTCCATATGCTCTGCCATGCTTTCAGTTTTCTGCCCCATCCTCAGCTTCCAACTAAATCAGCCTGCAACTTTCTTCCCATATAAAGTCTTAACATAGAATAGGATTATGTGAAGCATCTTGGTATCGTCACTGATATTGTTGTTGCTGGTCACTGAATTCTCTGTACTAGTCATGTCTTGAACCTGGTTTCTGTAGGTCTCTGAGAACAGATATTGAATTATCTGTAAAACTGTAACATGAACTGGTGGTATCTCTTGTTCACAGCACACAGACCTGAGCCAGTACTTGGAGAAGCATCCTGGTGGCCTCAACACATTTAACGTCAAGGTAGGACCAGCTGATGGCTTGAAAACATTTATAGGACTCATAGCTAGGGTGCCCTGCAGCATAGTGGCTAGATGCTCACCTACCGGCCCAAAGGTCTCGGGTTCAAATTCATATCGAGGCGGATTTTTTTTTTTTAAATTGACCTTGGCTCCCAGGTTCGTACAGCCTAAAATGAGTTAGTGTCTTGGGAAGTAAAGGCAACTAGCAGGATATTGGCATCATCATGCATTAAATACTGATTGGTCTATAAAATTATGAGTCTGGCATCATATGCCTCTTGCATCACTGGCATGAAAAGGGTCTGTTACTCTTACTTATAGTATAAACTGTAACTACGATATGCTTGTGGTTTTTTGCGTGTGAGAGGTTTAGATGTTGGCTTTGTAGCGGAGACAGTTTGTGATTGATTGAATGAGGTCCTTATGTGAGTTCTAAGTCACCATGAGGGGGGGGGGGGGGTGTAGGGAGAATGAAACAACTGCCCTTAAACCCTGTTGCCCTGAGAGGCCACTGAATCATCCACACTTCCATTTCTGTCCAGTTCCCTGTAAACGTCACTGAACCGATTTGCTGTGGGCATGTGTTCATGAGAAATGTAGCTGGCAGCAGCAGTATCGTATGTGTCTGTACAGAGGCGTAAGGCAGTGGTCTCCAGCCTTTTTCGAGTGGATGGCAAGACCCATCATGCCCCCACCAATTAAAAACATTACCCAAAAAAAAGTGTGCTCAAAAGAACACAAAGAAAAATCCCTAGTACTGTTAACAAGAACTAGGAGGAAATCACATACATGATTCAGAGTGTCAAAATAACAAAGGAACCGGTCATCAGTAACTGGTAATTCAGTGTCCAAATATCATTGTGATGGCTGACACCATTTTGTCTTGAAAATATCTTCTATTGAGTCTGATGTGTGCACAAAGCACTATGGAGATGTCTCCCCACGTTCAGCTGGAAGTGCTGTTCTGTTTTCATGACGTTCAAGCTGAACTTGCTCCCCCCCCCCCCCCCTTCCTCCTCCTTCTCTCAACAACTCCCAGTTGGAGACCACTGGTTTAGGGGGACCGGAATCGACTATATTTACTAAAAGCAATATTGGGGGGGGGGGGGGGGGGGTCCAGGTGAACAAATGGTTTTCTAAAATAAAAATTATGATGTCATAGTTTCCCATTACCACTCGTGTTACCTGGCGATCGGATTAGTAGATCAAGTGTCAGTCACAATTTACATTTATTTTAATGGTTATATAAATGTAGTCAGTAAATTCTCTGCTGCATTCATGTTTACTGGAAAGTCCTCTAATTCTATTAAAATTAAAATTGTTTTGGTCAATAAATTAAATAGTTCCCTTTTTTTTTAATTGATTTGTGTGAAATGTTTTTTTTTTTTTTGGGTCTCACCAAGGAGAAAGTACAACAAAATACATGTCATTGGCATTGTTTTTTTTCTAGGTCACTGGGATGAAAGGGTTCATAAGCAGCCAGTAAAAGCCTGCTAGTTAAGGGTTTGTTGAAATTGGCTGTGTTGGGCTGAAAGGTGCAGGTAATTAAGCCTAGCTCTAAACCACACACAACCTGCCAACCCAGAAGAAGCTTGAGGTATTACATGAGTTAACTGTCATTAAATGGAATGGCACCAGTGAAATTTATTTCGTGTTTTTTTGTTCCCAGCTGTTCTTGTACCAGTTGCTTCGAGGTCTGGCCTATTGCCACCAACGCCGCATTTTACATAGGTACTTGTCATTACTGTTTTGCACTTGTGTTAATTGTTATGTGTGCTTGTATTGTTTGCAGTCTCTGTTGTGTGGTGCATGTTTCTCTTTCAGAAGAGCAGCTGGGCCTGAAAGCGGTCATAGAGTTTATTGAAGAGCAATAAAGGAGATAGTTTGGCCAAAGAGTTTATTCAAGAGCAATAAATGAGATGGTTTGGCTCAAGATTTTATTCAGGAGCAATAAATGAGATGGTTTGCCTCAAGAGTTTATTCAGGAGCAATAAATGCAATGGTTTGGCTCAAGAGTTTATTCAGGAGCAATAAATGAGATGGTTTGGCTCAAGAGTTTATTCAAGAGTAATAAATGAGATGGTTTGATTCGAGTTTATTCAAGAGCAATAAATGAGATGGTTTGGCTTAACAGTTTATTAAAGAGTAATAAATGAGATGGTTTGGCTCAAGAGTTTATTCAAGAGCAATAAATGAGATGGTTTTGTCTCAAGAATTTATTCAAGAACAGTAAATGAGATGGTTTGGCTGTCTGATGAGAATGCCCTAGTACTAACTGCCACACACTGAAAAAAATATAATGGACACAGAGTAAGAAGAACATCAAGCAGAAATGGAATGACAGCCTTAAAGAAATGAAGAACAACTTAAATAACACATTGGAAAGAGCACACAGAAAATCTCTACATCTCCAAACACGGAAGAAAAGAAGAAGAAGAAGAAGATTCATTAATAACTTAAATTGATCATATTTGAGGATGATATAATTATTTATGGTAACTATTTTGCTTATTATGTTTTGTAAACAAGAATTCAGTTAATGTTATGATATCTTCTCAGAGACATGCAGAATTAAGGTAATGTTATGATCGTATAGTGAAGACAAACATTATTAAACAATGTTGTCATCCCTTCTCAGAGACATGCAGAATATTAAGGTAATGTTATGATCGTATAGTGAAGACATACATAATTAAACAATGTTGTCATCCCTTCTCAGAGACATGCAGAATTAAGGTAATGTTATGATCGTATAGTGAAGACATACATAATTAAACAATGTTGTCATCCCTTCTCTGAGACATGCAGAATTAAGGTAATGTTATGATCGTATAGTGAAGACATACATAATTAAACAATGTTGTCAACCCTTCTCTGAGACATGCAGAATTAAGGTAATGTTATGATCGTATAGTGAAGACATACATAATTAAACAATGTTGTCATCCCTTCTTAGAGACATGCAGAATTAAGGTAATGTTATGATCGTATAGTGAAGACATACATAATTAAACAATGTTGTCATCCCTTCTCTGAGACATGCAGAATTAAGGTCATGTTATGATCGTATAGTGAAGACATACATAATTAAACAATGTTGTCATCCCTTCTCAGAGACATGCAGAATTAAGGTAATGTTATGATCGTATAGTGAAGACATACATAATTAAACAATGTTGTCATCCCTTCTCTGAGACATGCAGAATTAAGGTAATGTTATGATCGTATAGTGAAGACATACATGTTATTCTCTGAGACATGATTAAGGTAATGTTATGATCGTATAGTGAAGACATACATAATTAAACAATGTTGTCATACCTTCTCAGAGACAGCAGACATGCAGTTGTCATCCCCTCTCTGAGGTAATAATGTTATGATCGTATAGTGAAGACATACATAATTAAACAATGTTGTCATCCCTTCTCAGAGACATGCAGAATTAAGGCAATGTTATGATCGTATAGGACATAATAATTAAACAATGTTATGAGAGACATCGTATATGATCGTATAGTGAAGACATACATAATTAAACAATGTTGTCATCCCTTCTCAGAGACATGCAGAATTGAGGTAATGTTATGATCGTATAGTGAAGACATACATAATTAAACAATGTTGTCATCCCTTCTCTGAGACATGCAGAATTAAGGTAATGTTATGATCGTATAGTGAAGACATACATAATTAAACAATGTTGTCATCCCTTCTCTGAGACATGCAGAATTAAGGTCAGGTTATAATCTTGTGGTAGAAGTATACAGATTTGAAACATTGTTATGATCTCTTTGGGGAAACGAGCAGAATTAAGGTAATGTTATAATATTTTGGCAGAGACATTCAGAATTAAGCTTTGTCTTATCCAGAAGTTTCTTCACTATGCAAGCATTGGCCACTCATTTTGTGTGTTTGTAATTTGAATCTCTTCATGTTGTTGCTAATCATTCATGTTCTTTATTCCAGAGATCTCAAGCCCCAGAATTTGCTGATCAGTGAGCTTGGAGAGCTCAAATTGGCTGACTTTGGTGAGTTCTGTCATGCTCTTCCAGCGTTTAATAATGAGTTATTCCAGGCCTTTTCCTAGCTAGGTGAGTTATTCATCTCATGTTTAATGAGTTGTTCCGGGCAATTTCCTAGTTAGCTGAGTTTATTTTCTGATCCTATCTTGGTCCTCTTGTACGTTGCAGTGTCGACTGAACTTTAAAATGGGGGAGACTGTCCATTTGTGTACCTATATAGGGATTCCTAAAGATTGTGTTTCCGTCTGCCCATCATTTGCGTGGTGGGTCTCGCTTTTGATTCCCACTTGGTCTGTATATCATTGCTTATTATGGTTAACTGTCTGTTAGCATATGCCAAACTATTTAATGGTTTGCTTTCTGATGGAATATAGTGCCACTACTACCCCCTAGTGCTGTTCTGAAGAAATTATTCCTGTCATGTTTCTTGTTAATAATATGCCTATCCTTTTGTACGTGTTATTCCTGTAATTTTTTTTATTGTATTAGTTATTTAGTCACTTTCTATGGGAGAAACTTTTGAACACCATCTCTTTGAGTGCCCGAAACTCAGTGAGACTAGAAGAATGCTACTCCCTCCGAGACCAGACAAGTGGAACACCTTGTACGGAGGAAAAGAACAGCTTGTGAAAACATGCAAATTTCACTACATGGCATTGGGCCAAAGGGTAAAAGCTCATGCGCCGCTGGATCGATCACAACAACTATGTGAGATGAGTTATTCCTACCAGTTTCTTATTGAGTTTTTTTTGTCACTTTCCTTGCTAGGTGAGTCATTATTGTTACTTCCCTTGTAAGGTGAGGTATTATTGTTACTTACTTCCATGGTTACATGAGTTATTTTTGTTACTTCCCTTGCTAGGTGAGTCATTATTGTTACTTCCCTTGTAAGGTGAGGTATTATTGTTACTTCCCTTGTAAGGTGAGGTATTATTGTTACTTACTTCCATGGTTACATGAGTTATTTTTGTCACTTCCTATGTTAAATAGTTATTCATGTAAACTGTTCTTTTTGAGTAAGTTATTGAAGCCATTCAAAACCACTTTAGGTTGATGAAACTATTTACTGTGTACACACAGACACACGTGCATGTGCGCTGTGGCATAGTGGTTAGATGCTCCCTCGGGCCCAAAGTTGTGGGTTCAAATATGCATTGAGTCGTTTTGTTATATAAGATGACCTTGGCTCCCTGGCTGGCCAGGCCTAAAATGGGTACAACAAGGAAAAGTTATGGGAAGTCAGGGTGGCTGAAATGATGTTGACCACATCACCCACTGACTGCTGATTGGTCTAAAATATAGGTCCAGCATTGTGTGCCTTATACACCTAGTGGTGTGGAAATGTGCCCTATACACCTAGTGGTGTGGAAATGTGCGCTATACACCTAGTGGTGTGGAAATGTGCCCTATACACCTAGTGGTGTGGAAATGTGCCCTATACACCTAGTGGTGTGGAAATGTGCCCTATACACCTAGTGGTGTGGAAATGTGCCCTATACACCTAGTGGTGTGGAAATGTGTCCTATACACCTAGTGGTGTGGAAATGTGCCCTATACACCTAGTGGTGTGGAAATGTGCCCTATACACCTAGTGGTGTGGAAACGTGCCCTTTACTTAAAAAAAAAAAAATTTTTTTTATTGTAATACAGTTTTGAGAAGAAAAAGAAGGAATTCTTACTTACTGTACTCAACTGTATGACTCTAGCAAAGGATGTGTAACAACCGGTTTGATGTTGCAGGACTGGCCCGAGCCAAGAGTATTCCCAGCCACACATATTCTCATGAAGTGGTCACTCTCTGGTATCGTCCACCGGATGTTCTCCTGGGCTCTACAGAATACTCCACATCATTGGACATGTGGTCAGTTCTTGTTCTGTTCACTTTCTTCTGCAACCTCTATATTTGTTATTGCTAATTACATTGTCTTCTTCTTACTGCTCCCTAGCTGTAAACTCCAGTGAAGATTTTCTGGTTGTTTATCCACTTCTGGGCATTAGTCTTTTTTTTTCCCCTCCTCCAGAACCTGAGATTTTCATGCACATCCATTTTACAGATCTGGCTCATCCTTATGCAGACTGTTGGTTGAGAGGCGAGATGCAGTGTGACTTTAAAGTAAACATCTCTAATTAGTTTACTTTTACAACATGCTTGTTAGGGAGCAGGGATCTATTACCCCACCCCTCACAGTGTGGCCCTGGAAACCACACCGGGAATCATATATTTGGTTTTGTCTGCTAGATGTTTTCTTCATTATCATCTTGTAGTGCCATTTTATGTCACATAGTGCTTGCAGTCTACTCTTTTGTTCAACAATTTTATCCTATGCAGCCCTTTTAATATCATATTGTTTTAGGCTCCACAAAATACTTTGCATCAATATGGTTAATTTGTAATCTGACTTTATTTTTTTTTTTAAATACCTTCCGATTCTTTTTGTTGTTGTTAACACGTCATGTCTATATGAATGTCTCTAATTCGTGTCTGTTTTTTATTTGACGTTTAACATATATATCTTCTCTTACTCTTTCTGTATTCTTGTGTGCTTGAATTTTCAGATTTGGTTCTTCTTGATTTATAGAATATGGACTTGACATATAATGTACGTACTTTTGATATATAGGACAAAGTAAATATAAGGACCTTTTCATTGCCTTTTGGTGCATCAGACATACGGTGTAAGACCTTTATTTTTGTAGACCAGTCAGCACTTGATAGGTGAAATAGTCAACTTCAGGCTGGCATATAGAATGTAGACATTAATACATATATGCTTTCTTCTCAAATTCTTCTTCTTTGTGAATATACTAACTATAAATATGGTGTGCTGACTTTTTTTTTTTGTTCACTTGATTTACAGTTTATATACTTGATGTAAAGACTGTCTTCTAACATTCTTTAAGAAATACTTTTCTTATTGCTGAATTTATTACTGAATATCGTGTTTATCCTGCTGAAACTTATGCTATTGCCTGTTGATTTATCTTTGTGTGATCCAGGGGTGTTGGTTGTATATTTACTGAGATGATATCTGGCCAAGCGACATTTCCCGGAATGAAGGATGCCTTTGATCAGCTGAACCAGATATTCAAAGTTTTAGGAACACCCACCGAAAGCTCCTGGGAGGGAGTCACCAAGTTTGTCAATTATGATCTCAGTAAGTAATCAGCAGTCTTCTTCTTCTCTTTTGTGTTCACCAGCTGTAAACTCCAGCGGAAAGTTTGGATTTTTGTCTACTTCTGGACTTTAGTCTCGTTTCAGAACCTTCTTATTCTCTTTCATGTTCACCAGCTGTAAACTCCAGCGGAAAGTTTGGATTTTTGTCTGCTTCTGGACTTTAGTCTCGTTTCAGAACCTTCTTATTCTCTTTCATGTTCACCAGCTGTAAACTCTTTTGTCTACTTCTGGACTTTAGTCTCGTTTCAGAACCTTCTTATTCTCTTTCATGTTCACCAGCTGTAAACTCCAGTGGAAAGTTTGGATTTTTGTCTACTTCTGGACTTTAGTCTCGTTTCAGAACCTTCTTATTCTCTTTCATGTTCACCAGCTGTAAACTCCAGCGGAAAGTTTGGATTTTTGTCTACTTCTGGACTTTAGTCTCGTTTCAGAACCTTCTTATTCTCTTTCATGTTCACCAGCTGTAAACTCTTTTGTCTACTTCTGGACTTTGGTCTCTTTCCAGAACCTGAGTTTGGTGTGTACATTTATTTTACAAATCTGGCTTCTTTGTATACAGACTGTTGGTTCCTTGCCTCTCAGGAAGATGCACTCCACTTCGAAGGAAATATGTGACAGGTTGACTCATGCGACATGCTTGTTGGTGGACAGTGTGTCTGTTCTATGTTTTTCCTCCCACAATGAGGCCAAGGAATCCACACCGAGAGTAGTCAGTAGTCATTGATAGTCTGTTTTATAATCTTGATACTGGACTTCTGTACCTACATGATGTCCGTATATCATATTGAATCTATTGATTATCTGTTTCTTCATTTTAGTTCTTGACTTCTATACCTACATGATTTCAGTTAGTCATCTTGCAGTCTGATAATCTGTTTCTCAATATTGTTACAAGACTTCTGTACCTACAAGATATCAAGTCGTCTTGAATTTATTGACTGTCTGCTTCTTTAACATGGTACATGATTTCTTTTCCTATGTGGCTTAAGTCGGTCATCTTGAATCTATTGGTAATGTGTTTCCTAATTTTGGTTAATGACTTTCGTACCTACATGGTATCAAGTCGTCTTGAATCTATTAACTGTCTGCTTCTTTATCAACGTACATGATTTCTTTTCCTATGTGGTTTAAGTCGGTCATCTTGAATCTATTGATAATGTGTTTCCTAATTTTGGTTAATGACTTCTGTACCTACATGGTATCAAGTCGTCTTGAATCTATTGACTGTCTGCTTCTTTATCATGGCACATGATTTCTTTTCCTATGTAATTTAAGTCGGTCAACTTGAATCTATTGATAATGTGTTTCCTAATTTTGGTTAATGACTTGTGTACTTACATGATCTCATTAAGTTAATTTGTTGAGCTTTATCTCTTTCAGTATCTCAATAAAAAGCTCATGTTTGTCGTAGTGTTCTTTTCAGAGTATATGTATGTGTTAATGGCTGTCTAGATGTGTTTGTATTCTTGTCTGTGAATTTGTATGTGTATTTTGTCAGTTTCTCTGTGTGTGAAGTCTAGTAATTTTTGTGTGTTTTTATCAGTTACATTTTTGTATTCATGTTAATGTATGTGTTTATAATAAATGCTGTGTATTTATTCTTGTTAGTTTGATCTGTATGTACGTATTCTTGTCAGTTATGTTATTGTATTTAATATGGTAATTCCTGTGTATGTATTCATGTCTTATATTGTTGTATTAATGTTAATCCCTGTGTATGTATTATTGTCTTATATTGTTGTATTAATGTTAATTCCTGTGTATGTATTATTGTCTTATATTGTTGTATTAATGTTAATCCCTGTGTATGTATTTGTGTCTTATATTGTTGTATTAATGTTAATTCCTGTGTATGTATTATTGTCTTATATTGTTGTATTAATGTTAATCCATGTGTATGTATTATTGTCTTATTTTGTTGTATTAATGTTAATCCCTGTGTATGTATTCTTTCAGTTATGTTGTATTAATGTTAATCCCTGTGTATGTATTATTGTCTTATATTGTTGTATAAATGTTAATCCCTGTGTATGTATTCGTGTCTTATATTGTATTAATGTTAATCCATGTGTAAGTATTTGTGTCTTATATTGTTGTATTAATGGTAATTCCTGTGTATGTATTATTGTCTTATATTGTTGAATTAATGTTAATCCCTGTGTATGTATTCATGTCTTATGTTGTTGTATTAATGTTAATTCCTGTGTATGTAGTATTGTCTTATATTGTTGTATTAATGTTAATCCATGTGTATGTATTATTGTCTTATATTGTTTTATTAATGTTAATCCCTGTGTATGTATTATTGTCTTATATTGTTGTATTAATGTTAATCCCTGTGTATGTATTATTGTCTTATATTGTTGTATTAATGTTAATCCCTGTGTATGTATTATTGTCTTATATTGTTTTATTAATGTTAATCCCTGTGTATGTATTATTGTCTTATATTGTTGTATTAATGTTAATCCATGTGTATGTATTATTGTCTTATTTTGTTGTATTAATGTTAATCCCTGTGTATGTATTATTGTCTTATATTGTTGTATTAATGTTAATCCATGTGTATGTATTATTGTCTTATGTTGTTGTATTAATGTTAATCCCTGTGTATGTATTATTGTCTTATATTGTTGTATTAATCCGTTATACGTCAAAGAAGAAGCGCATGGGCATTTACAGCACGCTCAGCGGGCAGAACAGTCAAAGAAGCCAACGGCGCCTTCTCCATGACAACCAGCAGCATGACGATGGAGGTGATGGCAGTGACGCAAGCGTTCTCCTGGCTCGAAACACAAAAATACACCCGCGTGTGTATACTCAGTGATTCAATGAGTATGATCCGGAGGGTTCAGGCAGGTTCAGTGCGAAGACAATGGCTTGAATCATTACAGAAGTCCACTGTTCGTGGAGTCACCTTTATTTTTGTTCCGGGACACGCAGGCGTCGATGGAAATGAAAGAGCTGACAGGTTGGCTGGATCCGCTATCACTACCGACGGTCAGCCTATGGATCATGCTGATATTATCAATGCCCTCAGAGAAATGGGAAGGATAGACGACTTTGGTGGCAGTGAATCCACATCACTCGCCAGAATGGCAGACTTGGGAATTAAGATCGGCACAGCAAAAAACGAGACGCACACCAGCTACGCCAGAAGACTTGTTAATCAACATAGAACTGGTACTATTAGCCATCGGACGTTGGGGTTCATACTGAGGGGAGGATCTGAGCACCTATGGACATGTCCGGAGTGCAATGAGGATAACCCAACTAACTAACTAACTAACTAATTGTTGTATTAATGTTAATCCCTGTGTATGTATTCTTTCAGTTATGTTGTATAAATGTTAATCCCTGTGTATGTATTCATGTCTTATATTGTATTAATGTTAATCCATGTGTAAGTATTTGTGTCTTATATTGTTGTATTAATGGTAATTCCTGTGTATGTATTATTGTCTTATATTGTTGAATTAATGTTAATCCCTGTGTATGTATTCATGTCTTATGTTGTTGTATTAATGTTAATTCCTGTGTATGTATTATTGTCTTATATTGTTGTATTAATGTTAATCCATGTGTATGTATTATTGTCTTATATTGTTTTATTAATGTTAATCCCTGTGTATGTATTATTGTCTTATATTGTTGTATTAATGTTAATCCATGTGTATGTATTATTGTCTTATTTTGTTGTATTAATGTTAATCCCTGTGTATGTATTATTGTCTTATATTGTTGTATTAATGTTAATCCCTGTGTATGTATTATTGTCTTATATTGTTGTATAAATGTTAATCCCTGTGTATGTATTATTGTCTTATATTGTATAAATGTTAATCCCTGTGTATGTATTCATGTCTTATATTGTATAAATGTTAATCCCTGTGTATGTATTCATGTCTTATATTGTATAAATGTTAATCCCTGTGTATGTATTCATGTCTTATATTGTATAAATGTTAATCCCTGTGTATGTATTCATGTCTTATATTGTATAAATGTTAATCCCTGTGTATGTATTCATGTCTTATGTTGTTGTATTAATGTTAATCCCTGTGTATGTATTATTGTCTTATATTGTTGTATAAATGTTAATCCCTGTGTATGTATTCATGTCTTATATTGTATTGTTAATCTCTGTGTATGTACTTGTGTCATATTGTATTAATGTTAATCCCTGTGTATGTATTTGTGTCTTCTATTGTATTAATGTTAATCCCTGTGTTATATATTCTTGTCAGTTTTGTTGTTACGTTAATGTTAATCCCCATGCCTGTATTCTTCTCAGTCTGTGTGTGTGTGTTTCTGTGAGTTGTGGTGTGTTTTTGCCAGCCCTACTGTGTGTAATCTTGTCAATCTGCAGAAAAGCTGGAGATTTATCCACGCCAGCCATTGATCTGTTGCATACCCAAGTTATCATTTGTTCCTCATGCAGAAAATCTGGCAGTATGCTTCTTACAAGTAAGTCAGACCACACCTTAAGATGTTTCACATCATATCATAAAGAAGGAGTGCTTTAAAGAACCCTGTTCAGGCCTTTTGGCACAATGGGCCTATAATTCTAGACCAGTATTTTGTACACTAACTGGCACTCGATAGATGATGTGGTCATTGTCACACCCATTGCCTTTGCTTCCCAGCACATTACCTAGTACTCATTTTAGGCTGGATTAACCTGAGAGCCAGTTTTGAAGAAGAAAAAAACTGCCTCGATGCAGATTTGAATCCTAGTACATTGGGCTAGCAGTCGAGAATTTAGCTGCTACACTTCCATAATATTTTAAATACATTCACTTTTAAAGGCTGCCAAGAAATAGAGTGCAAAATTAGAGAGTTTTTTTTTTAAATCAGCTCCTGGGAGAATGTTGAGCATGATCATTCTTCTTCTTCAGCATTCGATAGAGTGACGTAAATGCGTTGTTAGTTAGTTAATCGACAGATTATCCTCATTGCGCATTGGAAAAGTCTATGAGCGCTTGGATCCCATCTTTGGTATATCACCCAGCATGTATCAACTGGTAACACTAGTTCTGTGTTGGTTTACTAATCTTTTTTGACTACCTGTTTAGTATTCATGTTTAGAAAAACGCCTTTTTTGACCTGAAGTTCTTGTAGTCTTTTGAGGGTTGCCAATTCACCGTCATCTCCTGAATCATCTTTTCATCCTGCCTCCTTGAGAGCATTGAGAATATTGGCCCAGTCCATTGCTTTTCCTGTGCCTACCACGGCCTTGCCAGCAAGTGAATCCACTCGTTCATTTTCTCTTACCCCAGAGTGTCCTGGCACAAAAATGAAACTAATTCCTTTCAATCAAGATTTCCTCAGCGACTCCCAACAATTTTCTTCGAATCCATCCTGTATCTTATCTTCTTAAGCATGCTCATAGAATCACTTAGAAAGCACATAAATGCGTTGTGCCTGTTAACAGCCAAGCTGTATTATTTGTGCCTTTTGGCCGACTTCTTGGAACATTTTTTTAGAATCCGGGTTAGCCTTCTTGGTTAGTTTCGTGGGACGTTTGTAGCCTCATATATGTGGTGACTTCTACCTCCTCTGGTCCACATGTGTAGTCCCTAGAGGACCCATCCAGGACAGCCACATGCAGATCAGTAGACTCTCAGGAGAACCCAGTGGTAGAGCATGGGCATTCCTAGTCATCCATAGAGGCTTCCATAAATGCAGATGGTCTGGTACTGGGCTCACCTCACCTTGCCCCAGTATGGGACACATTTTGTGTGTGGTTATTTTAAAGCCCCACCCTGGCTGTAGTCAGGGGCCCTTATTAAACTTGAACAGGGTTTCTGGGACCTGTACCCAGGTGATTCTCATTCAGATAGTGGCACTTTGTGTTACCGGGTGTTTATAGCTTATTGTACAGTCCTGGTGGGGTTGTATATCATTTGTCACTGGGTTCGCCCAGGGAATCATCTCATCCTGCACACGGTTGTTTAATATCACATCCGTATTTTGCGCCTTGAAATCATTACGGGCTGCACCCTTTAAAGATCCCAAGGAAGCAGTCTGCAGACCTGAGTCTTGAATGAGGATCCGTTGAACCAGCACAGAGGCTGCTGGTGGCTGACATGAGGTACAGAATATATTTTTATTGTGCCAGTGACCGAAATCACAGCGCCACAGCCTGATATTTTTGAAGAGATTGAAAAATAAACAGACTGGATTTGGATCAAAGGGATACTGATTAACCACATAGCCAGATGTGAATTTTTCAAGGATTTATCTCAGAGTAATGGCGTTCTACCTCATCTGACTTGCATAATCTTATTTGAACAAAATAATTTCACATTCACACTCAAAGTTCTTTACCATCTGGTACAAAATCTTATTTCACATATGCATGAAATCTGTTCGTGTCATTTCTATAGTGTACTACTTCTTCTTCTTCTTCTTGCGGAACTCTGGCAGAAAGATCTGGTTGTTCATCCACTTCTGGATGTTGGTCTTGTTCCAGAACTGTAGATTTTTTGGCATATCCGTTTTACAGATCTTGCTTATTTATATGCAGACTGTTGGTTCCTCGCCTCTCAGGCAAATGCACTCCTACTTCTGAAGCTCTGTAAGTAGTTGCTTTGAATGAAGAGTGATGGCCAGTTAAACCTTGCTTAACACTCTTTTATAAGACATAGGTTTGAATTATTGGTAATGTGATGGACATCTTTGTTTTTGTTGGGGGCAACAAGTAAAAGTCTTAACCTGCACAGTTCATAGCGAACGAACGAACAAACTTTATTTTCAAAGGGTCACAAATTGGGCACACAGGCCCGTCTTACATTTGGTCCTTTAACATAGCAGCTGCATTAGACATGTGGCCCTAAACTCTCAGGCTCATATCACACCCTTCTCCTTTCCCTGCTGTCCTACTCTGCCCTAAACAAAAGTGGTCTGTGCAGGTGCTTATCATCATCATGTACCCTGCCAACTGGCGTAGGCACTCATGTGTCTCCACAGATCATGATCCCTGGTTGCCTGGAACAGCTCTCTTGATGATATCCCTCCATGTTATCGTTTCAGCTCATCCAGCATCATCTCTCTTGGTCTGCCTCTACCCCTTTTTCCACTGATCCTTCCAGTTGTCACTATGTTCTCCAATGTCTCTCTTCTCATTATGTGGCCAAAGAACAGTGTTTGTCTCTTTCTTATTGTTTTATATAAAGATCTTCTTTCATTAGCCTCTTTCAAGCAACCTTTGTTAGTTACTCTGGCGTGCAAGGTATTTGTAACATTCGTCTTGGAAACCACATCTCTGTTGCTTCTAAAGGTGCTAACAACTGTAAATATAAACATCTTCTGACATAGATGCAACCAAACAACCGGATCTCCGCTTTCAGCGCCAGGCGCCATGAGTATTTTCAAGATTTGCCCCCTAAGGTTCATGACCTCTCTGACAGTAAGTGATAATTTTTGTGTTGGTTTGAGTGGCTGATTGGTTGATTTGTGAGTGGCTGATTGGTTGGTTTGTGAGTGGCTGATTGGTTGGTTTATGAGTGGCTAATTGGTTTGTGAGTGGCTGATTGGTTTGTGAGTGGCTGATTGGTTTGTGAGTGGCTGATTGGTTTTTGAGTGACTGATTGTTTTGTGAGCATCGCTGTTATAAACAGGGAGACACTAGATATTGCTTTTATATTCTGGATGTTGGTAAAGTGTTGGTTTTGTGTCATTGATGTCAGCAAGGTGTTTATTTGTGTTGTTGATGTCATCTGGATGTTAATTTGTGTCACTGATGTCAGTAAGATGCTAGTTTTCTGTCACTAATGTCAGGAAGGTGTTTTGTGTTACTAATGTCATTAAGATGTTGGTTTTATGTCATTGATGTCAGCAAGCTGTAGGTTTTATGTCATTGCTATAAGCATGGTTTTGGTTTTTTGTCATTGCTATAAGCTAGGTGTTGGTTTTTGTGACGTTGATATCAGCAAGATGTAGATTTTGTGTTATTGCTATAAGCAACTTGATGGTTTTGTGTTATTGATGTCAGCAAGATGTTGATTTTGTGTCATTTATTTAAGCAGGTTGTTGATTTCATGGCATTGCTATAAGCAGTGTGTTAGTTTTATGTCATTGCTTTAAGCTAGATGTTAATTTGAGTCAGCAAGATTTCGGTTTTGTGTCATTTCTATGGTGTTGGTTTTTTTACCATTGCTATAAGTAAAGCGTGGAAATGATCAGTTTATATTCCCTTCCGCAAAAAAAGGGGGGAAATCTAAAATTATTTAACAGTTATTGCACTATAGCTCTAATTAGTCAAAATAGCCAGCAAAATCCTTCTGCAGACCATCTTGAGGTGAATCGGAAATAAATTAGAATATGAATTACAAGAAGCACAAGCGGGTTTTAGACGGGACAGAGTAAGTTGTTGGTATTGTGTCAGTGATATCAGAAGGATCTTGGTTTTGTGTTACTGATGTCAGCAAGTTTTTGAGAAGAGAATTGGGGGTAAACCTAAGCATCACTCTAAAAAAAAAAAGTAGGGCGAAAGATTCCTACTCCTAGGTTGTGATTTGCCAATTCGAAATGTAAGCAAAAACACAAAGAATCTCCAACTTCTAACTGTAATTTTGAAAATGGAGGCATACCAAGAGACTCAGAACATTCAGAAATGCATATTATGCCATAAGGAGGTGTAACTATATAAGAGGGACTATATACCCACACATGCGGGTTCAGTTTTGAATCTGAACCTCATCTCCATAGAGATGAGAGGATCCAGAATAGTCCAAGATGAAGGGATGATTGGGACTGTTACGTGACAGCTTGGGTTGTGCACCAACTGCTTACTGCCTCTCAGTTGAAGCAGATTGTACCACTATTGTCATTCCTGTTTTTATACAGTATTTTAATACTTCTGTCCCCCTGCCCCCTCAACCTAAATGTTATTATATTGAATATTGCGGCATGAATTTGATATTTGGAATTCTCACCTTGCAGCCACTTCTATATTCAACATTCCTGGTCTCCGCTTGTTTCCTGAGAATGATGAACTGACCACCTCACACAGTAGAAGGCAGTCAGGGAGGAGTGGAATACGAACAACACTGAAGATGTGATTTCTTGCACTTTTGGAAAGCACCATGACTGATTACTTGTTGCCATATTTGCTTAAATTGAGATTGCTTACTACCTGGACCCTTGGGAGAGTTCTGTGACTGTGTGGTGTTCTTTATCTGGACAGTAAGAGCACTGGGCAGGGCATTTAGAGAGTTGCTTGGTGTCCTGTCTGTAGGTAGGGAGAGCACTGGGCATTTAGAGAGTTGCTTGGTGTTCTGTCTCTAGCTAGGGAGAGCACTGGGCATTAGAGAGTTGCTTGGTGTCTTTTCTCTAGCTAGGGAGAGCACCAGGCATTTAGAGAGTTGCTTGGTGTCCTGTCTCTAGCTAGGGAGAGCACTGGGCATTTAGAGAGTTGCTTGGTGTCTTTTCTCTAGCTAGGGAGAGCACCAGGCATTTAGAGAGTTGCTTGGTGTCCTGTCTCTAGCTAGGGAGAGCACTGGGCATTTAGAGAGTTGCTTGGTGTCTTTTCTCTAGCTAGGGAGAGCACTGGGCGTTCGAGAGTTGCTTGGTGTTCTGTCTCTAGCTAGTGAGAGCACCAGGCACTTAGGGAGTTGTCCTTAAATAGTGAGAGCACTGTTTACTTGGGAAGTTGTCTGTAAGCAGTGAGAGCACTGGACACTTGTGGAGTTGACCTTAAGAACTGAGAGCACTGGAAAATTAGGGAGTTGTCTGTAAGTAGTGAGAGCACTGGAGAATTATATAGAAGTTACAGAATGTTTATATTGTGTTGACCTGTGAATAATGAAAGTGTTTTGGTCAGTAAAGGGTGTCTGTTTTAGTTTTGATATTCACAACCACCCTATACAGTGATGTTAAACTGAGATATCAGTCCAGCTAGATTTGCTGGTTGTAGGAAATCAGTCTAGCTTGAGGTGATGATTGTGTGATGTCAGCCTAGCTTGATGTAATTAATGTTGGATGTCAGCATAACTTGAGATGATGATCGACAGGATGTCAGCCTAGCTTGATGTAATTAAAGTTGGATGTCAGCATAACTTGAGATGATGATCGACAGGATGTCAGCCTAGCTTGATGTAATTAATGTTGGATGTCAGCATAACTTGAGATGATGATCGACAGCTTGATGTAATTAATGTTGGATGTCAGCATAACTTGAGATGATGATCGACAGGATGTCAGCCTAGCTTGATGTAATTAATGTTGGATGTCAGCATAACTTGAGATGATGATTGACAGGATGTCAGTCTAGCTTGAGGTGATGATTTTAGGATGTCAGTCTAGTCTGATGTGGTAATTGTGGGATGTCAGTCTAGCTCAATGTGATGATTGTGGTATGTCAGTCTAGCTTGAGGTGATGATTGCAGGATGGCAGTCTAGTCTGATGTGGTAATTGTGGGATGTCAGTCTAGATTGATGTGATGATTGTGGGATGTCAGTCTAGCTTGATGTGATGATTGCAGGATGTCAGTCTAGTCTGATGTGGTAATTGTGGGATGTCAGTCTAGATTGATGTGGTAATTGTGGGATGTCAGTCTAGCTTGATGTGATGATATGATGGTTGTAGGGTATAAGTCTAGCTTGATGTCTTGATTTCAGGATGTCAGTCTAGCTTGATGTGATGGTTGTACAGGTGTAGGATGTCAGTCTAGCTTGATGATTTGATGTTATGTTTCTACGATGTGTCTAGCTTGATATGTTGGTGATCGTTAATGCCATTTTCTACACACGACAGATTCCCTTTCACATTGTGATTTATACCATTATCTGCAAAAGCTGTAAGACATGTATCAGTGTCTGTAGTTATTATACAGATTTCATTAGCATCTTTATAATCTGCAAATTAGTTTCTATAAGTGTCAACTAATTTCACTTGTGTGATGTGAATTATTTTTAACATTGATGTCATGGCCATTAAATCTTGTCAATCCCATAACAGCATCTCTGGAAAATCATCTCACTTTTAAGGTGCAATAAAAGTTGCAATCTTTTGTCTCCACATGGCCTTAATGTTTAACACAATTTAATCTGTAATGTTTTTTTTCTTTTTAAAAATTTTAGCCATTATAACCTCATGACCTCTCAGCCTATCTCTCTGTGTGTCACTTCCTATCTGTCTGCAGTAAATGCTTCTTAATTAATTTGTCTTACGTGGGTGCATGTTTTAGCCGACGCAGTTTTACTGTGTATTAATTTTTTGACCAGGTGTGGGCTTCAGCCTTTAAATAGCTAAGTCATTCCTTGTTTTATGCATGTGATAATTAAAGTATGTGATGTATATTTTCTTTACATTGTATGTAAGTTGTTAGCATTAAAATTGGATATTTGTTATAACCAAAGTAGTAGTAGTAGTAGTACATTTTACCCCACTAGGACAACACACAAGCGATAACACCTGATGACACATAGTGCCACTATGCGGATGAGGATCACCAGTGGAGATGTCCTGGAAACCGCGTTTAGCCATTAGACCATATTTATTGCCGGGCTATATTGCAGGGACTGGCAAGAGCCAGAGTGGGGCTTCAAAATAACGAAAAATTGCATCTCACAAGGGGATGACTAGTACTTAAAATAACCAAAGCTACAGTATGTCCTTATAGGTGTCAGTGTTCAATGTATGAGAAGGGGATGTAGAATTTGGAATATTTTATTTGTTCTAGCAACAGAATTAGCTTTTATCTAATGTTTACAGTTAGTAAACATTTAACTTTTATGCTTACAGTTAGTAAACATTCACTTTTATGTTTACAGTTAATAAACATTAACTTTTACTAAGTCTGTCTCTAGTTGGCTCCACACATTTAGCCTGCATCAACCTGTTTTTATCTTCAGTCTGTTCTATACATTTGACTTTTGTCAGCCTGTTTTTACTTTCAGTCAGATCTCTCTCTCTATATATATATATATATTTGACGTACATTGACCTGTTTTTATTTTCAATTCACTCTCCAGTTGATGCTAACCTGCATGAACCTGTTTTTACCTCCACATAATTGACATACGTCAGCCTCTTTTTTGTCTTTACTCCTCAAATTCGACATATATCAACTTATTTTACTTAGTTCACACTATGCACTGTTTTATCTCTGTTTATTAGATACACTTGACATCTATTCATCGTTTTATGCTGTCTGTACACTGAATGAAACACTCTGAGGATGTGGTTCAAAAAGTCCATGATGTGAACTTGTTTAGGGACTAATTTGTATTATATATTTGTGTAAATTTATGTTCAACTCTTAGGGTTATACAATTTTGTAAATGTATTCAAGGTTTAGGATTATACAGTTCTGTAAGTTTGTACTGAATTTATAGAGTTCTGGTAATTTGTATTGAATGAAACAAGGGCTTTTACAGTTCTGTAAGTTTGTATTGAAATGCTGAATAGGTAACTGTTTAGGGAAATAGTTCTATGATGTAGCATATAATTTTACACAAAAGGCGTATGGATGTAGACTAGTATGAGGACATATTTCTGATGCCACATGATCACAGAATGCAAAGCACGTAGAATCAAAGCATGTTTATGTACAGATTTCGGTCACTTAGTATGATATGCATTCGTTCATGTGGACTATTTTTGTTCAGTTTATTGGCTGTGTTACGTATATACATTTTTGGTAACAAATTCATGTAGAGCTTTAATTTGAATGTCTCTTGAACTTCATTGTTGACTGGCTGTGAACTGCAGCAGAAAGTTCTGGTGGTTCATCTGTGTCTGGACTTTGATCTTGTTTAGGTCTTGAGTCTTGTGTCCACATCAGTTTTTTTGATCTGACTTAATGTGTGTCTTTCTGGCAGATGCAAGCCAACTTGGAAGGAAATGACGATCCATCTGCTTAGGCCAGGGCCTCTGTTAGGGAACTTGTTTCTAGGAAGACAGCGTAGAGGTGTAGATAGGTCTTAACTAGAATAAATCCCAGTCCTGATGCACACCACAGATGGTGACGCACCTCTGCAGGTGGTGACATACCTCTGCGGGTGGTGATTTACCTCTGCAGGTGGTGATTTACCCTACAGGTGGTGACATACCTCTGCAGGTGGTGACAACCCCTGCAGGTGGTGATATACCTCTGCAGGTGGTGACATACCTCTGCAGGTGGTGACATACCTCTGCAGGTAAACTAAAAGTTAAGTGTGGTAAAAGTCTGTTACTAATGTAGGGTCAAATGGGCAACCATAATATTAGTCATATGTACAGCTGCAGTTGCCTGACATGTGGGATGTGTGTAGAAAGCTGCAGTTGCCTGACATGTGGGATATGTGTAGAAAGCTGCAGTTGCCTGACATGTGGGATATGTGTAGAAAGCTGCAGTTGCCTGACATGTGGGATGTGTGTAGAAAGCTGCAGTTGCCTGACATGTGGCATGTGTGTAGAAAGCTGCAGTTGCCTGACATGTGGGATATGTGTAGAAAGCTGCAGTTGCCTGACATGTGGGATATGTGTAGAAAGCTGCAGTTGCCTGATATGTGGGATGTGTGTAGAAAGCTGCAGTTGCCTGACATGTGGCATGTGTGTAGAAAGCTGCAGTTGCCTGACATGTGGCATGTGTGTAGAAAGCTGCAGTTGCCTGACATGTGGGATGTGTGTAGAAAGCTGCAGTTGCCTGACATGTGGCATGTGTGTAGAAAGCTGCAGTTGCCTGACATGTGGGATGTGTGTAGAAAGCTGCAGTTGCCTGACATGTGGGATGTGTGTAGAAAGCTGCAGTTGCCTGACATGTGGGATGTGTGTAGAAAGCTGCAGTTGCCTGACATGTGGCATGTAGGTGCTGCCGCAGGTGCCCAACATGTGGGATGTGTGTAGAAAGCTGCAGTTGCCTGACATGTGGGATGTGTGTAGAAAGCTGCAGTTGCCTGACATGTGGCATGTGTGTAGAAAGCTGCAGTTGCCTGACATGTGGGATGTGTGTAGAAAGCTGCAGTTGCCTGACATGTGGCATGTGTGTAGAAAGCTGCAGTTGCCTGACATGTGGGATGTGTGTAGAAAGCTGCAGTTGCCTGACATGTGGGATGTGTGTAGAAAGCTGCAGTTGCC